TGGTTTAAAATGGACAACTCTTTTATCCAAGCATTTTGTAATATGTTTTGCTTCTATTAAAAAAATCAGGAAAAAAAAAAGGAAAGTGGAAACAAACCAGACTAAATATTTTTATTTCATTTTGTTTACTGTGTGCTAAATGAGTTTTGTTTTTAAATTAAAGACATTCCTTCATTATAAACATTAACCAGTTCTAATACCATTTTTTTAAAATTGTTCCCACAGCAACTGGCAAGAGCTGAAAAGTTCTGGTTTTCTTTGAAAAGCAATAGCAGTAAAGCTGTTCTGCTTTGCCCAAATGTTAGTCTAATAAAACATAGTTGTTCTTTCTCCTAACCATGATGTCTGGAACTTAGTGTCTCTTCTACAAAGAGGTTTTGAGGTGCACAATGAAAATGCTCCTCTGCCTTGCAGATGCCACACACAGCAAAAAGGTCCAAGAGAAAGAGAAACCACCCCAGGGTGGCGCCTATATCTGTCTCTCAGTTATGAGGAAAGCCACAATATTTTGCTTTGATTAGACACATTTAGATGGTCAAAATGTAGCAAAACAAATTGCAGCATGTACCCTGTGCCCAGAGCTCTGACAGCCAGAACATGCTAGCAGGATTTTGTGCCACTCTGAATTACTCTCTAGAGGTACATGACTCTGAATCACTGTCTGCAGGGGCTGCATTAACCATACCCTGACATCCTTATTTATGTAAATAGGATCACATTTAAGGAACTATTCATACACATAAAAATTGGAGGAGCCAGGAAGATGCCCAGTCATTTCTGCAGAGTTTTTTTTCTCCCCCAGATCTTTAGGGTTTTTCATATAATAATTTTCTTATCACATGTCCTTGGCAAATATTACTTCCAAATGAGAGCTCTCTTCATACACTTCAATTAGGAAGAAAACCTCTCAAACACAGACAAAAGGACAGCAATACTGTTACCCTCAGAAAAAAGTAATTTCATAACCTCATTGTATTCCTTCCTCAGTCTGGGCTTGGTATAAGAAATTAACTTTTCTCTTAAAAGCAACATACAAGATGCATTCAAAGATCTTTTTCAGCACATGCACCATTAGTGCTACAACTTACTGCTTTGCATCAAAAACAGAGGAAATCTGCTGACCCCACAGCTTTTCTATGCCTGCTTTGGAGAAGACAGCTCACAAATCCCCTTTCCACCACTGCACTGCTGTTTGGGAGTGAATTTCCATGAAGGGCCATGCTGCATATTCAACAGCTGGCTGCAAAGTGCCTTATTCCGCTACCGGTAGGATTTTTCACTGGTTGTTCTATTTACAAGTGAAATGAAGTGCATCAGGGCCTCAGTTCCCAGATCTTTATTCATCCACCACTGGGATTCACACAGGCTTCTTGTTTAACCCTCGCATGACAGAAAACTAAAACTGAATGAAAGGAGTGGACAAAAAATCCCAGAGCTTTTCTTAAGTTTTTGTATTCCAGTACATGTGACAAATTGTCATAACTCCAGCCAAAACGTCAGAGACTCTAGAGGGCAAGGTAGGAGCTGATCTGTAGGGAACCACTTCGTCCTGGGTGCTTTCTGAGCAGAGATGACACAGAATGACTCTTTGGGTTTGCAGACACCAAAGATAAAACCCAGTGTGTATAAGCAGATTCTTAGCACTGACACAGCTTGGACTATTTTCAGAGATTGCAAAGTAAATCTACGTTTATATATTGTCTCCTAAAACTCATTAAAAAAAAAAAAAAAACAAAAAAAACCCAAAAAAAAACCAAAAAACCAAAACCCAACACATCCCCAAGGATTACCTTCTTCAACTGGGAACACACAAGGGTTTCTTGAAAGCTACAGACTTCACTCGCTGCTGCACAGAAATATTTTACTTCTTTTGGAGCACTATATAGGGATATCTTTGCGCAGCTGAGTAACTATAAAACCATTACACATTGTAACCAGCTGTCATTCTCAACTACACAGTATCAAGAACTAAATTCAATCAGCAATGCTCAAATCTGCCAAGTTCTGAGTGCTATTATGGCCTGGAATGATACGTGCCACTTCCAGGTTTTAATTATTTTCTTATTTGGCCATCTTTTTTCAAACAAAAGTGGTTGAAAATACACAGCCTCTTTTGTGAGATAATTTCTCTGGCATAATTGAAGAAGATGCTTCAACAATGTTGACTTCTTCAAAATTCAGTTCCCTGCAAGTATCTGTATTCTGCTCTCCAGAGGAATCTCTGAACCTTGGAGCAAGCAAATGCTTTTGGTCAATTGACAGCTGAGGTGAGAAAAGTAACTAGTGGTTTTAGATAACAAGACTGCTCAAATACAGAGGTGGACATTACCAGTTCTCATGGAACATATTAATGAGATTAACATTAAATATAGGTCACAGTTTGTCTGCACCACAAAGGCAAACAGTGAGCCTGCTGTATATTCTTCCATAAGGGTGCAGTACTGACTTTCCCTGCCCTGCTCCCTGTGAATAACAAAAAAACAAATAGGAAGACAGTACTAAAGACCTGAGCTGGTGGCCTTTGCCAGTCATTTTTACAAGAGACCTTGAGTGGAGAAGCAGACTGTGGAAAAGGCTAGATCCTTCCTGGAACACTCAGCTAGAAGGACAATGTTCATCACTTGCACAGCATTGCTATTCATGTGAACTCACACAGCTCTCAACAGCCTGTGACAGCACAGCTTCACAATTCAGCAAGGAAAACAAGCTTTATGCTGCTACACCTGAGGCTGCACCAGCTACACAAGCACAGCATGGGGCAACAGATGAGTGAACCTGGCATTTGATGCTTTGCAAATCCCACTGTCAGTCTCTTGGGAAGCTGGAGCTGTTGACAAAAGACAGTGTAATTATTGGAACTGGGTTGTACAAAGGTAACAGCATAAAAACTTAACATTCCCCAGAAGAAATGAAGGTGTTAAAATAGCAGCTGGGTAAATACCACATAATGAAAGAAAGCAGCATGAGTTCCCCAGGTTCAAAAAAGGCAGACAAGTACTTTGTAGAACTGACCTTATTAAAGAGACATTAACAGTTTAAAAATTCATCCAAACCTGAAACAGTTACAGTAATCAGTGAAGATAAAAGTTGCCTATAAAATATAACAATTATTTCTGCTAAAGTGTCAATCCTTTTACTTCCATTTATATATTTTTGTAGTGAAGTGCCAGGTCCATATAGGTATTCCCACTTTTGTTTACAACAGATTGACTTTGACACAGATAGTCTCTTCCAGAACATCCAGTTATTCACACTTGGTATGAATTATTCTTCATTAGGTCTAGCATGTGTATTCTACTTCATAATAAATTAATACACAACACCAAGGTTAAAGAAATTTAATATAAATTTATGATAAGAAATCTCAACCCACTTGTTTCACAGAAGCATTTTCACCTCAATCACTGCAGGACATTTTTAGTACATCTTTCCTGAAATATTTTTCATCATGTGGGATCCTTTTTATTAAAAAACCCACCAACCTTCAAAATGTATTCTTTTAAATAAAACCTTGACAGCGTGGGGAATATGTATTGCATGCTAATCCAGTATCCAGGTATCCCAAGCCAAAAATACAGCAAGGTGAGCAGAAAGTGTGTTGTTGTTAATGCTGAAGAGCCTGGGCATAACTAAGTCTCCTGAAAATCCTGAACCCTGGGCACAAGGGCTGTTAGCTGCAAGCTGACATTACTGAAGCACATGTTGAAAAAATCGTAACAAAGCTACAGTTTATTTGTCTAGCATGGAGAATAATTTCTTCAATAAAATTTACCATGGCCAGCAAGTTGTTATTTACTGTATGGATTAAATCATTGACCAAGGACAGTTACATTTGCTTGTTCTTTGTATGCTTTGGCTCCTTGTGCAATGGCTTCATGTTGAGAGAGGACAACAGTGCAATGGATATGGGAGTACACAGGGAACTGTCAAGAGCAACAGGAGAAGCAATGAACTTCCAGGGGAACACAATTGATTTGGACAATGTTTCAAACACTGAAGAAGTTGGCCTTCTATTACTTCTTGTATTGATGACTGTGAAACCAATAGGATGAATTTGAATGGCTTGTCCAGCACACACATTCTTTGGGAGACTTCAGCTGTGAACTAAGGATAGCAATACCTATGGCACACACACAAAGCTGCACAATCAACAGCTGGCCCTCTGTCCTCTGGTGTGACTCAAAGCTCAATGCAAGCCAACTCTTCACTGAAGTGGGCTACTTCTTTCACAAGGCACAAGAGATGTCAAGATCTGGATGTTTCTTTGAATATGTACTGCATGATACGAGAGTGACTCATAGCAGGGAGTGACTTTCCCTACTACAAAGTTACGGTCACTGAACTGCTTCAAATTTGTAATGAGGTGTGAGAGAGTTACAAATCAGTTTTCTATTGCTACAGAGAGATTATTTATTAAGGATAATAAATTGATATCACAATCAATATTCAGATGTTGCATTTTATTATTGTAACCTAGTACAGCTATTGGGCTCCATGTCATATCTGTGATGAGTTAATATCATTTCCCTCTCATATTGTAACAGTGAGGAGCCTGGGCTTGCAAAGACATCCTGAAGGGACTGACATTCAAGAAGGTACTTCAGCTTTCAAGTGCTCCTTGCAGCCATGAGCTGTCCAAGTTTTCCAATTGCTTTCTTGCCTCTTCTGAAACACCTGAGGCTCCTCCTGTACAGCTCTGGCCCACTTCCAAGGCAGGACAGTCCCTTCTCTTTACCCACTCATGCCTTGGGGATGAAATACCAGACCCAGTTAAAACCGCAGCTCTGAACTCCCACAACCCTGACAGACTCCTCTTCCTGTGACAGCAAGTACTTCCATGAAAAGACTGAAGAATGCAATCAAATAATAATTAGGACTGTCATTCTAATTACTGCATACAATTTCTAATGCTAGTAGTGATAGGAAACACTAATTGTCTTCTGTGGAATGAATATTCAAACTTGTCAGAGAAGTGGGGAAAAAAAAATGCCAACTGTAGATACATGTATAACATTTTAATTTTCAAATAATATGGCACCCTATTAATAAAAAGGCACTGAAGATCTGTACAAGAAAAAATAGAAAAGATGTGATCACAGTGGTGTCAGAGCACAGCATTCAAATACAGTTACAACACCTTCAAAACAGGCTTGAATAATACAAGATATTAATAATTACATGTGGTTATTTTAATTAGCTTTTCCTGTTCCTCTTTTTGGGATTCATGTTTATTGGACTCTTCAAGTCAACCAGACAGGTTTAAAAATTAACTCTTTCTGAAGTATAAAATTATATTCTTATCAACTTAGAGAAATTCAGGAATAAGAACTTTAAAAATATCTAAATTTGCAAAAATTGGCAGCACTGCAATCAAAAGAGCTCGTGAAGGCATTACATGCCCATTTACATTTTTCACTTTTCTACTGAGCAAATGTGATGACATTGCTTCACCAAGGAAAAGACTGCAACAGGTTGTAAATATGTAACAGTTTGGAAATGTAGCCACAGCCACAGTTCAACAGAAGCAAGTTTAGAAACAGAGAAATGCTGAAGTTACTCCAGGATGAAAGGCTCAGTACACAGTATATGCTAAAGATCTGGACTACCAGCTGTCATTGCAGAACACAGACTGCAGAAGTAACATGCAAAGCCTATTAGGAACACAGTGTTAAACAGTAAATTAACTAGAATAATATAAAATCAGAGAACAGAGGACATGTGGTTCTTCTACCACATCTCTTCTTGTCATCTGCTATACTGCAGCTTACCACAAAAATATAAATAAAAAAATAGTAAATCAGTACCTACTATATACAATAAATAACCTTCCTGTATAAATTATGAAAATACAACTATGGTAAAATCAGTGCAAAAATGACCAAAATGTAGTGAAGGAACACAGAGTCCTGCCTGCCATAATGTGCATCATGGAAAATCCATATTTACCTAGTACAACAAAGCACTGACAGGAATTAAAAAATGCAAGATGCACATCACCAACTGTGCCATTCTAAAATTACATCTATTTCCAATATCAGACAAATCAGATTAAAACAACACATATGTTATTTGAACTGTACACTTCATTCTTCTTCATCATTTTACTGAATTTGAAATAACTTCCTCTTCCCTAAGTGATACTCTAAATGGAAGTTGCTCTTGTGAGTCCACGTTTGCACGAGTAGCCTTTTTAGAATTAAGAAAGTTCTTCTTCTTTTTCCTTGGAAAACTATGCAAAGCAAGTTTTGGATCACTTGGTTCACGGAACAGAAGTATCTTCTCCCCTGTGTCCAAGAGCTCTATGGCTTCAGCAGCTGCAGAGCTCAGAGAAACTGGTGGATCATATGGATCAGGTTGTTCCACAGGAGGGTGTGCAGGTGAACATCCCAGATGAATGAACGCTGCTTTTTCCAAGACAGCAAGTTGCTTCTTCTTTATCAAACTACATTAATGAGAAAAATTGAGGTGAAAAGTGAAAACTGAGGCAAAAAATTCATAACGTCCTATACCACACCTAGCCACAGAAGTGGTGAAGCTACTTGGAAGCTAAAGAAAATCATATTTCAACAGAGAGAATTGTAGTTTTCATTCTAATTCCCAATAATTCACGTATCATTTTCTGAGATACAAAATTGCAAAAGGAAAGGCAACCTCATAATAAATAAACATAGGGAAGATGAGCAATGTATGTGAAAAATGTGAGAATTTTGTGTATAGGTACAGAAAAATCTTTTTAGGTATTTACTATATTGCTTATTATGTGTAAATATGTTGTAGGAACCATAAGCACTAGATAGAGAAGTGCCAGAAAATGCATATTATGAACTAATTCTAAAAGCTGTTAGAAGAATCTTGGCCCATTAAATAAACTATAAAGAAAAAAAAAAAAACCCCACCCAGTATGTTTGTTCTGGTTTTCTCCTTACCTGTCTTTTCTCTTGTTTAGAGAAGGGATCTTTTCTAAACTTCTGTTTATCAGATCTTGCCTTATTTTGTTCTCCAGTGCTTGCCACAACTCTTGGCTCTTCCTGAAGGAGAAGGAAAAAAAATCCCCAAATATACACATTTTTCTTCCCTCTCTGACTTTAGCTACCAAACCCATGACAGCAACAGCACAAATGTAGTCAGAGATTTCAAGAACTCTTGCTGCCCTGCCAAAAATCATTTAAATCAGTTAAGATCACACCTCAGGGCATGGTACCAAGGACTCTTATCTGCTCCTTGAGAACGCACAGCTGCCAAGGACTGGGCTCAGTGCCCCAACATCTGCTTTTGTCTCCTGCCCAGGTCATGTCAGGGAGTTGGGAGAGCAGATCCTGAGCATCCCTTGGTGTTACTGCACAGCTTTCAGCTCATGTTAATGGGGCTAAAGGGAGTGACAAAGGCCCTGAGATTCTACCTGTGTCTCTGAGAAAAGGGAAACTCAGTGCCCACCTTGAACTTCAGTAATTAACTACAAAGGAACAGACATCTGCAAGGTTGCAACTTTCACTATTGGGAAGGAGGATCTCCTTTACATCTTTAAAACATCTAAAACCTGGTGTGTCATGAACATTATTAAAAAAAAAGTGGAAGGAAAATATTTTAACAAACTCCAATTCAGGCAACAGAAAGAAAATTATCAGAACAGGATTTATAAATCTATGAAATAACTGTTTAATTAATGAACTTATAAAATTACTTTAAGTTTTTATCAATAAATTTATTATAATTAAAACATTTCACAAAATAAGGTAGTAGTTTTGAAGTATTTTTACCCCAGAAAAATAGTTCAAAAGGAAATTTATGCACCTGTGATTTTTTTCTATAGCTGTCCATCTCATTGTCCAGCAAACAGACATACACATAAAACAGCAATCTTGTCTTGCAGTGGTCTACCAGAAAACACCACACCTACCTTTTCTTACAGCTGCCAGACTCATCTGCATTACTTTCACTTTCAACAGCACCATCTGAATATTTACTGATGGAATCAAGGACAGAAAGAACCTCACTTTGTGGGCTGGAGGGCAGCAGCAAGTTCAGGACCCTGTGTAACACCCCCACTGGCACCCTCGTCAGTTTAGCTAAATAACCTGCCAGACGGAGCTCCTAGAGAATAAATGAGTAAAAGACAGATAAATTCAGCATTGAAAATAAATGTTAGCCAATCTTAGTTACTGTTATTAAATAAATAGTCATTATGGAAGCAAAAAATATTACTGAAGATTATTTTAGTAGTGACAATTTTGGCATCAAGTGCTCACACTTCCATGTCTGCTATTTCTACCCACAGTGGCCCATGTATATCATGGCTGTCCATTTCATTTGGGATTTTGGCAATGTAAATGCTAAATAATCAGTTGATCTTGGCATATCTGCTCAGGGCATGTACTTGATGCCCTTTGATTTGAAAAATCACAAGACAATTACATTCTAACATGTAAGGCTTAACTAATTTATGGATTCTTCTACTATAAGGAAATAATTTCAAGATAGCAAGGAAGCAATGTGGCATTCCTTGGTCTGTAAAATTATGGAGGGAAAAACAGCCTTGAAAAACTTTACACGTTGTCATGATTGATCACATCATTGTTCAGCTTCTCTTAACACAAGTTTCTGTGATAAGCTCAGAGAACAGCTTGTAACACTTGTTAAGGGGTGAAGTGAAGAACTGCTTTTCTTTTGGTAGTATTTTTTTATTTCCAAACATCCTGCCTATTTTTGCCCAAAGGTCAATGGTAAAGCATGTTCATATAATGTTCAAGTAGACTGAATTCAAATTTAGTTGTTGCATAGACACTCAGCCAGCCCCATCTCCTGCCCCACTCCAAACACCAAATTTCCATTGCTATTTTCTGCTCTGTTGTCATAAATACACTGTCCCTAAGGTATTTCTGCAGATCTCTTGTGTGTTTCAAATATAAAAAGTCTACAAAATATTGAGGACTATGTGGAAAGGAAAGAGTAAGGCAAATGAAAACAAGTTAAATGTCTCAAAGAGTGCCAGAAAAAAGCTGCTGTTGTCTATTCAAGCCATACATGTAACTCAGGTAGCTGAAGTTAGGTAAGACATGCCAAGTGCAATGCCTCATGACAGCTGAGTTATCAGCACTCTGCAGACCCTCCTGTAAGTGCTGATGGAGGAGATGACTACAAAGCCCATGTCACATAAAACCCCACAAGATCCCAGGAAGACAGCCAGGTTCTTTGTCCACAGTAGTTTCAAAAAGTCACAGCAAATGTTTGCCTTCTTTTTTGTATGACAACTTTTCAGAGGAGTAAATTTGCCTAGGAGATTCCTGGATTACCTGAATCCTCTTTGAAAGAAACAAAACATCACCAGCAAAGCAGTCTTAAGCCAAATTTAGACAGCCACACAAAATAAAGAAATCAATCAACCTCCTTTCCCCTTAATTGTCCTTCAAGCAAAGAATTCTCTCTGAAAGGTAAGAAAACACTTTTCAAAGTTTTCTGGCCTCTTCCGTGTTGTTATCGATTTTACATGGAAACCACTGAGATCACACAGAATTAACAAGACAAAATCCTAAAACTGATGAGAAATAAGTAAATTCATACAGTTCTTAAAATATTTTCATAATGACTGGGCACCAAAGTTGAACACCAAAGAGATGTTTGCTCAGGCTACTTAGTGAAAGAAATTATTTGATTCTTCTTTGGAGAGGAATGCAAATAAGAGCATAAGTCTTAATACAGACACCTAAGTCTAATTTCTACAGCACTGTCTTGTACTTCTGGTCTTTAAACACTGCTCTTCTCTAAACTTACAAAATGCAACATTAAGTGAGAATAAACATGACAGATCTCTGAGACCTATTCTGCTCTCTTTGGCTAAATGTTCTCAGGATCTTTAAACCAGTTTTGAAAACAAGTAGGAGTAATGATACTAGAAAATTTAACTAGCAGTCCTGCTATCATTTAATTTTGAAACATATTAAATGCAAATCATTCTTAACACTCATCAAAATCTAAACAAGACCCTTTTTTCATTACATGAAGATTCAACTGTAAATCTGTCTGTTAACCAGTAAAACAGGCACTTCAGCTCTCTATAGAATGAAATGCAACAGGACGAATCCTGAAAGGATTTGTAAATGAATAAACAGAAGTATAACCCAGTAAAATTCAAAAGGCTAAAGGTAGCCCAGAATTAACTGAAGTGACTGATAGTATAGGCTGCAAACTGATAGCAACTACTAACAGAGAGTAACTCTAAATACATCTAATGGTTCCCAAAAAAGAAGAAAAGCTGATATCCAGATACAGCTGTAATTTAAACTTGGAACTTTGTTCAATTTCATGCTTACCTGACTATAAATTGCCAAAAACGCATTCGTTTCTATATTTTCCAGGAGATCTTCGAGCACCACGCAATTCCATTGCTCATCTCTCAAGCTGAAGTGAAAGACAGAATTAACATTGAAATCTGCCCAGGTGCAATGACTGCATTATAGGAAACAAAACTGGAAGGTCACCCATTCAGGAAGCATATCTGTCTGTCAGCAAATCTGCTGTGAGCAGCCAAACTTCTAAAACATGCCAAATTCTCTTTCCTGCTTCCCTGAACCCCCAGGCAAACACCAGAATCTAAGGCTTTGCTCTTGCACACAATTCAAATCTGGAATCACTCCAAAGCAATGTGATTCAAACAGTCTCCATCTTCTTCCCTCTTTTTTAAATTTCATCACACTTTAAGGCAAGCTGTGGGTCTTTTTGCAGTTGAAATATGACATTAAACAGTAAACTTCCTCATTGCTGGTGATTATTTTTTTTTCTAGACTAAAACATGATGACATCATGTACAAATCCTGCAATGTACAAAAGTACAAAACTTGTTCCTTCCAATAAGTTTTCAAGTAAAGCCTAGCTGCAGTTTCTTTGAAGGTTTTTCTGATAGGTTACCAGCTTGTGGATACTGGTGCAGAGGTTTATCTGATCCTCTACTGACTCCTCACTTCTGCAACAGGAAAGATGTTCATCTAAACTTAGCAATGCTCTAGCTTTTTCAGAATTAAAACAGACTTACCACTACCACAGCCCTTTTTAATATATCAGTGGTTTTTATGGAAAACCACTTTCTAATGGTAAGCACACTTTGAGGACATTACATGAAGCTTGAAATGTGCTAGGCTTTTAATACTGTGCAATACACAAGGAAATGTCATTTCTACCTCCTGTAACCCTAATAAAAGTAATACAATAGGCTGCAATTTTGCAAATTATCACCCATTTTTGCTAGGCAGCCATTATGACAAGACAGATATTTCTATATACCTCCCAAGAGGCATTTTATTTGTTGCTGATATCTTTACTTAAAAACTGGCCAGGGAAAATTGAAATTGAAGAGGAGTTTATACATCTCATCAAAAATAATTGTGTGCCAGGGAATTCAGTCTACAGTATGACAATGGAGATGGAAATTCAATTTAAATTGTCTCAGCTATTTCCTCTGACCCCAGCAGATCATGCTGCACTGAAGTCCCTCCCTATCTTCCTGGGAGACAAAGCAATAGGAATAAAATTATTTTCCTCCTTAATGCTAAGGAGTATCATTATTTTTCCACTATCCCTGTCAAAAAAATGGTGACTGCCATGCAACATACAGCACCATTTATATGCTACTAAGTTATTATTTTTTCATGTTTCTCATTTCAATATTCCCAACTTCTCAGTTATGCTCTGGGCCACAGTACAAGAAGGCAGAGATCAAATACAGATGTATGGTCCCTCTCCAGAACAGCACAACATTTCTCCTGCTGCTTCTCCAGAGTCCATAAGAACTGCAGTAACATAGTAAAACCTGACGCCAAAGAACTTACCATTGCTGGTACAGGTTTATAAATTGTTTACATTTATTCATGGCCTGTCTTAACAGAACTGTCACATGTCTTTCTGCATTCGTGTCCACAGCTTCATTTGAGAGTCCAAAACCATCCAGAATCCACCTCTGCCTACTCATTAGATGCTGCTGCACTGACTCCTTATGCAACATCTCATACTCCAGCTTCTTTTCAAGTTCTTCAATCTCCTAGAGGTTGAAAATGCATGATGATAAGAAGTTAAATTATAACTTGAAAGAAAGAATTTCATTTGGAGTGAAGAAAAAAGATGATGGTATCAGATTTTCTGATATTACTTTATTCATTTCTTATTCTACCCAGCCACTTGCAGTCATTACACTTTTCAATTCATTGCACAGCTTCAGTAAACATGACTGGCATGTTATGAATATCAGAACAATGAGGAAAGCTATGACTCAATTTTCATTGTGTTAAAAGTCAATGCTCTCTGAAACCTTCCACTGGAGAGGACCTCCAGCAACTACACTGTCAGCATGGCTGAGATCAAAACTAAGGAACCATTCATTTGTAAGCTGCTTAAATCCACTGAAACAGCTTGAGAAACTCAGACTAATTAATTTTACTATATCAAATTTACAGTTAATATCAAAGGGATTTAAGTTAAAAGGCAGTAATTCATAATTAGTCTGATAAAGTCAGGGTTAAAATAAAATGCTCAGAAAATCAAAAGGTTAAAATCCAAAGTCTTCAGGGGACTAGATCCTCCATGCTAAAAATCTCACTTTGATCAAAAAGTCAAACTAGACACCAGAAGGAAGGCTCCATATTCCTATTTCCAATGTCACTGTTGTCTCACCTCAACTTTTACATTGCTTACTATCTCAAAGCCCCACTTCCTAACCTGTACCTTGGAGAAAATGCTGAATTTTAATCCATTCCTCTGCCTCACCAGCTGTATTTAACCCAGTGTTAGCTATTCTAGGTCTAAATTCTGCCCCTTCTTCAATCTTTTTCTTCACCTGCTCAAGAACAGAGAAGGTAAAAGCAACTTCTCTGAAAAGCCCCCTCACACTTAAGGCACAAAAGGCAAAAAATATGCTTCCTACATTCAACTTTCACTATTTCCTACAGCTCTAATACAAATTCAAGAAAAACTGGAGGCATATAAGCATTCTAACTGCCACTCTCTGAAAAACTCTGTAGAGATGACCACATTAAAATTAAACAAGGAATTTTCACAGCAGTAGCTGTCTAATGATGCCCTCTAGCAAAGAGGTTTTTCTCAAAAACCCATTTTGCTTGTTCTACTCCAGTGCTCTCCCCAAGCTTCACTTGGATGGTTTCAAATAGCAGATGCAGAAAAAAGTCCTTGTGAAAACGAAGCACTGAAGTATTAAAAAAGGATTAGAAAATTGGCAGATATCAAATATGTAATAAATATGGTGAAGGGAAGAGGTTTTTCCTAGATTTTCTGCTATTTAAGCTGCATGAGTGTGATTGGAGTGAGACAGGTAGGAGGCTGAATAGGTAATCTCTAAAAACTTGACAACTGCAGCATATCATGTGGTTATGGATTTAGCATATGGACAGCATTATAACAGGAGTAATTCTGTAAGACAGACACAACAATTTACTCTTCTGTCATGAGTCCAAATAACTTCTAAACTTGTCTTTCTTTCAATCAATAAAAACTAAGTAGCCCTTTCTGCCTGCATGCAACTGTAACAAAATAAAAAATAATAATACACAATCTTCCTTGGTTCTCCTTCTCTTTATGTCTTTTACTGAATGCAGTGAAGTGCACATACTCACAGAAATTAATGTCTGGACAACCAGAAACTGCAAACCAGCAGCTAAATCAAAGATACTCTAATAGTGGCTGTTTCCTAACAGGATTTTTTTCTTTTAACAACTACATTACTTACAGGATTATGCGCTTCTAAAATTTGAATACATTCCAGCTTTGACAGGGTTTTTGATGTGTTCAGTTGTTCAAAGAGCAAAGCTTGCACATTTATGATAGCAGTATACAGCTCCAGCATTTTGGATTTTTTAATAGTCTTTTGAAAGGCTAAAGAAGCACTATACTCTCCAAGTTTATTTTCCAGATTGCGCAGGTGACATTCTTTCTCAAGCTGCAATTCATACTTTATCTAAAAAAAAACCAAAACAAAAACCAAAACACAAAAGATAGATTAACAGAAACTCTTACATGCACACTTATGATTTTAGTACTCTGTAATTAAGCAGTATTATGACAGCAAAGAAATCAGTGCTGTTATCTTACAATGTAATATACTGTTTCAAGAAGTGTTTTTAACCTTCAATTTCAAGTTTTTACTGTAATCCAAATTAAAAATTACAGTACAGTCAAATACTTCAAAGAGATCAGGCTTTCTTTTCAGGTAGTCAAAACGGAAATATTAAACGCAAACCTAAAACAGAGGATCAATATAATTTTTATTATAATAAAATTAAAAGCTAGAAACACAAATAAATCTCTGGTTAAATGGAAAGATAAAATATGCCCTTTTGCTTGAAAAAAACATGGAACTTATAGAAAGACTGTATTTAGTTTCAAATTGGCAAGTGTCAGTTAATGCTGACTGATGACATTCAACTATTCTTTGAGCAAATAATGAAAAACCTTCTTTTATAAAACAGAGTTAAACTGTAAATCAAAAGTCTATTGGCAACGGATTTCAACTAAGATTAGAACTGGATGGGATCAACATCAAACAGCATAAAATCAAAGTGATTTAACTCAATAGCTGTGTTGCTGCCACACATTTGATGGAACCTCCCTAGGAATTATTGAAGGGTGAAAGGCAAGTGCAGCATGCGCAGGCACACGAGCCAATGCATGTGAGTGATGAGCTCTCCATGCTGTGCCACTGAGAGCCAAAGACACTGCACTGTGACTGTGCTTCTGTGGGACAATGTCCAGAGCAGCCAGCTGCCATTACCTTCTTCAGGTGCTTCCATCTCAGCTTGTCACTCTAAGCTCCTTTCATACTCAAAGAAAACATACTTCTCAGTAGGTTTCCTATCCTAAAATATGGATTTCCACTGACATGTAACGTGGATGTCTAGGTTAGACACTGATGGCTCCACTGCATATTTAACATTTAGGTAGCTGAATCTTCAAAAGACTACAGTAAACAATTACCAGGTAGTTTGTGTTCTCTCCCCCTGCACTGTTCACTTGGGCCCAGAGAGCTGGATTGTAAGAGAGAAAAAATACAGATACAGAAAGCACATGCAACCCTGAGAGCTCCAACTCCACTACTTGGTGTTTTAAAACAGTTAGTAATATTTAATCTTTTAAACATAATGCATCCTTTAAATTAGTATACAATTAATATAAATATTTTAAAATAGGAAGAAATATTTCACAGTATTTTACAATGAGGGTTGTGAGACATCTTCAACATTATACAGCAAATGAACTCCTCTTAAACAAACAAAATGCTGAATCACTCAATTGGTATTGCTATCTACTCCCAGCCACAGTTTCTTTCTGACTCTTGCCAGCTCTGAAACCAGCCATACAATTAGAATGACAACAGCTATGCCAGATGGTGCATATAAAACTGGAGCAAGGAGGTTTAGAGAAGCTAAATTTCCAATTTTAAAATTAAGATTCTAATAAAAATGTAAGACAGCATTTGCTGCCTTACATTTACTAAACTATTCAGTACTTTTTTGCCTCTAAAGCTTAGCCCATAATCTGATGTACATCCAAGGAAGAGTACTAAAACCACCTAAATTTTGAAGACCAGGGCATTAGGTATTGAAGTCAAAATTTTAATGCCTCTGTTAAAGGATTAGAACATTCTCAGACCACAGTTATTAAACTTGTGAACAGTGCTAGAACATACTTGCCTTCTTGTTGTAGTCTTGCCCAAGCACCTGCTCTCACTTTCAAAGACTGGGTGCTAGACTAGATAAAAAATTCACTTTTATCATCTGCAACCAAATCAAACAATGTGTTTGATGCGTTGGTCTCACATAAAAGTGAAATTATTTCTGAATTAACACATTAACCCAGTATTTTTCATTTTTCAGGACAGAGGTATAAAAACCTAAGAAATAGGTATAAAAACAGCTTTTTGTCCCAGTTGGTAGAAAAATTGATCTTGCAATCTCTTTGGAAACTATTTTTTTATCTACTAATTTTAATTACCAATGACACCTGCTTGTCATGCATAGTTTCTACAGCTGTGCACCACCTTTGTTTAACAAACTTAATGTCCTTGCAATGTCCTCCTGACATGCAAACCTAATATTATCCATATCATACACATGTGAAAGATCTCTTGGAACATCTACTAGCAGGCAAGTAAAAAGCCTTCAAAATCCCATATTAAGATTGGCCCCACTCATTTCTCAAGGATTAACTTTAGACTGGGGCTGTGTATTTTTAAAAGGTACCCACCAGAATTAAGATTTCCTTTCAGTTAGCTCTATACAAATAAACTCAGACCCTACCCAAAAACCTTTTGGATCTAAGAATCCATTTTTGGATTTTCAGTAGCATTAGCAGATGTCCAGGAACTAAATGCTGCTCAGCTGAAGCATGCATTGAAGCACCTTCCATGTTTTGAAAGCCTTCCTAGAAAACCACAGGTCTAGGGGAGCCTTGCAATCTTGCACACACCAAGCCCCAGAACCATTGGAAGAAAAAGGGGTGAGACATGAAACCAGTTCTGTAACTAGGATGCAAAAAATAAAACAAAGCAAGAACTATTAAGTGTGAAATGCAACATCTTGATAAAGGCAGGCAATGGTAGGGAGATGCATCATGCCACTATACCTTACACCTTTTTTCTCTGGTTCTTATTCACATTGATAGAATGCTGTCAATCTTCAATTACTAAAGATCTAGGTTTCAACTTCAGTCCAGAAAAGATTGTACTTACCCTGTTCAAATTTTCACCTTTCACTGAGTCTTCATAAATTAAAATTTTGTCCTGTAAAGATTTCTTCAGAATATCTAACTTATGTTTATTCCTGGATCCTGTTTTTCCCATTTTAGAATGCTGCTGTAACAAGATGAGCAAAAATGCTTTATTTGTAAGAGGTATATGAAGATAATAATGTTAAAATTATTACTTATAATCAAAAACTTGGAAAATATGACTTTCACTGAGAAAGTACATCTGAAATTAAGGTGCTGCCTATTCATTCAGAACATTCATTTTGGACATTCAGACAAAGTTAGAATTTAAAAAAAAATTTCTTTTAAGTAGAATTATATATTCATCCTTCCCATGAAAACTCATAGCATATAAATTTGATTTTAAACAAGCTTTAGCAGTGATAATAAGAGAAGATTTTAACTGATACATTGTCTCCTCAGCTCAGTTAAAAATGAACAAAGAATATTAATTTAAGATCTACATTGTTTTCAACACACAGTCTGTGAATCACAAATGAACCATGATAATATTAAGAAGCACCGTTCCATGTAATCAAATTACTCTTGACCTTTCTATTTCTTTACAAGAATACCAACTAAGTATATGTACTCTTGGGGAAATGATAACATCTGTTCAACTGTAAGGTTTTGCAAAGTCATTTCTCTCCTTTAGTACTTTAGAAACTATTAAGGCTTTGAACTAGGCTAATTCCTAGCTCAATTAACCCAGCATAATTTACATGTTTAGAAAACATAATTGAACCAAAACAAAGCAAGGGCAAGTCCTCCTTTTTAAGATGGCTTCAGACACAACTAATACAGGAAATATTTTTGGCTCCCATATTTTATAAGAACTGAAAACAATTTATAATTCCAGAGATTTTGCACTTTACTGAAGGAATGAAACACCCCTCACACGGTTCTTTATAAAGGGCTAGATTCAATAGGCAGATAGACTTCTTGTTGGAAATATTTCTCTAACTTTAAGTATGCCTCATCTTCCACATATTTAGATTTTGGGAAATAACACCAAACTGCCTGCATACACTAAAATATTTTGCAATCAGAAAACATAAATCATGCCAAATTTCTTGCCAAGAAAGGCCATCTAACTCAGGAACTTTATTTTTGTAAACAGACAAAACAATGTAGAAGGGTCTTTTTCAGAAATTCCTATAATTTTCACGAAAGCAACAGAAATACACAGGTGTATGTGAAAAGCACCTATTTATCCAACTGCTGCCCAAACAATTATCTTCAAGCCCACTGGTCCATGCAGACAGGAGAAGTGTACACTGCTGTTGTACCTGTGAAGAAGCTACAGATCCAGATCAGCAGCCAATGCCAGCAGCCACAGGTACCCCCAGGATCCCCTTCCACATCCCCACACTGATCCCACACTGTTCTCACCTGTTCATTGGTCATTGCTAAATTCTGCTCGACTTTCAGCACCTCAGTGTCCCTCTGCTCCACCTCAAAAGCCTGAAGCAAGGTTCTTGCTCTTATCTTGGGCCAAGCCAAGCTGCTGTCCACCTGGGAGAAGCAGCAGTGCAACTCTTGCCTCATTCTAAGCAACTCCTCTTCTGAGAGTGAGAGGGGTAAACATAGAAGCTGCCTGTTAAAAAACACAAGAGCCATTTGCTGTTTAGTGATTTAGGCAATATTGCATAAAATGTAAGAGACATGCACACAAACACTTTACACAGAGTGATCATCCTTTTTTGGTCTATTTCATATATCAGTTAGCTGTTCACCATGTACAAAATACTCTTGAGGTTACCTTAAATTCTGCATACAGAGCTTCCTGGACTGTAAAATTTCATTTTCAAAGGAAAACAGCTTTTGAATATTTTAAAAATAAATTAATATTTTTAGCACATTTCCTATGCATAGAATCCTTCCACCTCTTCAGACAATACACTGAGCTTCAGCTGAAATCAAGATAAAAGCTTCCCATAAAGCCTCCCTGAGCTGTTTCCCATCACTTACCAGCCACAGCTACTGAGCAAGAAAAAATAAAATAAAATCTCTCCCTATTATAAATGCATATGCCATCGCTTTGATCAACAGATAACAATGGTTCCAGCTGCTAATTGTAAAAAGGCACTCTGCAGTCTGAAAAACACAATATATTTTAAGAATAATTTGAATTACTCAAAGTTCCCATTTTGCAGAATTAAGGTTCTCAACACAGATCTCTAAGGAACTGATCATTGGGTCAAGCTGAAGTTTACTTCAAAATAAAGCATGCTCAGCTCTGATTAACCATAGACTATACTCATCTTCTCACCTTGTGTATCTTATTTCCTTAAGAATATTTCACAAAAAAACCCATACTTTTATTTGTTTGGAAATTTCTTTTATTCCACAAAAATGTTTGTATTAAAAATATGAACAGTATGTTTTTCAAAAAGGACTTTTCATTGAAAACAGTATTATGCTGCATGCTTCATTAGTACTGATACTTTTATTTAATGTATACCAGGCCTATACTGCCTCATCATTTCACTAAAATATCTGAGTTTAGAAATCCTTTTTTCTTTCTAATGAATCAGAAAAGAACAGTTAAAAACTTCTAATGCATGAAGTTTTTCCCTTCAAAAAGTTGTTTACTTTAAGACAAGACTACTCCTAACTAGTCCAGATCATTTATAGCATACTTAACCATTTGTCATCTTGTTTTAGACTCATGGAAGAAAAACCATGCCATAAATCCACATACATAGATATATAGAGAAAGATAGGATAAATACAGCAAATAGAGTTTTGTTATATGCCTATATTTAAAAAGGACTGTAAGCATTAACAATCTTCACAAATATTTTGGACTAACCCATGGTCTCTTTAATAAGCAACAAAAATGAAAAGTATCGTTCAAAATAATGCTTTTTGCAAACTAGATAGCAGATGAGAACATAAACATGAGAGCTGGCATCTGTCAGCAAAATACCATAACTGACAGACAGTGGACTGGAAAAAGACCATGACAGATTCTAAGGGGCTATTGGTAGGACAGTTGTGGCTGCATTTTCTGTATATATTTTCCTGCATTTTACTGAAAAAAAAAACCAAAAAACCAAACAGATTACTGCTGCTCCAAATAATGATAGCATCTAACAAATATGACTGGCACACTGCAGGTTGGAACAGAGTTATTATGGAATACTAACATAGAAACAGTAAAGTCCTGCTGGGTCATACAATCTACCTCCATATTCCTGCAGGTCTGCTCTTGGCAATGTAAGTGAGAGATAGTTAAGACAAGCTCGAAAATGTGTACAAATGACTCACAGAAAAGTATTTAAAATGCTGAATAAAATACAAAGCCCTTGAAATTAGAACCAAAACAATGGGAAAAAAAGGAATTTTCTTCTTCAGCAAAGCAAATGCAATTGGTAAAGTTTCTTTTTATGCTCCTGTTATATGGTTTTATAGTATGTGGCAGGAAAACTTATTCTGTCTGGATAAAACTGCCCATACAAATCTATTTTGCTTTAAAGAAGAGGTATGAAGGAGAAACTTTTACCAGTGTCTTTTTTTTTCTTTTTTTTTTTCTCCCTCCCTGTTCAATCTCTTATGCCTGGTACATTTTCTTCAGAGCCACACAGCTTATTATAGGTTTGCCTGTTGCAGCTGCTTCCCCTAAAGCTGCAATTTTACTTTTTCATGTTCCCATGTCTCTAACAATGTCTCTTATTAATTAGACATTGTATAGGAAATGTAGTACTGCAAATATTCAGGCAATCAAACAACCAGACATAAATGTACTTGAAAGCTAACAAGAAATGCTCACCAACATCTCCTGATCTCTCAGGGACCTTTCTGCCCACTGTGAGAGGCACAACCACTCCTGGCCACAGCCATGGGCTCTCCCTGTGCAAGGTCTCCCAGCTGTGGCAAGGCCACCACCTGCTTTCCCACCTCCCCAGGGTCACATTGTAGCAGGCAGCAATGGCCCTAACACTTTCTAACAAGGGGCCAGAACTCCTCTCTGCAGCTCTGCCTGGGCCATGATGCCTGTCTGGCTCAGGGCTTGGTGCCAGGGACACACTGTCCCCAGGCCACAGCAGCCCAGTCCGACACGTGGAGCCATGAGCAGGACAGGCAGATACTGCACTGTGTACTTTGTGCCAAAGCTTAAACCAAACCTGACGAGTAAGGCTTCACTTGTGGCTAGAAGAAATATATTCAACTTAGACTTGGGGCCAATTAGGTCTGACATGCTAATTGGCATTTCCAAAGTGTGGGAACTCAAAGAACAGACTGAGAATAACAATGAAAGATGTCTAAATGATACCTCCCATAGAATGAATGGAAGTATAAAACCTTTATTTCACATTTTTAGCTTCAAGACTGCTGCTTCCTAGGATTTCCACTGCAGTGTTCACCCACTGGTACTGCATGGGCTGAGCGATTAAAAAAAAAACCAATTCTTAAGTGCCCAACAGAGAACTATCATTAGGAATAACAAGTGAACAGGTGTGAAAACTCCCAGTTCTATTCTACTTGCCATAGTAACTAAGAAAAGAGTACAGAGAGATACTTGCATGAATATTGACTGTTCCCAGCTCCTTATTTTCTTTTGTTCTGAGATGCCAGTTTCCAGCTCTTGGCTTAGCTTCTGCCTGGTGAGCTGAAGCAGCTCTTCAGCAGCCATGTTCTTGTCATGTTCTTCCCTTTCAAGCTGTGCATGTTTAACCACCATCTCTTTTTTGTGATCCTCCACAACTTCTAGTAGGAACAATTTTGGCACATTGAGCTTGACCAGCTCTTGCACAACCACTCCACACTGAACACGTTTAAGCTCCTCAATGGCTTTCTCTGCCAGGCTAAATAGAAGCTCCTTCAGCTCTTCACTGGCCTCATTGTCAAGCTTTTCAGTAAGTTCTTCAAATTCAATGGTGTGGTCACTCAGAAGATTTTTCCAGTGTCTCAGGTAGTGAGAGATCTCATCAGTAGTTTTGAAGGGGTCTCCAAGTGACAGCTGCTCCTTCTGATGCTCTTTCTGCTGATTCATTTACCAAAAGGAGGAACAAAGTTTTAAAAAAAGAACATCTTGAATTCTAGATCCTCAAGTATGAATTTCATAGCAATGCAAAATTTCATATTCTTTCTTTTCCATGTTCTCGAAACTGCTTTTCAGTGCCCGGAGGATCACCTAGCCCTCAACAGATCAGCTTTGTGAGCACCTAGGAGGTCTGTGATAACTCTGACTATCGTTAGATATAAAGGCTGTGATAATATGGACTGTTGCTAGATAAAAGAGCTAACATCTAAACAAATGCATCATCATGTGGTTTCACAGCTATGAATTACTGCATGACTAATACAAAATATGGTGGTACACAGTTAAAACCAACTGGCACTTATTTTAAACCATGCTCCTGGCAGTGCTGACCTCTGCTATAAGAACTACATCTTATTTTTACATTAATTCAATTTCTAATTCATTATAAGCCCTATGAAAATAAAAACATGGAAAATAATTACCTTTTGCAGCATTTCCCGCCTTCGTTTGGTAATGAGTTTCTGGCAAAGCTTCTGCTTTTCTTGTTTTAAATCATGATCAAATTTCTGTTTAACAAAATTAATTTCAGCCTCAGCTCGGTCCAGCAGAATTCCCAAATGACTTTCAGGTAGATGACCTGCTCTGAAATAACAGTGTTTGAAGGCTGTTATCCCAAATTCTTAAGAGCAAAAGGATATATGAGGCAATTAGCACCATAAAAGGCTCAGCAAAATGGACACAAAGAATGATCTTTGTTTCTTTAGCAGTGATACCCAGGGGAATCAAACAAGGAAGGGGATAATCAGAGGACAATCTCAGAGATGAGCACAGAATTGAGGCAATTTGTGAAGATGTATAAAAAGAAACAAGAAGAAGGATGGATAGACAGGAAGGATAGACAGAAAGGACAGATGGGAAGGACAGGCAAGTGCAAAATCAATTACACATCAGTTTGTAATGTGATATTCAAATGAGACATTTTAAACCTTATATATTATTCATATTTAATTGTTTTCATTTAATGCCCTGGAAATGCCATTTTATGTTTTTTATAATTCCTTCTCCTTATTAAAACAAAACTCTCTTTAAAGTATGTAATCAAGTAAAAAAAACTTTATTTTTAATAGACAAAGCAATCATATCCACAAAATAGTTATAGTCACACTTTCTACTAATTTTACATCAGAAGAATTATAAAAAAATCAAAATAAGAGCAAAATTCAATTATCTGAAACAGCAAATTGTCAGTCATAAGCCCACAGTGCTTCAAGTGGAAGTTCAACACTATGGTCTACCTCTAGTTGCTACAGTATTTAATGTCAAAGAGAAAACAAGATCTCAACAGTGGCTGCAACAGATAAAAAAAATCTCCACCTCCACAAACTCAAATTGAATTTCAGGCTTACCTGCTATTACATTTACATTACAAGTTCCCCGAATCTTTCTTATTCAACAGAAGAATAAAAGAACATCTTAATTCAGACCGGGCTGTAGGATATTGTGAGTTATAATTTCTATTAAGCACAGCAAACTTACAAAATGTGGTGTCGTAAGGTTAACACAAGACTTTGAACTGAAAGCACCAATTCCTGACCTGAAATTGGATGTTATACAGATACCTTCTAATTTACCTATCCAGTCCCCATTTCTCAAAGAATACAGAGTCAGGACTCAGATGAATCCAAGGCTTTCAAGGTTTCATTCCAGTGTACTACCTGGCCCAATTCCTAAATTAAGGTTGTATCTAAATGTGGTAAGCAAGCCCTTCTCCAGAAAGGAGAGTCTTATTTTGGTTTATTAGGATTTACTGCTACTGTGACAACTTAATTCCAACCAAAATCCTCAAAATAAATGCTAAAATAAAGCAGAAGATTACCAAATTTTAGCTTATTTGCACCCACTGCACTGTAACCAGGGTGGCCAGAACCCGTAATTCACACCTCCCCATCTTCTGCTCAAGCATCCAGAACTATCTGAGCAAGCCATGAATCACCACTCCTAGATAATGTATGTGCTGGATAGAAATTCAGATGCGCTTTATCACAGTCATGTCAACAAAACAGATCCTCGTTTTGCAGAGCTTTTTCAAAGTCTATCTATTGCATTTCTTTAATCTGCAAAGAGGATTAAAATACCTTTCAGTATTTTGAGAGTAATCCACCAAGCATCATTCTTGGCCAGGTAATTTCTGCCTTGAAACTAATCAATCTTAAAATTGAGTGTTATGTCAAAACCTCCCTAACAGCACCAAGGTTTTTTTGGTAACTCTAAGTCCCCTCCCTCCTTTTTGACTGAACCCAAGGCAAAAGATGTGTGAATAAAGGTAATTAATTATGGTGAGAAAGTGCGGAAAGATAATAACTAAGATATTATTTTTAACACCTTCATCTTTTTTTGTACTGAGGAAATAAACGCAGGCTTGCTACATCCAATTAAAATCACTGTCCAGAGCACAGAAAACAGTCTGCAATAGAAAAAGATAGATGTGCTGGAACCACACAGCAAATGAAAGTTTAAGAAAAGTCATGCAACACAGAATGATAGGAAGATGATATATAGCTACCTATTTTTAGGATTTAAAAAAAAAGGTCTACAGTGTTTCAGTTGGTTTATTTAGAGATCCAGTATGTCCATAGCTAAAATTGCAGGTGATGCAGTATCCCATCACAGAAGCCCTATGTCTATTTATTTCCAAACTTATATTAATGGGTGTTATGGTAATTCCTAAAAGGCTCAATCCTGGCGAGACATCTTCATTTCTGGTTTCATAAAAATACAATATAAAAACAATCACAGTATTAAGAATAAAAGATGTCTCAAAGGAATCCAAATAGAAATGCAAAACAAAAGGAGAGAAAAAAGGTAATGAGATAGTATAGACTGTATGATAAAACTGCCTGGTCTCAGCATAGTGGAAATTTAATCACTGAAGAAATGTGCAGGTACATATCTTTGAACAAAGAGAATTTTAATGAAGAAGAATACTGTGGTAATACCAAGGATGTTTAAAGGGAAATCCTCCCAAAGGCAGTGAGCACCAAGGAAGGTACAGAGGTGAAGCGTGGAGCCAACAGCAGCAGCATCACAGGTCAATCAGAGAGAGACCTTGACTCCTCTGTATTGAATGAAAGTCAACAAATTAAGGAGCAAATACAGAGAGCACTGAAGTAAAAAGCAGGACTTTGATGTTACAGGGAATCAGTGTTCTGGGATGCTGGACCCCAGCAAAGGAAAATTGTTTCATGAAAGCTTGAAAAGGAACAGGAGCATCACTAAAGCAAAAGCGAGATCGATACGAAGCAGAAAAGCTGCACAGGCCTGAATGTACATGGAGGCTGAATCACATCACCATACAGAAATCACAGAGAGACAACCTGCATGACTCTGCCCATGCTACTCCAGCTACATCAGGATTTCACCTGCTGAATTGGCATCTTGCTGTTGTCCAGAACACAATTCATGTTAAAAATTTAGGGCGATAAATGCCTCCCCTAAATAGCAGAGCGCTACAAGCAAAAAAGGTTTTAAGAGATTATTAGAAAACTTCACACTGATGCATTACTGCTGACTTCCACAGATGTCCAGTGAAGACATTGCTGGAAAACTCTCTATGGACAAGGTCCATATAAATGGTGATTATTAAGAAGAACAAGACCAGCATAAGGTGCTTGCTTTAATCTTTTGACCATTTTAGAAACACAGTACACAAGAAATCCTTGAGGTCTTAAAAAAAAATTAAGTTTGGGGAGAAATTTATGAACAAGTTTGCAACCATTTGTATCTAATGAGTCAGAAGAACTGAATTCAATATTAAGAGACAGAAGAAGAAAGACATTTCTTGTGAACAAGAAGATACTGGCAAAAGAATAAGACAGTGTTTTACCAATATTATAGTTTAAAACCATCAAGAACCTTGCACCTCTGTTGATAGCAAGAACAATCCAAGATAAACACTGCCTCAAGTATTGCCCTTTTTCCCATTATTCTTTAAGAAAAAAAAATAAAGAGCCTATGTAGCCATCCCTCAAATCCATGAGGGATGGCTACATAGGTGATAATTACAGATTATATTTTAAATTCTCCTTTCCTGCTTTCTGGCACTGCAGTCCAGACACTTGACTTTCAAAAGACACTGAGTACTGAAATACTAGTCCAGACAAATGGGACACTTTATTTAAATACAACATGAAAACTCTGGCTGCTCTATTTCATTTAAAATGTTCACAGCCCTCCCTAGGACTGGTTTGGGTTTATTTTTTTTTTTTATAACATTCATTTCTAGCCACACAGAATCCTTTTCACAGTAATTTGAAATTGCCTTGCTATTGGATAAATTTTAAACATACTAATCAAGCTTCATTTTAAAAAGACTTCTCCCCTCAATATCTACCTGCTGGTTTATCACTGCATCTATCTGTAGTATATCTAATCTATATATTTTCTCTCTTCTCCATTTAAGTTTTGTATTTTAGAATTCCATTTGTAACAGTAAGCTTAAGGCACTCTATTATAAAGCTGGAAAAAATAGATTAAGACAGAGCTGTATCTATATTTAGCAAGCAGATTCAATCATAAAGTGAAAAATAAAAGGATACTGTGGTTACAAATTTAAAGTACTGTTTAGACCTGACTGCTCTTGCTGCTCAAATTTTAGTCCTCCAATTTGTAAACATTCCCAAAATCACTTTCTAGTTAGAAACTGAAATACAAGCCTATGTTACGTAATAATGAATTTCTCGTGAGTTATACTAGGCTATTCCAGTTTGCCTGTAGAAAACAAAAGAGTAGCAAATAAACTGAGATACTACATTCTGGAGTTTTATAATCACACCAGCTAAAGAATGAATTATAAGAGTTTGGCCAATATTTGTCTGAGAGGAATTACTGCAGCAGCAGGTGTGGGAAGTTACAGGAAAATGACTAGCTCTAAGCCCAGAAAGCCACATGGGATTGCTGCCCTCCAAATGCCTTTCTCCACAGACAACCAACCAATACATACTCTGCAAGTTTTATAGGAGAGTGCTAGAAAAATTAATTTCTCATCTTGATAATAATACTTGCTGCTTTTGGAAGTGTAGGGGGGTTTGGAAAGTTTTTTAATACATTTAATACGTCTTTGGGGATGAGATCCATGAGTTAATCATGAGATCCATGATTAACTAACACTATGCCTTTCCTTTCTATTTAATAGCTGATGTTTTGTGACTGGTAAGTGCAATAACAGGCATTAAACAATGGGTGAAACTGATTTTTCCAGCTCAAGAAGTCCCATTTGCTCACTGCAATGGTCACACAGTGAGGTTCTCACAAAGGCTTTTGACATAACCAAATCATCAGAGAAAACATCTCCGATTTTATAATACAATTCCAAAGAGAGACATGAACTGATGGAAGGGAACTCTCTGCGAAAGACATGTCTGAACTATATTTCTGATTCCAGGACATTTTGTCTTTGAGCCACACAGCTGCAGACCTTAGCAAAACAGTGCAAGACTACTGGAAGAAGCTCTCTGCTCAATGAATCTGGGGGCTAAACTCAGGATGATTCAATATAAACTTAGTGTTTTATGATTCCAATGAGGCAGAACACAGGACAACCAAAAAGAAAAGCAAGGAAAAGATACCTAAACACCCTGATAAATTATTTTGTCACATCAACAGATGCAATCTTTGATAGCTTTTAACAGACTTCCTGCTTCCTAATACTATATTACTTTTTAATTAAATTGACATTATGGAAGAAAAAAACACACCTGAAAGACCAGTGTTCATCTAGTTCTCTTAATGCACATTTCACATATTGTCAGTGACTGACATCAATACAGATATCTCAAACATACAAATAAAGCTGCATGCACAGGACCTACAGCAGCAGTGCTAGGTTGTTTATCATTACACTGACCTATTTTGCTGCCCTGGCAGGCTCCTCACTAATCTGTCCATATGCCAAAATAACACAGTTTCCTGGGTAGTAGCACAATGTCTCCCTCAGTGCTCCTCACAGCCATACAATTCTAAATACCTACATTTCTGTGTGTCTGCTGGGTCACCATTTCTACCTCTCTACCTTGATTCTGAGTATCCCATCACAGAGTACTCAGTCTGCCTGGGTCTGGTATGATATCCCAAATAAATTAAATGTGTGTATTACAACAGTTTATTTCCAGGTCTACTTTTTACTTCCCTGATATCTAACTTTTAATTTTCTGCAACAGGTGTATTCTCTGCTAGTCAAAATCCTCTAGTTAAATTATTTATAAACTTCATCTATTTTCTTTAGAAAATATTCAAGAATTTCCAGCTCAAAAAGAGAAACTATATGTCCAGCTCCTCAAACACATTCAATCACACGTGAATCAAAATTGTTCTTTGCCATTAAATCCAGATATTTGTGTATAAAGCATGCAGACAAATGGTTTTCACCAGTACATGTTGCAATGGACTCTGGCATGAGTTTTCACATGACTTACAAGTATTTACACAAATAATGGATGTATAAAGACATTGACAATCTTACATGAGTCTGGTTCCCACTGAACTCAGAATTACAATCAGGTACTACATATGTTTCCAGCAATTCATCTCTGTGCTGTACAAAGTAGACACAGACAACAAAACCTCACCTTAGCACCTGCTGGGATTTAACTAACAAAGGCAATCAGTCACAAAATATTTCCTTAGAATTAACTAAAAGATAACATTTTATGCATCTCTCCTGCTAGGTAACACAGAAAAAAGACTTGAAGAGTCTGTTGTCTGTAAGATAACGTAGTCAAATGGCTGACAAGGAAACAGTTGAGTTCGTTACCTTTCTGTTTCGTTAATGAGACTCCGTATCTGGGCTGCTGCGGCATTTATAAGAGCAGAGACACGAGAATCCCTTGACTGTATCTTACTTATAAGATATTCTCTGTAAGAAAACCTTTTACTCAGATGATATTTCTTGCAAGCTTGCAAAAAATCCATTAGCTCTTCAATGTCACCCTACAGGAAAGAATATGAACAAATGTGAACATTTAATTAGATGCAACGCTAATTTTGGCTAACACCTGTGAGTGTCAGAGAAGATTTGTTCATTAATAGGGCAAAGTTTAAAAACTCCTCCAAGTGTAAAATAATAAGCTTGTATCAACTAAACTCTAATGATCACATCAAATGACTATGGTTATTTCAACAACAACAAAAAAAAAAAAAAAAAAAGAAAAGTTCAGAGCTTTTGGCCTGATAACCTCAATATTGTGTGTACTTTCATGAACAGTTAGTGCATGTCCTAAGTGCCCTGAGTTAACAGGTGATCACATCTGATTTGATCAGATATTCACTATTGCATACTATTACATACACATGCAACCCTGCCAGTGTTAGCAGAACTGTTCTTTACAATGTACTATATAACTACATAAAGGGGCACATCTTCAAAGGTGTCTATAAGTTGGCTTCAAAGCCAACTCTTCCATGTATGTAGAGTACAGCATAGGGAAAGCCAAGCCGACTGCACACAGGCTGGCTTAGAAGTTCCCCCTTCCAACAGTGGCAAACAGGAAGGGTTTAAATGCCTACAGATGGGTCTGGGCAGAGATGAGAGTTAGGCACACAGTGCTTTGTAGCAGACATTCTGCCAGCATAAATGGCCAAGGTCTGCTCGTTACTTGACCCATGTCTGAGCAGCCAAAACAGTCAAACCTTTTTTCACTTGCTCTACCTCTTTGATCTAGATGCTTAACTATCTTCTGCACAGTGCTTGCTGCATCTCCCTCTGACCGTGGCCCATGTGTAGCTTCTGTATACAAGGTTGTGCATCAGGTTTTAGGAGTGGGCCTTACACACTCTGACACCTACTTTCCAGATGTTGCTTTTTAACCTCCTCCCTCAATCTGCAGGACCACAACAATCATACTCTTGTTCAAGAAGCAGGCAGAAGAAGAATTTCCAGAACTTTTGTAATCCAGAGTACTAACTTTCAACACAAATGGAATAAAAAACAACCAAACAAAAAAAAGCAAACCATGAGGAAATAACTTCACCTACTCTATTGCAGGAGGTTTAAAATGTAGCTGAAAGCAAAACTTAACTCCTGAACATACTCTCCATCAGCACCCCTTGATAATAGAACCTGGAGATACTCAACCTCTCTTAAATACATAATCATGGTACTTCAGACATACCACAATTTCAATAACCTACATATTTAGACTGAAGAGCTCAGTACATCTTCTGAAGTATATAAGAGCACTTGGTGCCTAGGGGGTTTTGAACATGTGAATATACCTCAAGATTACAGTTGTGTAGATGTCTAGATGTGCATAATGAATGCATTATAATTTTTTAAAATCCTTTCTATGAAAGCTTGTTATGAAAGTGATAACATTAATCCTGAAACAATTCTCAAAAGTTACTGTGTTGTAGTGTGTTGTTAAGTTTCTTGTATTACTCCCCCATTATGTGTATTGTTTTCCCCTGTCCAATGTAAATGGTTCTACCCTCCCCAGTTTTCCCGCCATTAGCTCTACTGTCAGTTATGTTACTATGGTTACCCCTGCCCTTGGTTGTGTCAGTTACCTAAGTTATATAATTTCTCCTCCCCCTTACCTCCTTATAAGTAAACTTTTCCTCCTCCCTGGGCCCAGTCAATCACCCCCCCACTCCTCCCAGTTTTCCAGAACCTACTTCCCTCTGGGGGTTGTGGTTGGCTGAGGTCCCGGGGCCCCTCCTTTACCTTGTATTTATTGGTTATCCCTGTATGTCAGTTATGTTAAGTTCATCCCTTCACCCTTCCCCATTGGCTCTCTGTAAATCCCTCCCTTATACACCCCCTTTCTTTAAAACCTTACTTCTCCTGCCCCTCGGGGTCACTCCCCTGGTTGGTTACTCCTCTGTTAGTTCATCTGGAACACCAATAAACCGACATTAACCCCCGGTGAAGTGTCCTGCTCCTTCCTCATCTATTCAGCAGCGAGAGCCTGTCCGCAGCCAGCACCACCCAAGGCCATTTGACACCAAGGGGTGCTGGTAGGGAATTGCAGCTGGGCGTTGGCCCCTGCCCTCAGCTAGCCGGACACTGACCCTTTGGGCCACTTACACCTCGCCACAGATTGGCACCCAACGTGGGGCCCTGAGTGGACAAGTGGACGCCAGATCACCGGACCCCGCGGACAGGATTTTATAATTCTACTGGCCGCCAAACTATCCTCGGTAGTAGCAGACCCCGTTCTAGGGATAGCGCTCCCGGGGGATCAGAAGTCGTTACTCCCCACACCCAAGGAGGACTTCTAAGACGAGGACCACTGCCCAAGTTTTTGTTTGTGCCACCACCGGACTAGGTAAGCCCTGGCCCTGAGCTGGGGCCTCTCAGTGGCTTCCCCCCTGTCTTTTTAACCCTCCCTAGGAGCCCATGCCCTGCTTTGGGGACCGCTCCCTACCCTCTCTCCTCTAAGGGCTGATCCCAGGCAGTGCTCTCCCTCTTTCTTCACTGCTCTCCTTCTGGGGACAGTCCTCACCCCCTCGTTTTTTGTTTTTCCTCTCCTGTGGGGTCTGTATCCCCAGACTTGGGGCCAGACCTCACCACCTAATATCCTTCCTTTCCTTGTGTGGGAAAGGGTGAAGGGATGAACTTAACATAACTGACATACAGGGATAACCAATAAATACAAGGTAAAGGAGGGGCCCCGGGACCTCAGCCAACCACAACCCCCAGAGGGAAGTAGGTTCTGGAAAACTGGGAGGAGTGGGGGGTGACTGAGGAAAAGTTTACTTATAAGGAGGTAAGGGGGAGGAGAAACTATATAACTTAAGTAACTGACACAACCAAGGGCAGGGGTAACCATAGTAACATAACTGACAGTAGAGCTAATGGCGGGAAAACTGGGGAGGGCAGAACCATTTACATTGAACAGGGGGAAACAATACACATAATGGGGGAGTAATACAAGAAACTTAACAACACACTACAACATTACTGCAGGTTTATACTTTGTCTTTAGGTTAGGAATGGAGATATCATCCTGTTACCTGTACTTTACAGTAACCTTCAACTAATGTTTTAGCTGCTTCCACCTTCAGTTCTCCCTTTGAAGTGGCATTTATTATTTGTGTAAAAAAGATGGTATGGAGCTCCTTTCTTTGGGTAACAGCCAGCTCTCTATAAGCCTTTGCAAAATATTCCTCCTGCTTTACAAAAAGGAACCTCTTCAGGCAGTCCTGCTCCAGCCTGTTAAGTTTGTCCAGAAGACTTCTGCATTCTATAGCAGGCTGCAGAAAAGAAAGAAATAAATGCATCAAAAGTGATTTTCAGAATTCAACATATTATAAAATACCAGTGCTACTAGCTCATATAAATTTTATAAATACTTTAGTTGCTGTCATTTCAGGTTTATGTGAAGGCTAATATTGAATCAGTGTACGCTTTGTATAGTTTTCACCTGTTTGGATGGCAGTGCTGTACAGCTGCCAGTTTCTAATCCAGATATCACTTCCAAGGCATAATAACGTCCTTTTAAAATTCACAAGTCTTATAAAACATAAATTATATAAAATGCCATGAAATTCAACACAAAGATAATATATTAAATTAATTTTTAGGTTTCACCAATCCTGAAATCCTATTAAAATTAAACAGACTCAGACTCATATAACACATACCAGTTAAATAATAATAAGCATAATTTTAAAAACAACATAAATTAGAAAAAAACCCCTGTTCTACTAAAAATCTTGATAAGTTTTTTATTATTGGTGACCTACTTTAACCATCAGTTTCTACAAATTAATCCAAGAGCATTGCTTTAGATTTACATTTACAAACCATGGAGTAGTATTAAAAGTCAATTACTTTCAAAGCTTCCTTGCGAGAAATATTTCCTCTTAGTTCTCTAGTAAGACTTACATATTCATAGTTTTAATCTCAGATGGCATAAAGTCATTATAGAATCAAAACATACATGTCCCACAGAGCAAAGAATGCTTCTTATGCCAGCAGAGCTACCTAAAAGTCACAATGTCAGTCTTGTTCTAAATTTCATACCAATTATCTTGAGGAGAACTGCCCTCAGCACTTCATTTCTCTTTCCCAAGAGACACACTGCAGGCAGCAAATAATTAATCAAAAAGGAATAGAAATTCTATGTCTTGGCTGAGAAGGGGAGGAGGTTCATGCTCTAGTTGTTTCCCACTGCCATCCCTTGGGTGTCAGTACACGTGCTGCCCAGGAGAATGGGCTGAGCCAACCCTCACACTCAGCATGTCCTTCTGCACTGGGGCATATATAAAACCAGGTCCTTCTAGAGACAGAAAAGTCAACAGCAATGATAGGATATGGTAAATGCATCAGGACAGATACTGGACTAGCCTTAATTGCTTGCTTGATTCCTACTATTCAGGATTTTCAGTACAAATCAGACTGCCCCAACAGCAATACATTTCATACATATCAAAGCCACTTTGTGAAAGTATATTTACTGTGAGTTCACACACTGAGTTTCAGTCAGGGCCCTCTCTCTGCAAAGGCAGGACTTGTCTCAGTGAGGTGTAGGCTCCTTCTATGTCCAACTGAAGGAGAAAGCCTCCAGCAGAGTTCAATTCATCCTTAAGAAGGTGCCCACAAGTATCTCTTCCTTCCCACCTCCTGTGTTTCTCGCACCTCTAAGTGCTAGTTCAGGACAGGCATGGAAAGCTCCACAGAGTCACAATTTAAAATCCACCTGAAACTGGATTTCAGAGAAATTCTACTGGCTCACTAGCCTTGTACCATTAATTTTATCTATACCACAGCCTGATAAAGCAAAGTACTTCCTGAGAGCCTCAGCATACTGGAGTACATTTAATGGGTCTGCAAAAAAAACTTCTCGTGTCAAAACTTTAATCATGAATTGTCATAAATGACCTAAACAATTATGGGTATGTGATATGCACATACCACTTGTGATCCAGAAGCAAAGCCTCACCAGTTACAAACTGTACTATTTGTTCCCACCAAGTCACCCTCTTAACAAATATGAAAAAACAACTTGGGGCATTTTGGCATTTTAAGCTTACAGAGATGAAATACTCAAAACTTAACAGAATCCTTCCAAGCCACAGGAAGTTGTTAAAAATAATAATAAAGGGTGGGGAAAAATCAGTTTTATTGTAAACATCCAATATACTCAAAAAAAGACACGGGAGACTGCAGCATTATAAGGAATCTTACCCTGACTTCAGTTATTTATTTATTACAAAAAGGCTATTTTCAAGAAAAGTCCACTCCTCGCTCTATAATACAGATTGTTCTGCTTGCCTTCACTCATTTCAGAGGGAAATCAGCCCTTGGTTGTGCTTATATTCTAATTTTCTTCAAAAACAGAACATAAATATTGGAAGTGTTTTACCTAGACTGTAAGGTTTATGATGAAGGGAGTTTGTTCTGCTCTGAATGCACAAAATTTACCTCAGTGTCTGAACTCTCAGAAAGTGCTGCAGTAAAATACAGTAAATAAAAGTACACCACTTTGGAATAACATAAGTAATTATAAAAAAAAACCCAAAACAAAAAGGGTAATGACAACCCTTTGTCTTCAGATGTCATAGATTGTCTTGAGAAAAAATCATTTTCTGGTGAATTAAACACAATTTCTTTTAATAACTACCCTGATTGTGATATCTGAATTTCTGAACCCATTTAATTGTAGATCTTTACTCTTCTAGGAGGACAACTAAGCTGTTCTAGTCTAAAAGAGAAAACATCTCCATAAAACTACCTATGATGCAAAATATCTTGGCTTAAAACCAGATTTACCTTTTCATTAATTTTCTTCATTAACTCCTCAGCCTCTTCACTTGCAGCTCGTGCTTTCTGGCACTGAGCCTCCACTGTCTTCCTAGTTTCCAGATTACATTCAGCTGTTAAAGCCACCATCTTCCTTTCATACTCCTCTTGAATCTCCTCCTCCATTGCAAGAAACAGCTTTTTGAAAACTGAACTTATCTTCTTCTCCACATGAGGAAAAAGGCTGTGATTTAAGACCATGTTCTTCAACATCATAGCAATCACCTCCTTACAGATCTGTGTTCGACTGGCCTCCAGATCAGCATCTGCCCGTGTCAGGCTGGCAACCTCCAAACTGTGCAAAGTAATCAGGACTGTTAGAAACCACAGATTATGGGAAATTTCTGTCAGAAAACAAGATCTTGGTATCTAGAGCATTCAATCTCCAGATTGCATCTAGATTCACTCAATACTGGGTAGTGAAATGGCAGTCAGAGATGTGCAGGAATATCATAGTATATGAGTTTATTAATCATGATAGTAATTATTCATTCAACAACAGGGTGAGTCAACTTCTACTACAGCAACTTTAATTAAGTATGTCCACACTTCCATTTCGGACAGAAAAGAAAAATCTTTTCTTTACTAATACTCAAAACATTCCCTCAGATAAAAGCCAATAGAAATGTCTGACACCCTCCCCACCAAAAAAAAAAAAAAGGAACAAAACCAACCTGCTATCTCTGTTGGGAAGCAGATCAAATGGGCACCTGAATAGACTATAAATTTTACTGACTGTAAAATAGTTCTAAACTCACTGACCCATCTAGATTGATACATCACTGTTTCATATTCTTGGCTGGTGTACTCCCTTCTCTGCAGGGAAGAAGGGACAGTTTCAATTTTATGCTAATACAAATAAAATAGCTGGTATCTGTCTCTCATGAACATTAATAGAGTTCTAGAAAAGAGATTAAAACCATATAGAAATACAAGAACTTTTAGAAAATGCAATACGTTATGTTGCATATAAATACATTCTCATTTATCTGTAGAGTTAAATTGGAATTATAATTATTCTAATTTCATATACAATGTAACTACTCTAAATTCTACACCTGAACTCAGTTTCACACTGGAAAATTCAGTGGATGCTCCTGCATGTCAAATTAGATGAATACACAACACTGTATACTTCTGTGTGTGGACCATGTGTACACAAATTTCTTTGTGACCTAAAAAGATACTTTTAGGGGCTTAAACTCATCCATTTTTTTTGCTTACACTAAATTATTGGCCTAATTTTTCTGCAGAAAAATCTAAGAATAAATTTCAAATCTATAGCAAAGATCTTGGTAAGACTTGCAAGAGAGTGGAATGATACTACATTCAGAATTGTATAAATGAAGATATGCAAATCTAGAAACACTGTGATTTTTGGTCAAACTTTCCTTTCCTTATGAAAGCAAGTAAAGTTTAATTAAAAGTAAACAACTGACATATCATCACTGCCTCCCTGACAGCACAAGAGATGTATTCTCCCCATCCTGAAATTGATGGGGTGGAATTGTTTTCGCACAATGACTCAAATACTTGAAGAGTATTTGGGAGACTGGCTTTGAAATGTAATTATCTACCACAGACTGATTTTCTGTTGCAATTTCTCCACACCACAGAAACACACTGGTGATGGCTGTCCTCATCATGGCAATCTGCTGCAAGGCTGGCTGGTTGGCTGCAGCTGCTAAACCTCTTACATTTTACCCCCTCTTCTTTATATACAGGAACAGAAATTCCTGCAATTGAAGTACCATGAGCCTGAAACATTTCTCACAGTAACCTGAAGATCCTCTAAGAGCTAATATTTGCTATAATATCCCCTGGGAACCCAAGCATCCAGCTTCTCTGTCCTGTCAACAGATGGACACTGCAGCTGGAGGCACATGGCTTTCTCAGGGAATGTTCATCTACACTCACGGTAAAGTACCTCAGGGCACTGATCCCTGGGGAGAGTCCTTCTTGCTCCAGGAAAGAGGGCAAGTGATGGCAGGATCAAGGTAACAGGATGTGTGTTTTCTCCTAAGTAATTTTGCTTACAGTCTCAGGACTTCTGCTGACACAGTCAGCTATTATCAAGCTGTTTTTGACAACTTGAAAAAAACAGTTGTGTAAATGCACTTAATCAAAAACAAGGAATCAGAGAATGGGAGCTTTTTGCTGTATTATTTCTCTAATGACTGTATGGCAGTTGTAGGAGGCTTTCCTTCATAGATTCACAAATTCATTACTAGCCTGTAAAATCCAAGCCACGAGATTTATTTTTCTTTTTTACTTCCTGCTTTAAGTTCAGCACCTCTAATTTAATTAGAGCATATCTGTCTTCTGTGAGAAACATCCTGGCTTTCAAGCATCCCCTAACAAAGAACTAAACATTTTAATCAATTGTTCCACTAGGTAATTTCTCCAAAGAATGCCTCATCCTCAGAATTTTATTAGTTACAACTTTCAACTCTCTTTGTTTGCCAGAACAAGAAGTTGCTTAGTCATTATTTTTATGTTCTTCAAGCATACAATGATAGATGGCTGCCCCAGCACCCTCTAACCCTTTCTTACTGAGATGTGAAAGACTGAATTCTTCACCTCTCCTTGGAAAGTAACACTTCACAGCTCTACCACATTGTTACATAGTTCATAACATGTAATTTATTCCTCATCACAAATACAGGAGTTTTTTAAAGCATGCCTCAAAGAAGATTAAAGCTATTCCTCACCCACTTCCCTGTTATTTTTCCACTCTTCTTCATCAGTGACACCAAGAACGAAAACCAAAATGAAGCACCATCAGAACATTTCCTGTCCTTTCCCTCAGTCTTCCCACAGCACTTCTTCCTACTTGCTGCAAGTCATTACAGACTCAACCTGATTCCATTTCCAGCAAGATTCCCATGCTCCTTTTCACCCTCAAGGAGAACTACAGTACCCCAGTAACTCCACATGATGCAAAATGCAGGAGGAGCAATGGTAATAATCACCTGCTGCTGCTGTGTCAGCAAGTGAATAATGAGGCTCCTGGGATCTCAGGTGTATTTAACCTGCAACTCACACTCTTCATTTTCCTGACAGCACACTGGTGAAGAAGGCAATGGAAGAGAAGTTTATGAACTCCAAGGGTATCAGCAGAGAGAAATGTCATTATAAGCCATAGCTCTCCCAGGTCACATCTTTGAAGACAGCACCCACATCATCACCTTTTGGCAGTGGCAGCTGAAGAAAGGTTGTGGCTGTAAAAACATGAAAGCTCTCTTCATCTGATGTGCTCTGCTTCTGGTCTGTGAGCTTCATACAGCAGCCAGCAGAAATGAGACAAGCTCATCACAGAGATCAGAAACCCTGCTTCAGGCTCTTTACTCAAAACAGAGAAGCTGAGGGCACCCCTTTCATGCTGCTTCACACCAATGGTCAGTAAAGCAGGAATCCTGTACATATAATAAACTGAATGCTTTCATTTGGTTTCATTCAAGTCCCTCAGAAGAACAATATTTACAATCAACCAGATTAAACGTTTCACATCACATAGGGAAAAAAAGTTCCAGCCTGACACTCAGTCTCCTTCCAGCCAAGGTACATTTCATAATTTGCTTTAAATGCTCTGCACTCTGCTTGCTACAGTAATTGATGTTTAAAAGGTCTTGCCTCACTTCCTGAGCATATTCAGCATCATAGAAACATGAAAGCTAATGAAGTAGAGGTAGCTGATGGCAACCTATTGATGAAAAAGTTGAAAGCTTTTGTTGGACAAAGCATGCAGAGAAAGGATGAGAACAGTACAGAAAGCAGGTAACACAAAAGGGCAGGGGAGGGAAAACTGAACTGACACATAGAAAATGAAACTTCAAACAGCAAGTGCAAAGCTTTTTCACTCACTTGAAGAGAAGGAGGTTTTAAAAATCTATTAGAGAGATCTGGAAGGGGAGAATCCCAGACGCCAAACACAGAGAAGTAGAGAGAGTTCCTGAGCAAGTGATGTCCCCCACAGACCTAATGAAAGAATACAGGAAAGCAGCTGAGGTCAGGAAACCAAATATAGTTAATTCAAAAAAAGACAGACCAAAACACAACACACTACAAAAAATTGAAACCTCTCATTAACGACCATGTATTTGTGGCTTTAAGTCTTATTATTCAAATTACTTATTATTCAAATCACAGAATTTTTGAATAGGAGAACTTACAGATGCTGAATTTAACAGCCCTAAAAATAACTAATGGCTTTCAAACACATTTTAAAAACTAATTCTGAATTTATAAAGTTAAGAAACTACTGTAATGCAACTTTCTGAAGTCTAAAAGGAAGAGAAGCATTAAACAAATTTCCCTTCGATGACATTTTCTCACGAAAACAGAAAAGCCCGTCATTCTCAGAATGCTCATCTCTCCTCTGCCAGTGGAAGCTAATTAGTAGCACAAAAGTATCAAAAGTATGACAAAAGTATCCAGAGCAGAGTGGAGCTCTGTTGTAGCTGTTTCTGTAAAAGTACGGCTTCACATACACAAGGCTCCTGAAAAGCATACAATTAAGTAATTTAGAGACATTTGTGGACACTTTGTCTCCACTGTTTCCACTTCAGCAGTGACTCAGAGCCCTAAGGCACAGCAGCTGCGCCAACTCGGGATGGAGAGGAGAACGGAAAGAGGGAAGGACAGACAGACAGACAGACAAGCACCCCAGCATTGTGGCATCCACTGTTACAGCCAGAGCAGCACATCCTGTAGCCGTGGGCACGGTGGGTGACTATGGGACAGCTGCAATGAGGAAAGAAATGGGAGGACAATATCCAGACATTATGGTCTATGTTACCTTGTCACACTTCAGAGGAGTGAAGATGGAGAAAGAGTCAGACAAGAAGAATCACAAAGAAAGCAGTTCCTGCAGTGCTGGCTTTAGTCACAGTAAATAAAGAAAGCCAATTTGAGCGTAATGGGCATTAGAGGTCTTCAAAAGCTGTTGATGTGCTGTTTCACAAATTATCCATTTATTGAGGGATTAGTAATACAGCATCAGTAAGCTGGGCTGTCTTTTGGTATTTTGTCTTTTTAGTTTGTTGTTGGGCTTTCTTGGTGGTTTTTTAAAGAATGTCAATGTGACCCCTCTGTGCAGCCCCATACCTTCCTCCCTTCAACACCTCCCATCCTTTTTCCTTCCCCTGCATTCCATGTTCTTCTGCTGGGTCCAGGCTCAACAGAGGCTGTAAACATTTCAGGGCTGGGATTTACAGAGCTGCAGCACAACAGGGCACCAACCTCTGCAGGAGACTCAAACTGCACTAAAGTAGAAGCAGAGGCAATGGCATGAGGTCTGAACACCCACCCACAGCTACTGACTGCCCAAACCCAAATTCTTCTGGCACTCCTGAGCCAGAGTGGGATGTGTTGCATTTCCCTGGTCCCTGCCTGCTGCCAGGCTGTGTTAGCACAGGTCTGAAGAATATTCTGTCATACACCAGTAGCTGTACTGGCCTGCTGCCAGCTCTGAACTGGGGGAGTTCATCCATCAGTCCTGCAGCACTTACACAGCCAAGCATGAACTCAGCACAGCTCCTGCAGCAGCCTTACAGAGAACACAAACATCAGAGCAGTAAATGAAATTGCTAAGAAAGGTACATGAGCACTATCTAAGGATGATTTCACATGGGTGAGTCACAGGTTAAGTTTAGCTTTCCAGAAGTCAGAATGCTGACAAAACCAAAACCAGGATTCCTGACATACAGCCAAGAGATAATAACTAACTAAAAAACAGAAAAAGATGAAAAATTGAGCTGAGACCAGAAGCTCTTCAGAAAACAAAGGTTCATGAAAACCCGATAGAAAGTCTATGCATTAGACTTTCTGGCAGCAGTTTCACCTACCAAATTCCTTTAATTCTCCACAGCAATATAAAGAGAGTATTTCAATTCTTACAATTATCTCTTTAGGAAACATTTTTAAAATTCAGCATTTAAGAGACTGAGAACCTCTGCATTGCTTGCAGAAAATAAGAAATATGAAAAATTGGCAATCTTCAGAAAATCAATTTAAAAAATACATCTACCTATAATAGTGCTGCTGCAACACAGTTCAGAAAATGGTTATTTCACTCCTTTGCTCAGAAAAGATACTATGCAAAAAGAGTGTATGAAAGATTCCAATTCTGCTTCTGCTGATGAGACATTTCACCACTGATTTCGAAAACACCAACTTCAGCCTGGACACTCACAAAATAATAAATAAGTATTATTGCTATATGCATTATGCATGAATGCCTGAGGAGCTTCCAGCTCTGCTATGATTTCCTCAGATTCTTCTGATCTATCTGTGCAGGGTGAGTATTCAGATGACAGAAATGGTAGGACATATCAATCTTCAATAAAAATTATATGGAATAAAGCATTAGGAATAGCATAACTTCAAGACTCTCTTCTGGATGAGATAAATTGTTCCAGGTAGACAGCAGAAATGACCCACATAATTCTAAACACTTCATAGTTAGCCAACATCAAAGAAAAGTGGCATTCTTAAGATGACGAAAGATATGCATTCATCAATTTTAAATTACTTGTTTTCTTCAGCTCCCTAGTCTTACAGGCTCCCATAATATATTAAGCAGTTGATCTCTGATAAAAAAAAAAGTATAGTTTACACACTTGTGAAGTTTCTAGCAGCATTCATAACACAGAACCACATATGCAGGGTTTAGAGTTCATACTGCGAGCATTCACTGCATCTTATATCAACATGATCACTATTTAGTTCTATTCCTGCATTGTACACATTTCACAAAAAGAGAATACTGAATATGCTCTCCCTTCAAAAATTCTAAAACTTTTAATTATATTCTTTCCAAGTTATGAAAACCAGAAATTTTGCTCCTCATAATTTTTTTGTACTAACTATGCAACTATTTCTCACCATTTTCTGTGTAGGAATAGTCAAGTGTAGGTGCTATGACAACATGATCATTTATTCCTCATCCCTGGCAGTGTTCAAAGCCAGGCTGGATAAGCCCTTGAGCAACCTGGTCTGATGGGACGTGTCCTTGCTTATGGTGGGGGGCTGGGACTAGAGGATCTCTAACGTCACTTCCAATCCCTTAATATTCTTAATTCTTACTTTCTATTTAAATTCAAGGTTTAAAAGAAATAGCACGTTCGTTCCATAGCAAATCAAACTGGTGTGTACAGCAAGAAAATTAGATTTTAAAAGAAAAAGTGAACTTCTAAGATTGTGGTAAATTGTTTTTATTTTTCTATCAAGGCTTTTTGGAGACAGTTTGATCCTATTCTCTAGCACATTGGGCTCAGTGTCCTCTACCACAGGAAAAAATCAGCTGCAATATACACATATTACTTACTCATTTACTAAAACAATTGGCAGTATGTAGTGTGTACCAGCAAGCAGGTACATATTCAGCTAAAGCTTTGACAAGCTCAAGGAAGCACAGCTTACAAAATGAAGATTATAAAGAAAAGGTGTAGTAGTGAAAAGCCATTTAAAGAAATTAAGTTCTCTTTAACACATTTGTATCTTTTGAGACTATGAGAATGGTCAAGCTCCATCACACTGGACACAAACCCAAATTGCTCAGCTTTCTTCACATTCTCCTGCAGTCATACAGAAAAAGAGACCCACAACATTTTTGAGCATGATCTTCTAGTATGCCAGTCAAATATCCAAGTCATATAGTTTCCCCTCATTAGTACTCACTGCCCAGAAATCAATATTCAGTAATACACACAGCAAGGAACCTACTGAGAATAAAAGCCAAGCTATTTTGCTGCATAATGTACATCAAGGATATGACTTATTAAGACAAAATTCACAAAATGAGTAACCAAGAAACTTCCTTATGAAACATTAAAAGTATGTTTTGTTCTGTAGCCAATCCTCCTGACACTGTAAACTGTCTACACTCCAAAGCTGTCCCTGTTCATAAATATTGAACACATGTTCCTGATGTATCTCCTAAACAATTTGGCACTGTCACTTCTTAGAAGACAGAACACCTTTATGTTGCAAAGAATAAAACTACATGTGGCTCTTACTTTTCAGAGTATTTTTGTCATCTGTATCTGAAAGACCAGAATAATTCCAACCGTGAGAGCACAATGAAAAGGATGCTATCAATTATGCTGGCAAGCTTGTATGTGTGTCACATAGACAAAAATGAAACATACCTGCACCAAAACACACAGAAGGGATTACCAAGCTAGCATACAAGCAAGATGATGTTGGTTGGCTGAAAATACTTAACACCCTTTCCATCATCTTTCATAGCAGGAACCCCTCTAACTGTGGACACCTTTGCGGTCTATCTACTATCCTCACCCTGGAAAAGGAAAAGATAGCTTAGAAGGTAAAGCAGGTTAGTGAGTGTTGACTAATGGGCATCTACTTTATTCACTGCAATGCTCTGCCTCTTTAGAGGTAAACAAAATAGAAACTGAGGAAAGAAAAGGAAGCAAGAGACATATGCACTAACTTTATAAAAACATTAAAAAGCTTCAGCCCCAGACACATATTCAAACAAGATAACAAATCCTGTTTTATAGGTTTAGAAATAAACCTGTTATAAAAATAAACCTTTAGAAAGGTCTGCAAGAATATTTACCTTTTTAATACATAATGTATCTGAAAATAGTCCAGCAAATTTTTTCAACCTAGCTAGATACTAACTATCCCTGAAATAAATTAATGCTGAAGTGAGCTTAAAAAAAATCTTTGATCCTGTTCTTCTTAACAGTCACAAAATTATTTTCAGGATAAGTCTTCTCAAAGCCTGAGTTGCTATACAGTTATAAAAGCAAGGACCTATGTGCAATTTATAGAGATAAGTTCCCAATTATCAGGGAAAGGCAGAAAGTAATAATGCTGTTAGTTACCCTTCAAGAAAGAAAATTCCATCCATGGTTCTGTAACTTTTCGGCTTCTACAGATTTTATTGTTGCATATTACTGCCTTTAGCCTCACTTACCAGGAGGTAATGATATGACTGCATAAACAACATTTGCTCATCCTCACATAAGACCTTTTTATAAAATTCAGCTGAAGGACAGATGACCTTTAGCAGTGGCATGTTTCTGTCAAGCCTTTCAACAGCACCAGGAGTGTTTCTTTGCTCTAGCAAGTGGTCCCAGCAATCACAGGTACGTGGTATCTTTCTGGTAGCACTACAAACTGTCACACCTTAGACTCTGATCCAGCTGTTTTCAAAATACACTGCTGAACAGTAATGCTGGCACTCAGCAGGGGCTCTCTTTTCTAGGACAAAAGCCATCCTTTTGAAAGCAGAATTTGTTAAGCAATAGTAGAATACTGTGTTTCAGTATTTTCTTGCACACCAAGAAGTTTACTTTCACATGGTGAACCACAGAGAGACAAAGCAGGGTGTTCATTTGGATTGCAAAACTTGCATGTCTAAGGCCTAGATGGTGTTGTGACTTCTACAAGTGAATCAATATGAAACATAATGGCTCTCCCTTCACATAGATGATTGTCTAAAATAGTTCAAAAACCTAAGGTAGCTCAGTAATATGTGTAAACAAACACCATAAAAAAAACAATAAAGAGGAGGTAGTCAAAACATATTCAAAGGTTTGGCTGATGATAAAATAATAAATGTGATGTAATAGCAGTGAATTCTTACTCTTCTAAAGCTTGATGCATGTTCCCAGGTTCTTCAAAGGACAGAATATCAATGATTTGGTCATTCATAATTATATCTTCACTAAAGAGATCACCTGAATTAAATTGAGAATGCTCCAGTTTGTGATTTTGGCTTAGATCAGGTTTTGTCTCCTACAAAAAAGAAAAAAAAGGAGAAAATTAGCAAACTTTAGATTATAAAAGAATGTATAATGAGTCTAATTTTAGATCTAATCTGATCTAATATCATTGCAGTTTAACTCTGGGTGAGAAGGTTTCTATTTATCATCAGACTGTAAACCTGGAAAGAGTAGAAAGAGGTGCAATCAGATATGTATCTGAAATCAAATATACTACTTTTATCTCAGACTGATCTTTTTTAGTATATATCTGATCTGGAATACAGATTAAGAAATGGAGAACACAGAACACTTGTGAAAGTCATCTATGAAGTTGTCTTCCACTTCAAACTTTCTAGGTAATTAAAAAAAAATTGCCATACTATACAAATTACATATGGCAACATTACAGCATTATTAGGGAAAAAGGAATCCTATCCACAATGGAAGTGACTCAGTTCACAAAGACTTCAGATTGAGGGCTAATACTATTGTGTAAAAACCCCACTATAAATATCTGCTGCTAGACCAAGCTGGACCTTTTTTGCTAATTCATTATCACTATTTCTTTTGTATCCTTTTAATTTAAAGAGATTTATTTTTCAGACCTAAAATAAATAAAAGTTACTGATGGTGTAATTTTCAACAGCAGAAAGGCTGTAAGTGATTTGTGAGCTACTCTGGTCAGCCCAGAGGGATGAGAGATCACCACTCTTTTGGCAAACAAGGGGTTCAAAGCTCTCAGCACACCTCTCTTAGGACTGCTCCAATCACTGCAGTAGTCTCACTAAGATCTCTAGCTCCCTCCCAATGAATTTGTTATACTTTACATAAATACAAAAATAACAGTAAGAATGGCTGGAATTGCACCAACTTGATTAATATCTGTCGGACTCTATATTTTCTTTCTCTGCTGCAATATATACTGAAATACTTAAAAATGGAACAGAGCAATGAAAATACTTCATTCTCAATCCTATTTGCTTTGCTTAATCACTGAAGATATATATTATTGCACATTGAAGAAACTAAGACCAAAACTCAAATCCCTATTCCTGATAATCAGAAAAAAATTGCACCAAAGTTGCTGTGTTCAAAATAAGTTGTCTACTCCCTTGGCAACTTCTTATAGCCCAGAGACATCCTGCTTCTTATTCTGAGGGATGGAGGGGAGGAAGAGAGAAATATGGAAAGACATGAACAGGCAAAGGGTAACCCTCCTCAGATTCAGAGCCAATACCCAGGTACTGACAGCAGGTTTTTTTGATCAGGGTATCATTCTTACACTCACCTCTAAACCTGACTGCACTAAAGTTTAGAGGATGTAGAGATTACATTATCTGTGAGCCAAATTCATCACTTGGTGGATTCTTATTCATCTTCAAAAACTCTACAGACAATCTTAGCAAGTTAAATCATCACATATGATCAGTAAAAAAATTTAAATAACCTACTCTGACAGACAATACAACTCACCTGGTTTTTACAACAGAAACTCCATTTTAATATTTGGGTTCGGTAAATGATGAAAAAGACAACACATGTCAACACAAGGGAAACGAAAAAAGCAATGAAGAATGCTGAAGCACTGATGGCATGGCTGTATAAAATCTGAAATTAAAAGATCATTTAATTAAAATGCTATCTTTAATACGTAAAAAGGTCAGATCATAACCGTAATTCAAACACTGTAACTGTAAGAAAACTGTAAATTATTTTTAAATGGCTTCACACACTTCAGGATTTCTCAGCTCTATGCTCTTACTACATTTTGATGAATATTTTCAAACAAGAGTGTGTTTTCAATAGGTTTCCAAGTCAGCACAGTTTGCTATGTTCACCTTGTCCAAATTCCTGTGAATTTCAAGCAAGAGAACCCCACAGACTAAATTTTTTTGCTTTGACTTTTGGGTGCCCTGTACTTAATAGCTTATTTTCCAAAGCTGCCACTTTCCTACAAAGTCTCATTGAAATTTCTGGCATTTGATGTTGCTCACGGGCTCTGGAAAGTCAGTCAGATGTTGGCTACTTTAATTAATGGCCATTTCTTGATTCAATGAAACTGAGAAAAACCATAAGGAGAAAGTACCAATATGAGTTCAGAATAAACATGCAACTGACACCCACCCAATCTGTGTGCAACCTTGCAGCTTCTGCATTAGCCTGAGTCAGAAAAGGCTGGCAGAACCATAAGCCACAAACAACTTTTTAGACCTTTCACTTTAGCTCTTAACTTAATCTTTAAACTGAATTGCATTAAAAATTAATTTTTACTTCATGCTCTACGTAGCAAAAGTTAATTCAGTGTTTGTTTAGTTCTATGAGATCTTCCAATGAAAAACATAGCACAGCTATTGGTATAATGTTTCACCACTGATCATTCTGCTGGGGCTAGGAACTGTAAATAATTAACATGCTGCTTGTAAGCTGGGTTTGGTTTTTTCTTGGAACAGAAACCTGACAGCATTCCACAGAGTCAATGGTAATTCTGCATAGGAAATGATATTCAAACATGGCCCACAATTTGAAAATAATTTATTGTAATTTGACACCTCTGTCACATCAGGCCTCTGAGATCCTTCCACTTTCAGGGAACAGGAGATGCCACAGATAATACTAAGGAAAAAACGCTGCTTTGAAACTCCATCATTTTGTCTGAACCCACTTGCATTTGTCTAATTTCCATGCACTCTGTGAAATTTAAGGATCTCTTGAGGCTTCTGGGGAAAGCAAGGGTCTGGTGAGGATATGGATTTGTGAAGCTGGAAAGAGGCTGCTTTTCTTTTGGTGAAGAAAAAGCACCGGCTATGGAATGACTGTGCTTCCTAAGAGGTGAGACCCATGGTGGGACAGTCAGTCTGCATGAGGGAAGGCATTTTGGTCTGTGCTTTCATATTTAAAGAAAATGGGCTCTGGAAGGACAGTCCATGTCATTGGGGGGCTGTCAGTCCAAGCAGAACACAGCAGGTGCTTTAATGCCATCTGAAAGCAGCACAGCAGATGGTGCAGGGGAGGTGCCAGAGCCCTGGCTCAAGTCAAGCCCAGTGTTGGCCCTGCAGAATGACCTTCAAACCACAGACACATCAGCAGGCCTGAAAAGCCATTCCTGAAGCCAGCCTCTAAAGCCATCCCACCAGTGAGAAGAGGCATTACAGGCCCAAGAACTGATATGCTCCCACTGCTTTGCATGGTGCTGAGGGAAGCAAGCTTCATGAAAATCAGTGTAAAGGAATTATCATCATCTCTCCCATGCAACAGGCTTAGATGGGAGAGCTTCCCTTTTCACCAGCGTCCCATTCAGCATCAAAGTCCCCCAGCCAAGGGCAGAGGCACAAAGTACTGACAGGCCCCGAAGCGCTGTGGGATGGCATCTGGCACGGACACTCAGATGAGCAATACTCATATTTTTTTCATAACCCACAAAATTACCCTGTTCCAGGCAAGCAAGCACTTTCTTCCAGTGGCACAGAATAGAAAGGGTTTGTAAAACTTTAAAGAACAGCACAGTATCTAAGTGTTCAAACAAATCATGTGAAAGCTGATGGGACCAATGTAGCATGACACTGTCATGACCATGTAATTAATTCTTCACTTGTCATTCCCAAATACTGCCCTCTTAGTCACATATGTGCCTTGGCTTTAACATATCCATGAACAGGCTTAAATAATTACTTTTAATAAATAAATCTGAGATGGAGAGCATTTATGACAGCTGACAATATGAATGAAATAAAATATAACACACCTTCTCCAGCTAATCCTAATTTTCTTGCACAAACTGGTTTCATTCCAAAATACCTCATGTTTGGCCACAGCCCAAAGTCAAATATTATGCATGTGAAACATCATGTTTTAAATAATTCCTAAGCTTTATTTTTTTAAAATTTATGGTATTTTCCACACATCTTTACCACATGTTTTAGTTACAAAGCCTGTTGATTTACTATGTTCAAATGCAGCTGAGCTAATTTTACCTACCTACAGAACAGTTTACAAGAACTTTTTGAGGTCCAGCTATCAAATTCAAATTGGAAAAATAATAAGCACAGTAAAAAGGCTTTATGTATAATAACAGATTGCAGAAATTTTCATGGTCAGTTGAGACCAATGTAGCTTACAGTCTTGGCTTAAGACATTAGCAACTGCTGCAAATCAACTCACAGCAAATTTTACAGAAAACATTCATGAGGTTATTTTTCTAACCCAGTCAGCTGCCTCATGGTTTACACCTCTAAGAGTTTCCAAAAAATAGATTTATGGCAAGTCCATTTGTAATTCTTAGCTATACAAATGTCCAATCCTTTTAAATATTACTATATCTTTACCCAGGGACTATGAGTTCTCTAGCTTATGTATAGTTTTAGTTCCTACCATGTTTAATCGTGGCTTTCATTTTAACAGAATGGGCACTTGATCTTCAGTTACAAGACAGCCAGGTCTGGACACGTTATCTATTACAATAATAAAAGCTGAGAAGGCAGAGATCCCAGCAGAAGAGAATACTGGAACAAGAGGCTCCTGTGCCAAATCTCCCAAAAGATTGCTTATTCTAAAGGCAGAGAGAAACTCATGGGACAGGTCCATGGAAGGAATGAGTGGTCTAGTCTTCAGGACCTACTCAGGCAAGCCCTATCCACATGCACAGCTACAGCAAAATGTTCTATGGTGAAACAAACTGCTTCTGCCTGAACACAAATAATCCCAATACTCTTGCCAACAAAGCCACAGCTTCTTTAAAAACAACTCCTTGCAACAGCAGCCTGTCAAATTAATGAGAGGCTGGGGGAGCAAAACAAGTTTGGGGAAGGGATTACTCTAGCAATGAAACTGATGGATGAAGTAGAGAGTTTTTTAATAAAAAAACTATCTAAAAGAATAATAGTGCTGCAATCAATGTAATTTTGAAGGTTTATTTGGCCTGTTAAAACCTATGTTTCAGAAATACTTCAAAAGCCAAGAACAGAAAGTCATATTGGAAGAATGACTAGTTAAAAAATGAAAGGAAGCATAAACTATGCCACTCTTTCCACAGTTTTATTTGTCAGGCTTGAGTATCAGCATCATACAGAAACCTTTCCTCAACCAGTGGAGGACACTTTTAATCTTTTGGAAAAAAAAAAGTTTTCTCATGGTGGTTAGGCACAGCAGCAGGTGAGCATAATCCCCATCACAGTTTCCGCCTGGACAATTCTTCAAATGTAAGAACGTGGCAAGGAGCATAATGGGATTTTTAGATTTTTTGTACTAAATATTGCTGGTTTAAGACAAAAAAAAAAAAAGACCCCTTATGTTTAGCCCTGTTTTCTTCTCAAAATCTGAGAAGGCAGAACCTGTGTGTGATTACTAGCCAATAGCTGAGTGATGAGACACAAGTACACATGTACATACTTAGCTCCTAAGATTTACTTTAGATTGTGCAGAAGTATAAGCAGGAGAGTCAATCTAATATCAAATCACGGAATTTACCTTGGTCTTTTCTTCTTCTGTTATGGTAAGTGATGCCGTCAATGATACAAGATGTGTTTTATTCTGAGAGAGATACAAAAAAATTACCTGTATTAAAAAAAAAAAAGCAGAATCCACTGGCAAACAGCCTAGAGTCTCTAGAAAAGCTTCTCCTTAGAAAGTTAGCTATACTTCTCATTAAGCTTAAAGCTGAAATAAATCTGATAGGAAAACGCAGTGTACTTAGGGGTAACACGAAAAGACATGGAAGCAGCTACTCTGTGGGATTCACTCCCCATATCCCAATGCACAAAGTATTACATTTTTCTTTGCCTATAACATCTGGGTTGGCTGAGAATGTACAGAACAGGAGCCACAGTCTCCACAAATCTCTACTTTTACCATGCCATGCCCTGTTTTTTAAAGTTTTCCTCTCTACCGCTCTAGCACCACTCCCATTCACGTGGAACACCTTTTCCTCCAAAACTAAGGAGAAAGGCAATTGAAATGAAAATATATCTGCAGGTTATAATTACATGTAATTATGAAAACCACAGAAAAACCATCAAGTCATATTTAAGAACTGAAAATTTTTACTTTGGCAGAAACCACTTGTCCTGTCTCCTACTCAAAGCCAGGCTAATTCCAGCATTAGAACCAGTTGTTTCAGAGCCTGATGCAACAGAGTTCTCAAAAGTCAGCAAGGATGGAGATTTGTCAGCTTCTCTGAAAAATCTTTCAGACACAGAAAAGTCTTTACTAAAAGGTGTTTTATGAGCAATGAGATTTTTCCATGGCTGCAACTTTTTTTTAGTTATTATAAAAATATGGCAAAACTTTCAATCTCTCTGAGACTTCAGCAATATTCATGTAAGTCTGTGGGACATTTATTTCCAGGGCAAATGAATAATCTGCAGAGAAATATGAAAAGTATAAAGAAAGGCTACAAGACAACACACAAAAATACTTTACTTAAGGAGATCTAGGACTTCTTAAGCTATGAAGAATAATTAATGCATTTACAAATTCATGGTAAACAATCAGAGAGCCCAAGAGTTTCATTTCATACATGATGGCATCATTGTTTAGGGAGGCTAGAACCACCTTGGAGTCTATTTTTTTTACAAAACTTGTGAGGAGCAGAATAAAATTGTGAATAAAATACCTGTGATGAACTGAAAGTTAGCTTCGCAGGCAGTGTCAGGACCCTGCCGTGCCGCATTTCTTCTGAATCAAGAAGTGCAGAGTAGTTGATTGCAAAGTGTTCTCCACCTATTAAAACAGGGATATGGAGAGATTTGCTTTCTTCCATGAAGATTTCTCAAAGATCCCTGGGGAAGGCTTGGAACAGCACTGGAGCTTCTCCTTTCTGTCACAGCAGATGCCACACATCCAGAGTAGACAGTTCACGGCCACCTGAGCTCAGTAACATCCTTCATATCTGCTGCCTCTTAAGAATTCAAGCAAATTCAGCCCAGGATCTGGAAACTGCATTAAATGATGCCCTGACCTACCCAAAACCATTATTTTTTGACACCAAAAGTCACATGAGATTATTTTAAAATATTTTTATTATAAAATGGATTGCCTAAATTTTAACTACTAACTTGTTGATTCTCTCCTTATTGAAACCAAAGAGAAATATGACAGAATTCAGCTGAATTTTCATTTACAATGCACTGAAGTATGGAAAAATTATTATGGCCAAAATTGAGCATGACAAGGTACCTAGGCAAGGTATGGGCTGACTTCAGCATTAATATAGCCATGACGAAACTTCAAACTATGCAGAAATCTAGTCTGCTGGGTTTTTTTCCACTTCAGTATTTTTCACACTGATTTGTCTGGAAAATCTAGTTTCAACTCCAGATTCAGTAATTATAAATAAATTATGTAGCAGCTCCAACTTGGCTTATCAGATATGAAAGCCATTTTTCTATTCTTTTTCAGGGATAATAGTTTCCAGGAAATCTCTGTGGAAAACCATCAATTTCTTCCCATTTCCAAAAAGACCAGTCCTACAACCTCTGCTCAAACTGCTGTTAACAGGAATGGAGTTTGGCTATCCAATTGCAATCAGATAGCAGCCTCAGGTCTATTTATTTTCCTTTTCTACATGGAAATCTTTCACCATAAAACTATCATAACCAGAGATACTTCCATCATAAAGAGAAATCAGTGAACACTTCTGAAGCTCCTGGAGAAATGCTGTGACTCCCAAAAGAAAGCTGCTAATTTTCGACAAGCTTGTGATTAGGAAAATGGAGATGAAGAAATCAAGAAAGATAAAATTTAATGCATGTGCACTGATTCAGCTGCTACCAATTAGAAAAGGAACAATCTGACTTCACAACTGGAAGAGGTTTATTTCTCTATTACTTGCTTTGACTTCATAATTTGTTCAGTTTGGAGAGATCCCATACTGAGAAGAGCTGCCTTATTTCTGGTGAATCATCTTCCCTGTATGTATGGCCTTTTACAATTCCAATGCACCTCAATACCTGAGCAAGCTGAGCTGCTACACTTGTCTAAAAATGCCTCAAAAATATGATTAAAATGCCTTTTGCAGAAATTTTTAAAAATACCCAAAATTAACAAATACAATTGTGAAAGACTCTCTCTCTCTTTCATTTTTGATGGCAATGTTTACAAATGAAAGGAGGCTCAGTTCTGTGCCTGGAAGACTAGAATCAGTTCAAAGGTGGGAGTCAAAATAGCTAACAGTGAGCTGACAGAATTGGAAACTGCAGCCTAAAACCTTTCCCAGACTTTTTCACCTGTATTAACTCATAATCAAACAATTTACACCACTGTAATTAATTAAATAAATAAATACATACATAAAGAAATACTGTGATTTTAACAGATGCACTCTGACATATTTTATGAGGGGTATTTTACTGCATTTTGTTACCTTGCAAGAAACTTTTCCTGTAAATCTGTATGCCATTTGTGGTCTTATTCCCACTGTTTTTTTGAACATGTAGACCAGTGATGTTGTCCATGATGATAAGATCTGTGATGTTTGTTGACAGCAATGTGTTGGTGTTATTAATCACAAGTGTAATGTATGCAGTTTGAGGGTCATGTTCAACATCCACCTGAAATCAGAAATATTAGTATTAATGGTGCAAGATAGCTGTATGGGCATCTTAACAGTAAAATTCATAGTCTTGATTACAAATAAAACTTCATTATTTGTGCAGACTTATTTTTTGAAGGTATTCTGAGTGATCTGCAAATGAAACTACACTCAGTTTGATCTCACATTCCCAGTGAGATTTTAATCTTTGGTATGTCAAGCTGTTGCTTGGAGACAGTGGCAGAAAGCCAGAAGGTGGAAACTCAGCTCATACACGACCAGAAGCATAATCAAATTCTGAATATCCCCATGATACTGCATACAACACAAAACTGGATCACAACTTCATAACTAGAGTTTGGAAAATTCTTAAATTTTTACCTTTGTACCACAAGGATGTTTTTTTTTTACAAGCTTCTTCACTGCAAAGTAATTCTCTCCATGCAGTTTTGGTCTCTATTTTCCTTTCTTTCACAGCAACCCCATTCTCTGAAGGACACTGGCTGTCTTGACTTGCCCTTCTCACGTGAGGACAGATGGAGCCCCCAGTGAACTTGGGAGTCCATGGCTCTGCTTCCAATTAGCAGTGATGGTCATACACTAATCACCAATCTCTAGCAACATGCACTCATGTGATTTATTTATTCCATTAAGCCCTTAAGTCTCATTGAGCAATTATACCCTCTAAATGAAATTATTCAGAGTTGCTTACTGACCTCTCACCTCCCAAACTGCCTTCCTCTGTAACTCATACTAAATTAGAATTGCCTAAATCTTTACAGGATCTATAATACTATGGTGATCTATAGTATATTCATGATGACTTATGAGGTTTAAATAATGACACTAAATTCATAGTCCTTTAACTGACAGAATTATGATTCAGGCCAAACTTTTCTCTTTTTAGATCTTCCTTTTAAGGAAACATCTACACTGTATCTGGACACCCACAAATATAAAATAATAAAGCAGTCCTCATGAAAAATTAGTTCTAAAAATATGAATTGTGAAAGACTTCATGGTATCCAGAGTTCATGACATCCATAGGGTTCAATACATGTAGCTATGGTCTTATTGTGCACTGATCTCTGCATTTCTTACTGGTTCAGCATAGAACCAGATGACAGTTTTAGAAATTAAGGGATGAAATTCCCAACTATTTATTGTACTAGAAGCTGCAAGCAATGTATAAAAATGTATGTATCAATGTATGCGTAAAAATAGGCTTATTATTATATATTATTAGTTATCTTCCTGAGGAAACCATTGCCGATATCATATGCCTGTATATCATGAGTTACACCCTGTGGGATCTCAGCACCTCAGGACTGAGGTGCCGAGTCACCGAGACCACCCTTGGGGGGCTCGGGAGTCCTGGAATGTTGCCAGAAGTGTCTGGTGGCTGGACTTTGATCCTACACAGGAGACGACACCTGTATGAGGATAGGAGGATTTCACCGGGGTGAATGGTGAAGGGATTAGTTAGTTAGAGAGTGAGACACAGGGTTTAGGATTTCTGTGCAGGGGGGTTTAGAGAAGTAAGATGGAGGAATTGGGGCGTGTCCTGTCCTTCTTCTTCTTCTTCTTCTCCTCCATCTTCTGTGGTGATGGTGGCACTTTGAGATTGGTTGTTACTAAAAGTGCACCGGGCAATAAGGGTGAAAGGTATTGGGGAAAAATGATAAATATTGTATACGCAACTTTGGGTATAAAGATAGGTGACCGCCCGGAGGGAGGGGAGTGTGCTCATGGCTGGCTGCTGAGCAGACCTCTGTCAGGCCGAAAGAAAATCTTTTAGATAAACAATTAATAAACACAGAGACCGAAAGAAGAACTGAAGCCTCTTCTCATCCTTTGAAACGTGGGCTGCTTCAAGGCCACCCCGGGCCTTTCCAGGCCCTCCAAACAGCCGAAAACCGGACAACACCCCAGCTTCTGAGAGTTAAAATCAACAAGTATTAAAAATATGTTTTGGTCAGGTTTTCTCTCTCCTGGTTTCTGAACTGGCATGATGCAGCCAAGACGCCTTTTAACATTTCATGTGCAATCACAAAGTCTAGATACCTGCTTTAAAAAGCAAAATCAAAATGAAACAAGAAAAAAGTCTCAAAACCCCATTTCTCATTAATATTAAATCCATGTTTTTCATTCCTTACTTTTGACTGGTAATCAGACTTCAGCGCAATTGCAAAGGGGTTGAAAGAATTTGGATTTTTTCCCCTCAAATCAGCAGATGAGAATCAAGCAACAGGTATGGTTGCAGTTCACTTCAGGTACCTGGGAGAGTGGCATGAAAGAACCACAGCAAGAGCATGGACACGACAAGAGAAAAGAGACGAGGAAGGAACTGCCACAGAAATTGAAAGGAATGGAGGATCCTTGTTAGGAGTAAGTTAGAACAACTAGAAACAGGAAAGAAAGGAGAAAAAAGATTAGCCTTCCAATGCACGAAGGCTTAGGAGATTAAGAAACAAGCCAGGTAAAAGTGTTAGAAGACAAGCAATTAAATTTAAAGGTTTATTTCAGCCCTGTTAAGGATTATTGTCACTGTGTCGTACTGTTACAGAAAAGTTCACATCATACCATGGAATGAAGCTCTTGAAGAAACATTTCTGGAAAGAAGGAAGACAGTGGGTGCTGGAAGCACTGGTAAAACTTAAACACTTCAGTTTCAATAAGCCTATTTCTACATCAAGATGTTGGAAAGATTCTGATTCCAAGAAGCAAACATGAGACACCTCCATGCTCTGAGGAGCGACTCATTGTAGGAGGAGGAAAATGCGCAAAATGCACTTTTCTCTATTTTAAACAGCTAAAGAGCACCATATGGCCAGTCTGTCTCTTAGCATGAAAGCATTTGTTCACTTGAAATAGGACTGAAGCAGAAGACAATGTAAGCCAAGGAAAATTAAATGTGAACTGCATTTGCAGGGGGAAGACAATCACATATAATTGTACAGTTTTCAGTAATTTACAACTAATAGCACTACAAAAGTATTTTCTGATAAAGACAGCATCTATAACACATTACCTTTAATCTCCTACAGCAGTTATTTTGCAGCTTTTAATGAGCCTGTGTGAGGCTGTTGTAAACAGCAGAAAAAAAAAAAAAAAGATGGGACTGTTTCAAAGCCTGTTCTTGAGAGGCTTTGCTATAAAAACTGGAGATCCACAGACAGAAAAGCAGAAGATTCTTTGTTACTACTTCTATGTCTGAAATGCTTACTTCTCAGTCTCATTAATCATGATAGGCTGCTATTTCAATAACAACATCAGAGGTAATTAGCACCATGAGATGTGATGCATATTCATTCTTCTCTACACAGCTGATCTGGTGAAGGTTATAATGTCACCTCTTCTTTACTGGTTACTGAATCCTCTACCCTCAGGCACCATTTCAGGGGCTGAATTCAGGTTGGTCCTAAAGTTGGATGTGTTCTCTCTCTCTCTCTCCAGGAGACAGCTAAGATGAACTGACTGTAATTATAAAAATTCATACCTGCTTCATCAAGTGCAAAGAATGGGAAAATAAAAAAGGAGGGAAAAAAGGAAAAATAACAATCTAATAAAAATGAAATGGGAAGTTAAAAAAATTTCCTTATCTTTGCTCCTTACAAGCATTTACACAAGTCAAATGAAACCTTTTTCCATGAAATACTGTGCTGCAGGTGAGTCCCACTGAATACTCAGACATGACACAATAGCTTTGCTATGATTGTGTGTTAGGATGCCCAAACACACAATGGGCAACAGAGGGGTCAGTGCTTCCTCCTTCAAAAGTCCACACTTGACCCAGTTAGGGCACCCATGGCAGGACCAGGGGAATATCTCAGAAGGTTTATCTCATCTTGTAAAATTTGTCTATCTCTACCCAGTCTCTTGGCTGATTACTCTGGAGTTATTGAGGTTTGCTCATTTGCAGTTTTAGAAATTAACAGTCAGGTTTTTACTTCATTTTTCCACAATCCAAAATGCCCTGAAGCCTGAGATTTCACTGACTTCTGTTTTGAATCAACATTGCAAAACAATGCCTCTCAGAGAGTAGGACCATTGTAACATCAAAATGCACATACTGCCAAAAACTTAGCATGGGCACAATCAGGTTCCCACTTTTGAAAGGTCATTTGGACACAAACTTCCTACCAACAAGAGAAATGTAAGAAAACTCACCATGCCACATTTCTGAAGGGTTATTCCAAATTCAGAAGACACTGACATATTGGACACATCTTCAGGCTACGGAGGAAGGGGAAAAATCTACATAGTGTATGCAAACCCAATTTACAAACTTCAGCAAGAAGTTAAATTATATAAATAAATAAATAATAAAAAACATATAGAGGTACCAACAGGCTTCCAATTTAGGAGTTTTGTTATCTCAACAGTTTAATCTTTTTTCTAGTCCAAATGTGTAAAAACTACTTATTCCCACAAGTATTAGATTAGAATCTTATTGATATATTCATCTTTTGACTATCATAATTCACAAAAAAACCACACTATGCATAAAGTTCATCAGACTATACAGCTTCTTTTCATTACTAAGTGTCAATCAGAATTTACACAGCAATCACACAGCTGTACCACTCACAGGAATTCTTTGGAAATCCCAAAACTATTTGGTGCTGCTGAAGTCAGGTCAAATGAACACAATCATCTGAGACAGAACTAGAAATGTACTAACTGGATAGTAAATTCCCAACATTCAGTTTTACAGAATTGCTACAATCCTGACAAACACTGAAACTGGCAAAGCATCTGTTACTGACCGGGAGGCGGCTGAGGTCAGACTCCCGTTTGAACAGCACCTTCTTGGTCCAGGAGGGGATCAGCGCCAACAGCGAATGGCTCCAGGGGCTGTCCGGGGCTGCCGAGCTCAGCACCTGGCCAGGGGCTCTGCTGGCCTCAATGGCCTCAGGTAAAGGCACTGCTGAAAACCAAGGCAACATCCAGCATCAGAGCTCAGGCTGGGTTCTGCATGGCAGGCACTTGGTGCAGATGCCAGCCAGGGAGAGGGCTCAGGCACCAGTGCTCCGTGTGCAGGCAGTGCCAGATACTCTCTCCCAAGGCACTCAATATCACGACAAGCAACAGAGACTGAGGCCAGCCAGGAAATGGGATTTGTTCTGCAAAACCCAGCAGGAGTCAGAACAAAACTGTTTCCTCCCATATACCCAACAGAAAACTTCCTGCCATTTAAATGTAAAGTTTTTAATGCATGATTTAAAAGGTTTAAGCCATAAATCAACTGTTAATGTTTTCAACACAAAGAAACTTTCAGCAAAGCATAAAGAATTCAAATAATCCACTGTGTGAGGGGCATCAGTGCTAAAGGTGTTCTGCTATAAAAATGCAGTCTTCCAATTAAGCATTGACCTTGCCAATACACATTCAGAACTGAAATACTTCTCAGCTGAAGACGGATCTCAGTTACATTTCAGTTGAAGTGCCATCAAATCAAATGCTCATAAATTTAGTAATAAGCAATATAAATGCTAGCTTATACTCTTAAATTTTTATGAAAGATTAGTCAGTGATATTGCACAAAGTAACAGGCATAGTTTTGAAATCATATCACTTTGATCTGAGAGTAAAGCACTTAAGACATTAATAAAAGAAGCTTATACTAAAAATAAATAATTTAATGTGTTAAATTGCCAAAAGGTAAAGCTGCTGAATTAAGAGAAATATGGTATGAAAATTTAAAATGATAGCTGGTTGCCTATGTTCAAATAAGTTATTTTTTTCATTTTTTGCTTAATATTATTCTCATTTATTACTTATTTTTAAATTAATTTTCAGCAATATACATTAAAATGAACAAAAACTCCCATTAAAAAGGCAAGTAGTTTTTTGAAATGACTTTTCTATGAAAAAGCCTATTACATATTAATAAAATATGAAAAGCTGAAGACACTAAAATCTCACCAATATGAGTAGCAGCAGTTTTTCTGAAAAGCCACTGCTCTATAAGAAGAACAATATAGGGAAATACAATTAGTTGCAAATAGAAAAGCATGGACAGAGCATTCAGAACTAGACCCTTAAAAGGAGCCTTAAAGCATCAATGCACACGAATCACTAAAAATAATTCTGTTAACAGAATGAATGAGATGCAATCCTGTTACTTACAAAACCCAGGTGGACAAGCACTTGGGAAGTTTCCCTGTCTTCCCAATGTTTGTTTGGAAGGGAGTATACTTGACAAAATTGTGAATATATTGGCCAGGGAAAGTTGGTGTCTGTATTTTATGACCAGTTTTAATTCACTCTCTAAGTTTTACTGAAGTATTTAAACCACTGTTAAACAATGTGACAGATTTGGAGTAATTTGGGGACTTTAAAAACAACATGGCAAACTTGGTGAGAACAGGAACATGTAGAATTATAACAAATGCCCACATATCTTTGGGGTTGGAATTTTTTCAAGACAGTCATGCATGGCTTATTTCAATTTCAAGACTAAGCAATGCTGCAAATCACTCAGAATGAAACCAGTGCTGAATTTTCAGTGCAGTACAAATCTGCTAGATACGAATTTGAGCTCACCTAGCCATGACACTCCCCAGCAGATCCAAATATATTGTATCTCACCTCCAGTGGTTTTAAACCTGTTTCTGACTACTGAATCAAGCTTCTTTGCAGTTTTATAAAAATATATTCACACACCAAAAAAGATTAATTTTATATATGCTGTGTCTCTCATATATTAATGCAACTGTCACCCCATTCCTATGAAGGAGGGGCACCAATTCTCCTTTTTGTTTTCTTGACTACAGGAACTTTCCTTTAGCATAAACAGAAACCCTGAATGAGCTTCTTTGTAGGGCTTTGTAAGTCAAAGTGACAAAAATGTATTAATTCTGTTGAGCAGCTACTACCTTTAAGGTGCTTCTTCTTTAGCAGTTCATTTACTTCTGAATTTGGGATAAGGGTCGTCAGCCAATAAGAAGTGTGCTGTTGCTTCATAAGGTATCTTTTGACCTTGTGTCCTGTGTAGTATGACATCTCCATGAGCACACCCAGCTGCACTCTACATGCGACAGCAAAGCCTGACACTCTCCCTCTAAAGAGTATCGAATCCACAGTAACCAATTTAATTAACTGATCATGTTCCCTGACTGGGAATGAATCTCTGGATTACTAATTACACAGATGAGTCTGTTTTCAAGTCGTGCTTTGTCACCACTTACAATCCCAAGATAATGTTCCCCACTCCCAGCAGAAGTCTCCAGCATGTTATTTAGCTGCTCCATCATCAGTAGCTGAAGTAGTAGAACTTTTATGTTAAGCAGCTCAACATTGATGATGATGATAGGGATGTTCCTGCAAATCCACTTGTATATTCCCAGTGGAAGGTTTTGCTTAAACAGATTCACCCAGTATGATGCATGTCCATACAGCAACTTGTGCCACTGCTTTTCTCCAGAATTTTTCTCATCCTGCCTATTAATTTTTAACATTATAGTCTGTTCTACAATACTCTAGATCCACTGTCAGTAAAGCTGCACTTTTCTGTGGCATTCTTGTTTCAAGTATTGACTGTCAATTAAATAAAATAACTTTTTTCTGATCCACAGATATTTAACTGTCACTGGAACAGCTAATCTACAAGAACTTAACTGCTTTGCCACATAACTTGCTGCATATTCAACATCAGCCCACATAAATGTATTTATCAATTCACCTACTGTCTTTTTTTCAGGTAAGTTCCTATTGTAGATGTAGGATTGTAGATGTCTGCTGGGTGCTTGAAAAGCTAGACTCTAAATATGTGAAAAAGGATGGTACAGGCATAATACATTCTGTCTTCTTCACATACATTCTAGATTTCTGTTCTGAAACGTTTGTTGTTTTTTTTTTTTAACAAATGGATTAATCAGACTTTGGAAAATTAACATATGACTGCTGAACCCTTTCACTGAAAAGCATTGGGCTTTCTTTTGGAAGCTGCTCAGAAGTGCAATTTGTTTCCACGGTGCCATCAACACTGTCCCTTCAGAGATGCATCCCAGTGCTGACAGTGACTCTGAGGTCTCCTTGCTCCTTCCACTCTTTTTTTCCTACAGCTTCAATCTTCATAATTTTCTGGCTGTTTTCAGAAAAGCCATTATCAGGCTGCAAGGTCATAATTTCCATTGGTTGCTAAATGGCAATGATTCCCACCCCTTTTCGAAAGAAAATCTCTGCAATGCAGGGGAACAGTTTCAGCTTTGCACCAAGCAGCCCCTCTCAGCTGGGCTGGCCAGGCTGCCACCAGGCACTCCCTGACTACAGCACCTCAGACCAAAACATTTCCCAGCAAGCAAACTACCAAAGCATGGGGCTTCAACTGGGGCTTTCCTGTAAACATCTCCAAAGATGCCAAATCAAACAGTTCATCAAAGAAAAGACAGAAATTTCACTTTCTTTTGAGCTGTGAGACAATATCACAATCTTTAAGAACAATTTTTTGGGGGTTTTTTTGTAATTAAAAATTCCCTTGTTTTACAAGGCATTATCAAGCTGTTAAATATTTTATCTTACTTTTAATTAGCACATTAATTAAACGTTTTCCCATTATTTACTTATACATAAACCCAATATAAGTGGATAGATCAGAACCCTGTCTTAGGTAGATCTTGTATTGAATTTCAAAATGAAAACACAAAAACCATATTAATATAGCTGCAACAGCTGGAATGCTGCTGTAACATTTTACCTCTCACATTCCCACAGGATTCACTCAGTCCCCTACGTGAGCATTCCACCACCATATGAAATAACAAATGCACAGTTGATCAGAGCAGCCTCTGCTACTTAATGTTCAATTTTCTTTGCTGTTCTCCCAAGGTTGCTACTTGCCACTTCAGCTCTGTGCACTATTGCCTTCTGGGCAATATGGCTCTTCTGGGCTTCCAGCTGCCACTCAAGGTGCAGGCAATACACTTAGGAAGGAGAGCACCCACTGCCAGCCCTCACTGCACTCACTTGATGCTCAGGGAGTGCAAATACTGAGGATCCAACCTGGCACAAAAGGCACCTGCAGCGTAGAGAATGTGATGGAAGAGGATCAGTGTTCATACAGACTGGGGGTAGAAGGATGGGTATTGTAAGAAAAGGTTTTTTCTCCTGATTGTGGACAGCACACTGTCCTTTACTCTGAAATTAGTTCTGTGTAAGGACATGGACCTGGCACAGCAGAAGCCTTGGCCACTGGACTCAGGGGCTGAGTCCTGAACTTGTCAGTGGCATTGACCACCCACCTTCAGAACTGCACACACAACATCACAACAGAAGTTAAGCTGAAGGTTACTCCTGGCTACAGCAATTAGATTGGATAAGAGATAATGAAAATCATCTTACAATAGGTTTACATTAAAAACTCCAGTATGTCCTTAAGGCTTCTATACCTTTACAGCCCATTCTAAGCAGTAGAATGCCAAATTACAGTAGGAAAGCAAAGACACTGACAAGTTTGTGAAATTTCAAGTTCAGAATTAAAAATGAGAAAAAAAGCCCAACAATTTAACTAAGACATTAATTCTAATTTATGGTTCTCAAGGGCTAAATATTTCAATTGAGCTTCCAGAGTCTCACTTGCTTACCCACCACAAATTTATCAGCAAAGCTTTGAACAATTTTGCTTTATTTCAGTGGGTAAGCCAGGAGTTAAATATACTCACTTGCTATATTTTTGTTGTTGTTGTTTTAAATTACTCCCTGTCTTGAAAACCATCCAGGATACAAGATTCAATTTGAAGTCCTTTCAATTACACACAACAATGAGCAGGCAAAGGTAGCAATTTACAGTATTCCATTTTGAATGTTGCCATTAGCTTTTCTTGTTCCAATGTCAAAGAAACTACGGGCATCAACAAGAAAAAACAAATCTACTTTCCAGGTCTGTTTTGAATAAATCAGAGCAGACCCAAATATAGCTCTGAAAAATCCACTGTGTTCCTCAGTCACAGGAATATTCTGGGGTTGTCTTTTCTCATCTTATGCAGAAACAACTCAAAAAAGCTTCCAAAAGAAACACTGAGATCAGTGTGCCATCACAAACCATTTCACACTTCAGCACACCGCAAGTCTCAATGACAAAGGTTTTATGCATCTCTTAGCTTTCATCAAGTACTTCTTTGGTAAAACCTAAAGAGTGTAATACTCTGATTAGGCAAATCACTAAAATCTTAAGTTTTAAATATATGAAAAATTGATATTTACTAGAATGGGACAGTTTTCAGTTATAAAATCAAGCATATAATTCAGTGCATGTAGCACTCATTTAAGATATATATTTACCTACTAACAAAATGCCAGAATTTCACAGAATCACAATAATTGAGTTCGGAAATTACTCTTGAGATTAAGTCCAATTGCAAACCTAGCACTGTGAAGTTCACCAGTAGACCATGTCTCAAAGCACACATCTTTTAAATGCCTCCAGGTATGGCACAGCGACCCAACCACTTCCTTGGGCAGCCTTTTCCAATGCCTGGTAACCCTTCCCATGAAGGCATTTCTCCTAATACCCAAACTAAATCTCCTCTGGCACAACCTGAGGCTGTTTTGTCTCATCCTGTCACCTGTTACCTGAGAGAAGAGGTTGATCCCCACTTCACCACAACCCCCTTTCAGGTAGTACAGAAAGTGAGAGGGTCCCCCCCGAGGCTCCTCTCCAGGTTCATCAACCCCAGCTTCCCCAGCTGCTCCCCTTCAGACTCATTCTCCAGACCCTTCACCAACTTTGCTGCCTTCCTCTGGACACACACCAGTATTTTAATGTCTTTCTTGCTAGCTGAAGACAAGATTCAAGGTGCAGCCTCCCCAGTGTCCAGTTCAAAAGGGATACCAGTTCCTTCATCCTGCTGGCCACACTGTTTTAACTATTAACAAAATGATACTGCATATCAAAATCCTCCTTTTTTTTTTTTTTTTTTTTTTTAGGGCTAGAAGGTTTTTCTTAAGTATAAAACCATACACATTTCCTCTCTTGGTGGATCTACATGAATAATTTGCAATCTATCACAAAGCAGGATGCACACAGTAAAAATGACATTGAATAAACACTGGGAAAAAACAAGCTCAGCAAATCTGAATTACTTGCTTTCATATTTAAATTAATAAACTCATTTGTGAATTAGCCATGGCACAGGGCAGAGAAATTAGAGGTATCTCACTTGATAACTGCTTCAAAGCATGTAATTTCTAGGCAAACATGTGTCATGGTGTCATGAAATAATCTCTTGGGGAACCATAGTGATGGAGAGGTTCATTTAACCCAGTGTTGCCCTGTTAATGTGCTATATGAGGACATCCCAACCTTTCAGAATATACTCATCTCTACCATGCTCAGGTGAAGTAGAGCACTATTTATAATACATACATAGAAATTAAAGAACAGACTCAGAGAAACAGACTGTTTTTCTCAAATTTACATAAAGAGCCTGTGGCAGTCAGCCCTCAGATGCAGCTACACCAAGCTCAAAGTGACTTACTCTAAGTTTCAATTAGATTAGGCAACTACCACTGGAGACATTGACCATATGAATGGTCATAAGAATACTTGTTATCTGCTGTGAAGATTTACCAGCATCCCAGCAGTACCTCTAAACCCACTACATCTATCAGTCTCTAACCAACAACTTTTAACAGTCTTTAACAATCAGTCTTTGGTCCAGGACAAAGTGTTCCAGCCATTGCAGTTCCAGAGGTCTATAAAAATGGCTTCAAGAACAGGCATTGCAACACTGCTGGTAAATGCATAAGGGTTAAGCTAGCTTCTGAAAATTAACATCTTGATCAGCTTTAAGTAGTTTGGGTTTTTCACATACCTGGGAACTGGGACATCAGAGGGTGCTCCCCTATAGCATTATATTTAATACTGAAAAAGGGCTCTTCCTGAAAATGATGCAGGGCAGGGTATGAACTGAGGCCTTCTCACAAGGGCTTCATTCTAGATGATCCATTTAGAGAGCCTAAAGCCCCCATGTTCCTAATTTCTGTGCAAACACTCTCCTGTAGCTCAAGACTGACAGTCCCACTGATGCCAGCAGGCCATCAGGGTGCAGTTCCAGGCCCCTGCTCACCTTCACACACATGTCCTGTGAGTCCTGGGACCCCACAATGCTGAAAAGAGAAAGGAAACAGTTGCATACCGGCCATTCCTAGGCATCCCATCTCTTTCTGAAGCCACAGATTATCTTCAAAAACCTGGAAGAGAGCAATTATTAAAAAAGCACTTTTCATAAATATCTATTATTGAACTTTTATGCTGAATTTATACTTCAATTACACAATTACACAGAAGCCTATCCTACAAAGTCTGAAGTTTCTCCAAAATTAACTATAAGAGACACAGCTTGGCTCTAGAGTTCTCCCACAGCTCGTTAAGCAGTGTGAGGCTCTGCTGTCCAGTGTGGATATGCACACTTGGGGCTCCAATTGTACTTACACTCCATATTATCAGGATGAGTCCCTGCACAATAGTGGAGCTGGGCTGGCTATTAGTTTGCTTTCATTAAATAATCTTTCTTTGCCCTTTTCAGAGGCCTATTTGAGGACACAGGAAAATCTGATCACTAGGAGGCAGCAGGAATGTGTCAATATGAGATATCAAGCCCACTGACATTACACTCATTTTTCCTCCAGAGAACTCCACAGAGCCTTTCAAAGGGGCCACATGCTAAAACTGCAGCCTGCAAGGCAATCTGTGACAGCCTCCTGCCTGTGCCTAGACACTGCTATAGAAATCACCACTCAAAACATCAGTAGAAGAAATCAATGTTTTTAAGGAGTTTTGTTGCCCAGTGTTTTGATCAAGATGTAGTAGTCATACAAGCAAGTTCTTGTTTATCAAAGATTCTGCCTTGCAGGAGCTAATAGAGAGGTAGGGATGTGGGTAATCAACAGGGATCTAACTCAGCCTGGCGACATCAGCCACATTCACTGTTTCTGTTTGCTACCAAGCACTGCATGTGAGTAATGTTAAATACTGACTTTGTCAACACCACGGTTACAGTACAGCATGTTAGGGGCAATTTTCTTCATTGTGTTCTTCTGGTAAAGTAATTTGGTGTGCTGTTTGTTGGTTTTGGGGAAGGTCCTGGGTTTGGGAGGGTTTTGTTTGTTTGTTTTCCTGCAATACAATTTCCTGTTTATTAGTCTTTCTGTAATCCCAACAACAAACTACATTTGTAACTCACTCTAATCCCCACTGTACAGTAAGGGCAAAAGATAACAATGTCAACACATTTTTAGATGGCTTGACAGACGCAAACCTAGATAAGGAGAAAGAATGAACATAAAAGCTCCATCCTCCAAACAGCCATTGCACTCCTCACTGGAGACTGACACCACTGAGCTGAGGTGCTGTGACTAGATAAACACCAAGGGCCTCTGCTCAGAAGCACAGCAAAGCACAGACACAGCATCATTAGGGTTGAAAGGGAACTCTGGAGATCATCCAGCCCAATCCCCTGCCAAGGCAGGTGACAGGGACACCTCCAGGTGGGTCTGGAATGTCTCCAGAGAGGGAGACTCCAAGACCTCTTTTGGGCAGCTGTGCCAATGCTCTGCCACCGTCAATGAAAAAAAGTTCTTCATGTTGAGGTGAAACTTCTTGTGTTTTACTTTATGGACATTGCTCCTTGTCTTGTCCCCGGCTATCACTGAAAAGAGTTTGGCACCATCCTCTTGACGCCCACCTTTGAAATATTTCTATGTATTAACGAGATCCCCTCTCAGTTTTCTCTTCTATAGAATAAGCAGGCCCAGCTCCGCTAATAGCTTCTCGTAACAGAGATGCCCCACACCCTTCATCGCTTCCGTGGTCCTCTGCTGGACCCTCTCCAGCGTACAGAGGACCCTGTCCAGAATCTGTCGGCTGCCTCACCACGCCGGTGCCCGGCAGCTTCCCGGGCCGTTCCCCCAGCCGCAGTGCCGGGGAAGCGGCCCGCTGCCGGGCCGGGCCCCGCTCCCGAGCACGGCCCGGCCGCGGGGGCTGCGGCACCGTCCCGCGGCCTGCCCGGAGCCCGGCACCGCCCGCCGGCCGGGGGCCGCTCACACCCGCGCACCGCGGGCACCGCGCTTACCCCAGCCGCCGTCCGAGCGCAGGGCTGCCGGGCCGGGCCCCGCCCGGTGCCCGCTGCGAGGGGCTGAGCGGGCGCGGAGGGGAGCAGCGCCAGCAGCAGCCCGGCCAGCGGCCAGCCCATGGCAGCGGGCGGACCCTCCGCGGGTGCGGACGGCGTCGCGGAGATTTCTCCAGGCGCTGCCCCGAATCAGGCCCGGCCTCAGCCGCGGCATCCACCCGCCATCGGTCTCCTCCCACCGCGGCGAGGGCGGAGGGGAGAGGGCCCCCGAGCAGCGGGACCTCCCCTCGCGCCCGGCCCTCTCCTCGCCGCGGGCCGGGCCCCGTGCCATGGCGGCGGTGGAGGGCTGCCTGCGGGCCGTGGGGCTGCAGTTCTGGGCGGACTCGCTGCAGGCCCTGCCCGCGCTGCTGGCTCCCGCCGCGCTGCTGGGGCTGCTGCTGGGCGCCGCCGCCGCCGCCCTGCTCTGCCGCTGCGCGCTCGGGCCGCGCCGGGGCGGAGAGGTACGCGGGGCCGGCGGGGACGGGGCGCGGGAGAACGGCTCGGGGGAGCAGGAGGGGTTTGCCGAGGTTTGAGGGGTGGAGGGCCCGGGAGGAGTTGCCCGCCGGCTTTGCCCGCTGCACGGGACAGCCGGGAAGGGCTTTGCCCGCTGCACGGGACAGCCGGGGCTGCCTCGGGGCGAGCGGTGCGCGCTGCAGCGGGCGTGGGTGCGGAGCCCCGTAATTCCTGCCACGCCTCTGCTGGAAATGATTTCACTACTTACTTTTAAAAGTTGCTGAAAGAAGTGGATTAACTCTAAAAGGAGGCCGGTGAAAGTGTTGAAGTGTTCTGAGTGTTGTCCCCCTGTCTCAAATCTCTAACATTTGTGACGTGCAAGTTGCCTCTTGCAACCATCGCTTCGTGTACGAGGCAGTGTTGCTTTTGGGGATAATGGAAGATGTACCTGGTTTGCAGAAGCTGTGTGAGATAATTGAAAATAAACGCTAACCAGTAATTTTATTTCCAAAGTATTTTACAGACTTTACCAAAGTTCATTTTACAACACAGCACTGAGTATTAGTACTAACCCACTGCAATACCTTTGCACTGAGAGTATGCACATAGATACCTAAAGAAATAAAGAACCCTGAGCACTGCTGATGGTTTGCTTGATGCCAAACTAACATGGTTTTCTAAAGTGTGCGATTTTGTTAATAACATACTTGCTGTTCTCTTTTAAGTGCTGTGGTTCCTATCTATTTCATAACGTTTCTTTGGACTCGAAGATTGTAGAGGCAGCATGCACCCACCGAACCAGGCAGGCACCCATCTACCAGGCAGATATATTTTCTGGGAATTGTTATTGTTATTGATTTATGCTTTATTCTCCCATCCCACTTAGACCCAGGCCATGCTGGACTGACTGGATGTAGCAGTGGTTGGTGTTGGCACAGCAGTGGGATTTGGAGTTCTGCAGAGTTTTGCCAGCCTGTAGGTGCAGAGTCTGGTCCAGCTTGGTTTATCACCACACCTTTTCTCAGCTATAACAGCTCTGCTGCATGTGTGTATCTGCTGGTGTTGATCATCATTAAACATGACATAGGAGACAAACTCTCTAGTTCCCAACTGCTTTTAAGTTGGAGAATTGAAGTTCTGTTTGAAGCCAGACATTAGTGTAGTAATGGAGGCACTTCAAATGCTGGATCAATGCATCCTGTGCAAGTACAAGCCCTTCTGATTCAATTCCTCATTTTCCATGCCTTAATGGGTATATCTTTATTGTACTGCCACTACCAACTCAAATGTAGTCATGTGCAATTTTATCCTTTTTATCCTTTATGCCATATATGTCAATAGGGAATAGAAGCTGCCAGTTCTCCCTGGTCTGGATCTTCAGATGCATTTAGATGTTTAAATGCTAATAAAATCAATGCTGCTGCCCTAAAAGGGTTATTTATTTTGAAGGAAAAATAAACTGCTTGCTGGTGCATACAGAGCACATTGCAGGGTGGGAAGGTTGCATCCTGTGGGTCTGATTTCCCCAACTGAACAGGACAACCTTAGGCTGTTCCTCCTTCCCACTATCTGCCCCAGCAATGCTATGGAGCAAGCAGGTGCTGAACTGCACATATTGCAGCCTTCTGTATCCAAAGTAAAAGCAGGGATAGCTTTCCTGAGTATATGTTCCATCCCAAGCAGCTAAATTATCCTTAGTGTGTTAGCAGGGCAAGTACCTGGAGCCTGAAGCACCTTTAAGCACCACTGTAAGCCAATACATTTGTCACTCAGCCCCAGTTAATCTCACTCAGCCTGAATTATAGCCTAAGTTATAATAATTACAACTATTTTATAGATCATTGCCCAAATCTGTGGGACTTGAATGCATGGAGGATGCATAATTCTCTTATTTGTTGGTTTGTACATAGGATACGCTGGGATAGTTTTAAGAAGAGCTCTTTACTGTGGTAACAAATAAATTACAAGATTGCTGAGGGAGATTTGTTGCTGTTCTTTTCTCATCAGTATATTTTTAGGAACCAGCGTCTGCACTTCAGCACATCTAAAAGGCTAACCCAAAAATATAATCTGAATTACTGCATCATCTAAGATGTAGAGAGGTGACAGAGGCAAGTCATACAGGATTGAGTGTGTTCCAAAGCTGGGCTGTTCTCTGTGTTCTGGGAAAATGGACTGCTTTACCTGCCAAATGGCCAAATCATTTAAAGTGAACCTTTCCATAAGAGAGTGACATGCATATGGGCTGCAGCTGGATGTAGTCGTCTACTACATCCAGAAGTAGTCAGTGGATTGAAAACCTGAAAAAGAATTTTAAAAGTCATCCATGTAGTGTGGCTGCTATCTTTTCCTTCACTAAAAAAAAAAAAAAAAAAAATCTTTGTGATGCTGTGTTTGGAGGGAGGCACATTAGTGTTGTTTTCTGATCTCTGTAGTGTGTAGGGAAGATCATGTGTAGCAGGAGGTTTCATTGCCACACAGTATCTGTGTCCCTACCTGTGTCTTCTTGTGTTTGTGAAGTGAGGTCAATAATATGGGCAGCTTTTGGGGAAGGAAGGTGATGAACATTTTCTGATAGTTACTTCTCCCTGGCAGGAGCTTCCATGCATATAAAGCTTCATTTAGGAAGTTTGTCCCATGGCCAGAGACAAAAAATACTTGGCATTCTCTTTATTGCTGGTAATTATAGACAATTTTAGTTAACTTGCTGTAATTGAGATGTTTGAGCTCAGACCATGAGGTTGACTCCGAAGTCTGTAGTATGACATTTTGAGAGCAGATGGATCGATTTGACAAGTTCATGGCCTCTTAAAACATTTTTAGATTAAAATTCTACTCCTGGAATGACAAATTTAAAAGTTTATTAATTTTAATTATTCCTTTCTGAATATGTAACATTTTCATCTATTTTCAGATTGTATTTTTCCAAAGTTTTCAACTAATACTAGAATAATTCTCATGATGGAGACATGAATGTATCCAGGCTGCTGTGGAAGATGTTTCCAGTTAACCTGCATGATCTCAAGTGTTACATTTTATGTTTTCTCTTGGAATTTCAGAAAGATGATTCTCAAAGACTTCTGGAAAGCTTCAATGCTGATGAAAAAGAGCACACACTCACGAAAAGTAAAGCAGAACCCTATACATCAAAAGAGGAGATGGTGCTGGAGGTAAAGCTCTGCTCCTACAGGCGGATCTCCATTTGGTGCATGTAGCAGTAAGCATGTTCAGGGCCTGCTCCAAATTGTCTCAATTTTAGTGAGTTTGGAGAGAGACTTGTAAAAGTGTTCAGAAAAAGTGTAAGATGGAGAGTGGGAGTTGATTGCTGCTTATGAATGCAACCATTTCAGGCACTTATTCCCCTTATGAATTCCATTTCTCCCAGGGCACTCTTTTAATCAAGATATTTTAATCAAGATCCTGAGTTCTTTTTGGACAGAGACTTCTTTGCTTTCATCTCTATGTTTTCCTTAGTTTCAAAAGGCTAATGGGATAAATTAACACTATTAACATAAGAAAAAGTTTGTAAGTGCTGAAAGACCACTGTGGTGAGCTGGGATTCAAAGACAGAGAATTTGTGAAAAAAAGTAGAAATATAAAATTAACAACCCACTCTCCATGGAAACATCTGATATAACTAACATCTAAGTAACTTAACTTTTTTTTTTTAATAATCCCAAAATAAATGGAGAACCAGTCCTACTGTGTAGTCACTATCTTTCACCCAAAGCTGATTTGACTGGTCTTGCTGGAGCTAAAGATTAGGATTTAAGCTGCTCGTTTAAAAACGTGCAGTTCAGCTGACTCATTCAGTCTATTATACATAAATTAAATACATGGATAAAATGTCAGTCAGAACCAGCCAGTCTAGTGCTTAGCTTGTAACAAGAACTGGTTTCAAGAAAATGTTATTGTTAACGTTGAAACTGTTGGTTTAAATCCTGACAGGTAATGAATCTTCATTTCACCTTTGTGATCAGGAGTGGTGACACAACATGCTTGGTCATTTGGCTTGAGTTAAAGTAGAATATTAAAAGTGAGCATGGATTAGGTTATTTTTTGAAGTGTAAATGTTGTGGGAGAGCTTACACAATTTCGCATCTTCATGCTTATTGCAAGTGTTTTTGAAATGGGATCACAGTCTTGTAAAGGTGATAATTCACAACTTTATCCATTTCCATAACGTGGCTCATTTATAAGACATTAAGAGGTAACCTTGTTATTTGAGGGGACTTTCTCCCACCTGTCTGTCTAACTACTGAAATTATACGTATTTTTTTTCTACTAATTTGTTCTGATTTCCAGAGGCTTTTGCTGTTACTAGCATCAAATTGACATTTTATGAAGAAGCATAAATGGAAAATGCTTTTAATTAGGTTAGAGCACTTCAGAAAAACAGGTATTTTCATTCTGAGACTTTTCACATTGCAATAAAACCATAATTACTGTATTAATAATAATTGTGTGTTACTTATGCCTGCTGAGAAGCAGGATGTGTTAGTTCTAGCACTCTGCAATACAACTTTGCAGCTTTGCACTGGCTGCTCTGCCTCCAGTCACTGCAGAGCAGTAGCTCTGTCCACTCCTGTCCCTGATGGGATACTGCAGTGCTGGGACTGCTCACCAGGGGCAACTTTATCAGTGAACCCAAAAGTGGAAATAAATGAAATGGAGATGAAAAAGTGCAATGGTAGAAGTCCAGTGAATTACACAGTTTGCTCTTTCCATTTCCATTTTTAGATTCTATTAGTGCTTTGATATTTCCTAGAAAAAGCTTTATGAAAAATCCTGTATTTTGACAAATCAGTCTTTCATATGACAAAACCAAAAGAGGTAAAATAGGAAGTCCTAGTGCTTGGATTTACATATTTTATCTACTATTTATAGACAAACTTTTATTAAGCCATACCTAACCTCTCAAAAAAATTATGATCCCATTGTTCCAGCATATAGAAAAGGCAGTAGCAGAAAGTCAGATTATGTAATACAGAAAATTGTGTGAAAAAAATTAAATATTTATTAAAAGTTATTTGGAAAAACATTGTTATTTTCTCTAGATTTTGGGTAAGGGTTGTATTATAGAAGTTTTTCCTGGGAAAAAATTATGACTGTGTTTTCTTAATTTATTGTTTCTTTATTTAAATTGAAAGACAGAATTTATGGCCATGATGATATCTGTGGAGTTTATTATCCTTCAGTAGTTTTTATTATTAGTCTCATTTGTAAAATCTTTAGCTGTTGCTAATGGTGTGGAGGTGGTGACAAGACACGAAATGAAAATATCTTGCAAATACCAGATACTACCTATTTTCTCCTGGAGAATTAGAAATATTTTGTAGCAGTGATAATGACAAGAGTTCCCTTTTCAAGTTTTCCTGCTTGAAATGAACCTTATGAGAAGACTTCTTGCACCAAAGCAGAGACAATCAATAAACAGTTATTAATAGGAGCATTTAAGTTGTGTAACAAAAAGGAGCTCACAATACTTAAAGTGAATAATTGCCAGATCTGCTGCTGTTCTCAAATGATTTTCTGTTCTTTTCCATACAGGAAGGTGAGTCTCCTCTGAACAGTAACATTGCAGCATTTGCATTAAAGGCAAAAGTGATCTATCCCATCAACCAGAAATTTAGGGTAAGGTTGTAGATTCTACTTGTAAAAATTAATGGCAATCATTCTGTGTCAGAGTAAATTGCAGAGTCAAGTAATGGAAGAAAATTTACTGCCAATCTGCTTAATAGGGATCTTTCCTTTTTTTATAGTCCATTGACTCAGGGCTTATTCTGTAAAGTGTCAGCTGCTTTCAGCTACCCTTCATTGCTGGAACCTGCAATCTTTACATGGTCCAGTCAATTTTCACTGTATTTAAGGGAGCTTGTCTTCCCCTTAACATTAATGGGAGTTGGATCTGTCTAAGGAGCCATAAGAAAAACACCACAAGGATCGGAAAGAGAAAGCACACAAAGCAGCTAACTACAATGGAAGAATGCTTTCCTGGGCAATGCAAAAGCCTCTCATGTACATGGAAACACTTTTGCTGTGTATACTGTTTAACTTTTCCCTTAAAAGTAAACACTGAAAATTGATGTGATGTTTATTTCCTTATTGTGTTGTATTAATTGACCTTGTGAATTTCCTTTTACTTGTAGCCTCTGGCAGATGGCTCATCTAATCCATCTTTGCATGAGAATCCAAAACAAGCAGTTCTGCCTAATCAAGTGGTGGAAACATCCGTGTCAGGCAGCCTGGGATCCCTGAGCCAGGGAGACAAGGAGGACTGCAGCTCCTCCACAACAATCCATTCCACAACAAGTGATGACAGGTTTCAGGCCCGAGCCTTTCTAAAGGTGGCCAGCTTCCCTGAAGTGCTGACATGTGAGAGGTAAGCAGTAAACCTGCCCTTGCTTGGTCAATTCCTGTGTTTTTAGGACAGCCACTAAAGGTGAAAGGCTGGGTATGAATGCACACGTCGCCACATCAGGACAGGATTATCTGCTTATAACCCTAAAAAAGTTGTTGGGAGATTAATACATTAAGTTGTTGGAAGTCATCCTGTTCTTTGTGAAATTTTGAGAATCAGAGCTGGCCAAAAGCTGTCTCATAAAAGGTGTGTCACTGTTAGGATAAGGAGATGTCTTTGTTATGTCTCGTATGCTCAGTTCACGTGTGCTGGGGATGGAGCTCTCTGCCCTGTACAATGACATCTCACACTGCAGGTGCCTTGAGAACACTCAGTGTTCTGTTCTCTCTGTTTTAATGGGAACTATCATTTCTTACTCTGGGAGAACAGTTCCTCTCTGACACTGCTGATGAGCAGGTAGAGGTAATTGAAATGGACTGTCAGCTCTGATTTCCTTTCAGCTGCACCACGGCAAGGTAACCCTAGATGAACACATGTGTCTGCACTCTCATTAGCAAGAGTAACAAAATCATGTTTGTATCCCAGGAACTGGGAAAGCTACCAGCAATGAAGAATGTTTACAAAATATCCACTCTTACTATGCCTGTTTCAATTTAAAGCCCTGCCTTCCCTGGTTGAATCCGCTCATGACTGTGTTCACCTTGTTTTTCTAGAGGAAACTGCAGCACCAACTTTATTGAAAGCTCTATGTTTGTTTACCTTTACATTCAGAAATCTTTTCTGAAAAAGGAGGCAATGTAGAAATAAAGTAACTTTACTTCTGTTTTGGGGCAGGGTTTTTAGGAGGATCTAGTGGTTAAATGAAACATATTGTGTTGTCTTTTTGTGTAACTGTCATTTAGATTGCTATAAATGCATTTTTAATCTTTGTTTTAGTTTCGATGTTAAGCTCTGCCTTTGCAGTCTTACTTTACAAGATCTCATGCTTCTTGATACTGAACTCAGAAAAGAAAAAAATGTGGTAGGTACTTATATCTCATTTTATAGCTCATTGTTTTGAACATCTTAGTTGAATATTAGTTTAGGAAATAACATAAACAGCTGGCTAGGTGAGATGTAATGCAGCAGACTTGCATTTCCACGTTATTGACTTTTTTTCCCTCCTACTCTGCATATATATGAGCTTCCTAAAGAAGTAAAATATGATGAAGTATACTGGTCTGTGAAATACCAATATAGCAAATTCAAAAAATTGGTTTTAAACATTACTCCAGAGATTAACATACAGCACTTGAAGCTCATAAGAAGAGGTAATAAATTATTTAGTAGGTGAATTTGTCTTAAGGACAAACTTGCTTTTTTGTTTGTTGTGACTCTAAAGCTTTTGGAATAAAATGGAAAATTCAGTTCATCTCCGTCAGTACCATTGTGGTAAGTACAATAGTTCTGAATTTTTATAATTGTAGGATTAAGGTACCATTTAAACCATGGGTAACTACCTGCATCAAGTCACAGCATCCAAAACTGACAAGGAAAAAAAAAAAAGAAAAGAAAAACAAAGTACAATTAAGGTTTTGGGATATTATGGGATATTCAGTAATGATTGTTTGTGGTGCCTAGCCATGATCAGCACCATTACTGCTATTGAGGTTTAGCTACAAATCTGGTAACTACAAATCTGGACATAAACTCTATAACTTTTCCCCCACTCTTTTCTTGAGCTTTGTTTAAACAAAATTGGTAATTTCTGTTAGAATTTAATAAATCCACTGAGAATATTCCAAAGGGTGGGATTTTCTGAAGAAATTTCTACACAAACCAAAGGAGGAAACAGGAAAGTAACCCTGGGAAACAGTTTCTCATTTGATGGATTATCCATATCTAGTTAGATGAGAAAGGGAACTTGTGATCAGATTCCAGAAGGAAATTTAGCTTGATTATAGAAGGTTGAACTTGATATCAAAGTTAATAATCAATTTCTAAGGAAGGTAAGTAGCAACATAGTGATGTAATCACAGAAACACAGAGAAAATGAGCACTTAACATACTTTGTGGCCCACTAGAAATACCCACAAAGGACTTAGATCTTTAGCTGAATATGATAATAGCTTTATATTTTTGTCAGAAGCTAAAACAGGGAAAAAATAAGTCAGTCTGAGAATAATTGCTTTCTTTCCCACTCTGCTTTCTCTGATTTCAGTTTTTCTTGGCATAAAGTTCTAAGGAAATACATCTTTTTCTATCAGTCTTCTCCTGAACCCTCTTTTTTCTTTTTACTTTATATGATATCCTGGTCCAAAACATTTGCAAGTGAGATCCAAAATATGACTGCCATATGTTTTCCTCTTCTATAGGGCTCTAATTATATTTTCCAGATTTCCCACCTGACATGAGCTTCAATAACTGTTTCTATATGTAAATATGTATGCATTTATGTTTTTATATGTTTTACACATGGAAGTTCTGCATCATCTTGTTTTCAAGATTATAATGAACAGGCAGGTGGCTGTTAAATTTCATGTATTTTGATTTCCACACTGCAAAATGCTGCAGCAGTTACTAATGAAGTGAATTAACCTTACACTGAAACTCTAATTGAGGGAAGAGGGGAAAAGGTTAAGCAAAAGTTTTCCATGTTAAAAAATCTAAAATGTGTTTTTGAAGACACTAGTATTACAGTTAAAAAAAGGCACACAAATGGAAAATAAGTTATTTTCTTGCAAGAGAAGCTAGCTAGAACTTGAGATAGTTTCTTTTGGGTCGTATATAAAAATGTTTGATGTATTGTGTGGCTGACTACAGTTGAAGTCAGAGTAATGAGCCTTTAGTATCTTTTGAATAGATAATATCTTCCAGTTTAGGGGTTCATTAAACTTTAGAAAAATGGGTTTTGTATTTTCAAGTGATCTGCATTTTATCCAGTCAAGGATAGTTTAAAATGTGTCTGTCTGGTTACAAGGATATATGAGATTATGTGTAACACCATCTTCCAGTATCCCACTGGAGCCAAAACCGGAGAATTTTTCACAGTGGAAGTACTGGAGAATTGCTGGTGATAAATCTGTTAATTTATCTGTTGTTTCACTTAAGATTCGCTATAATCTCCCTGATTGATTTAAATCAGCGAAAGTTATCACAAAGATGTCCTTACAGTGATGAACGGGCACTTAACCTGGGTGTTGTTTTCTTCCTTTTAAACAGATGTTTATTCAGATTTTCAAGATATACCTCACAGACTTCCATCGTAAAAAGAAGATTACTGATGGTTTGTTGAAGAAGATCCTTTTAAATCAGGAAAATGTAAGTGAGTTTGTTGGTTAGTACTTAAGACCATACAAAATAAGAGTTATTTTTATTACTACAGCAGGCCATTTCACCTACTCCTTTTGGACAGCCATGTCATTTGTAATCTATTTTTGAAGAAAATGCAAAGAAACTCCCTTGTTAGTTGATTTTCTACATTAGCTTGTATGCTTTTCCTCCTTGTTGCTGTATGAAGTGATCTACGTAATCTGCTAAAAATAAACTATTTTTGTAGTTGACTCCATTTAAACAGAACATTTTGAACCCTATCCACTCAGATTTAATAATTTCTAATTACCAGGGGCTTTGTTTGGTCCCAGGTATCTTGCTGATAATAAAATAGCAGGAAATAAAGTAGCAGTATGACGGTCAAGGCTTTCATCAGGGAAAAATATACTTATTTTCCTCATCATCCTTTTTTCTTTCATGTACTTGCATCATAGTCTATATGCCACTTCTGAACTGGGAGATATATATTGAAAATCAATGTGTTTCAGGTAGAGTCACAGTACTATTGTCAAGGTTATTAGAAGGAGCAAAAAGCTTTACAAAACTGTAGAAAATAGGAGAGCTATTGGTTCTACTTTCCAGTTTAGAGTCACAGAAAAATCTGGGTTGAGAAGCATATCTTGAGATTGTCTGGCCCAGCCTTCTGTAGGAAGCTTTGTCTTAGGTAAGGTTATCCAGTGCCCTGCCAGTCCAAGTCTTGAATGTTTGTACTGAGAGCAGCCTAATCACAGCAGCAATTATGCTTCTCTTACATGTAGGTGGAATTTCACATCTGGGTATTTGTCTATCAGCTCATGAGCTCTAGTTGTTGAACACTTGGTACAGTCTCACAATCTGTGAATTACTATAAGGAATCTCTGTAGTTGTACCCTGTGATTTATATCAGAAGGTATTTTGCCTTAAAGCACTCTTCTGCCTTAAATCCTCTGGTTTAGTATTAAAGCTTATTGTATTTACTGGATGAAAAGTGAGATTAGATGTGCAAAATCCTCTTACTGGTGGTCTTTTGGTAATGATTTCAAATTATAAACAGAGCTGATCTAGAGTAGGCATGTTTCCTGATGGAACCTAATCCTCAGTGAAGTTTGATGGCATCAGTGTCCTCAAGCTCCTAAGATGCTGCAACACAAGGACTAAATCCAAATAATTAGATGCAATAATTGCCAGAGAAGTCCAGTTGTTTAAGTGCCAGTATGGGATTTCTGTGTCCTATATGAGGTAGAGAAAGATCTTGTAAACCTGACAGTCTTAGAGGTGAGATATCATGCAAGAAACAAGACTGGTTATGACCACCATGTAAAAGAGATGTTGCATGTTTTATTGCAGACAGCCTTTTCCACTTTTAATTCTGCATCATAAAAATTCATGGGATTTTGATGAAATTGTTAGTGAAGCTTGTCAAACTCTACTTAGTTTTCCTTAAGGCATAAGGGTATCAAGTTAATGCATTGATAGCCAAAAGTGGATGGTGTTACAAATCAGTGCTTGCTATGAAAGGCATGTTGCAGTGAAGGAAGAGTCACCCTTTTCACTATCAGCTTGCTAGGCAATGGCAGCAGACTAGTATTTGTCAGCAACATCAGCTCTCATAAAAAATCACCCTGAAAAACTGTGAAACCTTATGTAATCATGCCGCCTATAATTTGTCCCTTATGAGCATTACAGGTGTGTTCATCCATGTGTGTTCATCTAGCACTCTGCAGGAATCACTATCTGATTATCACCTGGATACTTACCTGAGCTTTTAAACACAGTCTGTACACTCATAGCTGCCATTTAAGATGGGGCACATGCATTAAAATAAAAATATTGGTAGATAGATTGTAGGGATTATTAGTGTAAAAGCTCTTGAAGCAGTGTTTACTAATGAATTCAGCAGAGATGGATTATGGTCTTGACTGTACTTACATCCTAGTGGAAATGTATGTATTTGTATTAATTATTCAGAGTTGCCATATATCTGGAGATTTCCTTGCTTGCTACAGAAGGAACAGAACTTTCTGAACACTCCTGTTCAGCTTCCTTAACAATGAGCCAGAACTGACATACAGTTTCACTCCCAAATTTAAAAGTTATGTCTGTTTTTCTGTTTAAGAAATCACTTGAATTTTTTTTCCCCCAGGATTTTGAAGAATTACAGAAACAACTTGACTCTAGACTCCAGAATACTGAAATGTCAGGAGCCCGTAACTCAGAGTTCCAGACTCTGGAAGATCTGGAAAGGAGGGAAAGGGAATATTCCGAGCACGTAATAGATAATGTAACTATCTAATTTTTTTCTAAAATTTTATTTTAATGTTATTCTTTTGGTGGGGAGTTCTTTAGTGCAATGGTTTTGTTGAGTAGTCCCCAGTTAGTATTTTATATGTGTCCTGAAAATATTTTTACTTTGCCCCAGCAAAATATTTCCAGCTCCCTTTGGGTGTCAGTATGTTTTTATAAATAAAACATTTTTATGCTTTTTGTAAAACACTAGTGTTTTATTGGCTGAGAAACATCTGGAGCTTGTCTGAGGATAAGATTTATTTCAAGAGCCTGACTTTTAGGAATGTGATCCTCGCCCCTTGCTTTTGTCAATCCCTGTAACTGAGTAAGGGAGCAATAAGAGCCTACTTTTTTTTCCAGCAGAAAGAAGTACTAAAACTGTAGTTGCTGGGCAATGTTTTAGTATGTTTTGTGCATTTACTAAAGCAAAGCCTTTTTTTTTAGCAGCTTTCCACGTGAGAATATATTTACATTTTTTGATGTGAAAATACCGTTTGATAGCAGGCATTTGGGTTTTTTTTCTCTAAAGTAGATTCACTGTGTCAGTCTAGATTCAGGCTAGAAAACTGGAGGTTAAGAACATTCTATGTCCTATTCTCCAGTAAACTGAGTAATATTCTTCCCATTCCTGTTTTTGAAGTTTGAGCAAATTGACTGCTGATGAAAATGAGAGAGTGACAGCTCTGTGAGCTGCCTGTGCTGATTGACTGTGGCACTTCAGCCCTGGACCAAACAGCCCATCACCTCTGCCTTGGGCCTTTTTCATACAGGAGTTCACATTTTTTAATGTCTGCTGCTTAAGTGTTTCACTGGGAATTTTCTCTGCTTTCCTTGAGCCCTTCACTTTATAGTGGAAATCCCGGTAACATTGGAATATCTGTGTCAACTTTCTTTTGTACTTTAACTTTTCTCAGTGGAAAAATGCTTGTTTAGAGTTTTCCAGTGTTAGTCATGTAAAAATAATTGCTGGCAACCTTGCTGAGGAACATGAGGCATTTATTCTCCAGCAGTGATCATCCTTCAGTGGCTCTGTCACTCTTGTGCCTGCAGATGCTTTTCGTTGTACTGAAAATAATTTCCCTCTATGCAGATTTGTATAGCTCAGTACCTTGAACTAATCCAGTCTTCCTCTGAGAATATAAAGGGATTTTTGCCATACTCACAGATGCCATAATCACTTTTTTCCCCCCAAAATTCTTGGGTACTTAATGGAAATCGTGGTGATGGATGCATTTTTTACCTTCATGTGTACGAGTAATCCCACAGAGCACAGAATATTGACAGTGTGCACAGTCATGTTTATTGAATCAGAATCTAAAACTAGGGATTGTCCATATAATAATCTATTAGAATTGACACATACACTGTGCTGACATAAAGTATTTAATTCCAGCCAGCAAAGTGCTTATGTAGCACCTAGCTGTGAAAGACTTTGATGGTGTAAAACAGTAATAGTTTTCAGTTTTTCTTTTTTTTATAAAAATGTTGTTTGACTAGAAAACCTGCTCCTACAGCTAAATAAACTTCCCAGAATAAAAGGGATGCAGTTTGTCTTCTAGGTTTTTACCATCAATACTAAGAACATTATAGGCTCTTATAGATGCAATATGTAGAGAATTAACAGATTCTTAGCTAGTTAAAAAGAATTGTGACAGTTACTTTAAAAGGTCAGGTTTGACTTACTGGTTAGGTGCCACCACCAATATGTTATATATCTATTTTGTATATATAAAATACATAATCTCTCTTTATCTTTGCAAATTGGTCAATATAACTAATTCTGAGAGCTGTCTGTAACTTGTATTTCAGTAGACTCATATATATGCCTCTTTCTGTAATGAAATACCAGATGATTAATGAGGGAACATGGGTTGTTTTTTGATTCATATTCCACAGATGGAAGCCTTCTGGAAGCAGACTGACAAAGCCCAGCAGGATTTTTTGGACCAATCAAAATGCTCAAGTGCCAAAGCCACAAAGATAATGATGGATCTGACTGAGAAGATGATTGCAGTAGAAAGCTTGTTAAGTGAATCTCAAGACTTGCAGGCGATGGTAAAGTAAAAAAGAAATAAAAGTTGAAAGAGATTTAGTCAATATGAGCAGAAAGAATTATGTCAGTGCAGAGTGTGTCAGTCCTGCCTCAGGAGTGATGAAGACTGCTTAATCCAGTTGTCTCTCTGAGCTTTATTGCTGAGAGCTCAACTTCCATTGCACTTTAGGAAGATTCATAGGAAGGTGAACTCTCTGTATTTGAGTTCTAACTCTCAGAATACCATTTAGGTAAGTAAAGGAAAAAGTATTATTAATGCAGCTGGTGAATCAGGAGTGAGAGCATAAGATCCAGTGGATGGAGAATTGTTACTGTGGGCATTACAAAATTTCATTTTCTTTAAAAATATGTATTTCACTTTGACTGACAAATCCTAATTTAAATTTGAGGGTGATTCTGTGTGTTCAGTGACTTCAGTTTGAATTGAAAATTCTTATCAGCTCTTATGAATATGGTTGGAAGAGGGAAAACTGCGTTCATAAATGCACCAGCACTGTGCTTTATGTTGTGTTAAATCTTAACAGATCCTTCCTTTTTTATTGCACAGGATGTGCTGAAAGAGTTGTATGTAATTTATAGATTAACACACAATTGGAATCACTGCATTTATTAGTAATTTGGTGTATAAACAGATGCAGTAATTATTAACTTGTTTGTTTTGCACTGGAGCAGCTCAGTAGACTGAGGTGGCCAGGTATGAAAAAGCCTTTGCTGCTTGTCACACATGACCCAAACTGGGCTGCTGCACAGTAAGTTCTTCAGATGGGAAGACTGCAGATAAGATAATCTGGATACAGATACAGGAGATATTCCTGCCTGAAGTCACTACTGATGATGCTGAAATCTCATTGCAGAGGTCATTGTAGGTACATCTCTATTATTTACAGTAGGTCAGAGAATCATAGAATCATTTGGTTTGGAAAAGAGCCCTGAAATCGAGTCCAGCTGTTAACTTAGTACAGCATTGTCAAACTCTTTCTACCTTGCAGCATTGCTTAAAGCAGCTGCACTTTCACCCAGGAAATCTTTCCCTACTGTGATCATGGGCTACTTCTTTAATAGTGCAATGAAAGCTGCTGGGCAGTAGGCAATTATAGTAATTTTTAGTACATGTATTGAACTCTGTCTGACTGTATATTTGAAGGAATCACAGCATTATCTGAATCAGGTATGTGTCCTCATTTCAAAATGAGAACCTTTACTGGTGTGCCATATAGTATCTTGAAAAGAGGTCCAGGACTTCAATATTGTCTTCTGTCCATCTATCCTCCTTGAGTATTTAACTTTTTTCTGCAAAGCTGTTATTATCTTTTCCAGACTTAATGTCTTCTTGACAGCTGCAAATAATGAAAAGCACCAATAATTTTAGATTAGCTCTTGCAACTTCACATGCAATAAACCTGCTGCTAGCCTGCACTGATCAAGACTTTCAGAAGTATTTAAGTACATGAAGATGGTGATTCACATGGTTTTGAGAAGCCTCAGTGGTTTTCTTTGTGGTTTGGGAATCAATAGTTCAATGAAAGGAAAGCACAACTAAAGATACAATCTTGGTTTCTAAACAAGACTTTATGTTTGGTTTAGGACATTCAGGAAAGGTTATTCAGCTGGGAGTTTATGGTGAAAATGATTGATTCACTGAAGTCCTCTATACCAGAAGAGTGTAAGGGCAGATTAAATACTGTGTCAAACATTCTGGACCACTTAACTGTGAAGAACAATCTTTCAGTCCGACAAAAGGAAGAGCTTCTAACAGACCTGCACAAGGCCTTCTGGGAACAGCTGGCACATTACAGTAATGGTGGGTACCTAGACTGGAGCTCATGACTTACATGAATTCTCATTGTTTTAAAGGGTAAAAAAAATGACAGCTTCAGCTATATATACCTCTCTGTTTTAAAAAGACACCAATGAATTGACCAGGATCATTTTTATTCTGGAGGGTGAATGTTTGGAATGGGAACTTTGACTTCAGGCCTTTTATGTCTTGTTCCAGGTATTACTAAGTACTTACTCCATAGTTTACATAATCTAATTCCATTAATTTGTGATATTTCTCCATTTACTATTCACATCCTTGGCATTGCTGGTCATACTGGATGACATAAGACACTGTCTTTGGATTCCTTGGTAGCATGTAAAGCCAGAAGCAGTTGTGCTATATACAAAACAGTTGTGCTATCACTTTTCTGAAAAGATAGTGTTAAAGCTTAAGATGTTCCTATAAATCTCTCTTTTCTTATCAGACTAAAATACTTCCAAAATGAAGTATTTCCTCTTCCTTTCACACCTCTTCATATTGCCTATCTGAAAAATATACAGTCATATTAAAGTCTCAGCTGACTGACCCACTGATTTAAGGTTCTCCCTGTGTCATTTTGTATGTTACCTAATGCCCAGTGTTGAAAAACATAGCCCTATCTTCTCTGATAGGTGCTGTTTCAGGGCTCAGTGCCTCCCATCAGCACTCACAGCAAATAATGGTAAACATTTAGTCAGAAGGAAAATAATGCAAACCACTTCAACACAATTTCCAGAACCATTTCTGCTATTTTTGAACACATTTAAAGAAAATTGTCATAGCAAAATGGCATTAGGTTTAGAGTTCAGTGAACTGAATAGTCAGAATGAGTGCAGTCTTGTTGCAGTACATTCTTGCTGCAGTGCTGTTCACTCACTTTGGGCCCAGTGGTGATAATTTGTGCCTTCTCTCGTGGTTATAAATTCACAGAATCCCAAAATGGTTAAGGTTGAAAGAACTTCTGGGGGTTGTATGGTCCACCCTGTCTGCTTAAGCAGGTTGATCTGCTGTTGGTTGCCCAGGATCATGTTCAGACAGTTTCTCTCTCCAAGAATGGAGACTCCACCTGGGCCACTTGTCCCAGTGCTCAGTCATCCTCATGGTAAAAGGAACCTCCTGAGTTTCAGTTTCTGGCAGCTGTCTCTGGTCCTTTTGTTGGGCACAACAGAAAAGAATGGCTCTGTCTTCTTTGTACCCACTCTCCAGGTGGTTTCTATACTCAGGTTTATATACTTAATATGCTGAGATCCCTCCCTGAGCCTTCTCTTCTCCAGACTGAGCAGCCCCAGCTCTCTGAGCTTTGTCTCACAGGGGACATGCTCCAGTCCATTCACCCTTGCGGCTCTTTGTTGAATTCTCTTCAGGATCTCCATGTCTCCCTTGTACTTGGCTGTGGAGCACAGAACTGGACACAGCACTCCAGGTGTGGCCTATCTAGAGCTGAATGGAGGGAAAGGATCCCCTCCCTTTACCTGCTGGCTTGTGTTCAACCTGGTGTCCACCAGAACCCCAGGTCCTTTCCTGCCAAGCTGCTCTCCAGCTGGCAGTCCCCATCATGTAGTTGTGCCTGGGGTTGTTCCTCCCCAAGGGCAGCACTTTGCATTTCCCATTGTTAAACTGCAGGAGATTTGCATCTGCCCAAATTCTCCAGCTTGTCAAGTGCCCTGTGGATGGAGGTACAAGCATGTGTGGTGTATCAGCCACTCCTCCCATTTTTTGTGACCTCTGCAGACTTGATAAATTTGCACTCTGCTCCATCATCCAGGTTATTAATGAAGCTACTGAGCAGAATTGCACTCAGTATTGAGCCCTGTAAGTGCTGACTTCCAGGTGGACTTCGAGCAAGTTTTCAGTCCATCTTCGTGCTTATCCATCCTCTTCTATGTGAGGATCTGTCAGGAGACTGCATTGAAAACCTGCCTGAATTCAGGATAGCCAATATCCACCACTCTCCTGTCATCTGCTGAGCCAATTATTTGATCACAGAAAGTGCTGCAGACTTGATCCTCTTTCAGAGCATCTAGCTGTGTGAACAGTTTGCTGGTATTCACAAATACATGCATATTGTGATATATTTTTTCTTTCATGGATATTTGTTTCTAAAACTGTCTGTGCTTAGTTCATAGTTTTCACATAGGTTCAGCCACTAACATTCTTTAAGCATACATGGTTGTCTCTGGATGATTTTTTTCCTTCTTTTTGTCAATTTTCACTTTTTCCTAAGCAAAAATACCTCTGTCAAGGTCTTTATTTTATACAAAGTAGGTTTTTATAGTTATATATAGCTACATATTACAGCTGGTACGTCCTGTGCAGAAGAACATTATCAACCTCCTGGTTTTAGATAGAAATGAAATGTGCTTTAAAAAAAATTATCTGGAGTGCAGCATTTATTCCAATAGAGCCTTATGTTGACCTTTCTTATGAGCTTCTAAATACAAAAGTTAAACTGTACCTATAATTCACAGAGTACAAAGCCAGCAAGACTGTGCTTCTAGGTTACAAAATAAGGAAGTATTAAAGAATCAATAGTGTTTAAAAGTAAAACACTGCTACATTTATTTAAGTGATATTTTCATTACAGGCTTTTGGTGCACCTTCAAGTGTTCTGTCAGTGCATCATCAGCCTGTGGATAAACACAATAAATTAGCATGGAGAATAAATAGTATTCCTGGTGCTGCAGTACTGTGCTCCTTGTGTTTCTGTACAAAATAATTTCTTGTAGTTAAAGCAGCTTGGTGTAGTGGCAGCACAGCAGCCCCAAGTAACTGTTCATTTGCATCCCCCTTTAGCTGCTTGTGTCAGGAGTGAAATACTGCTCTGGGGCAGGGTAACTGGGGGAAATTAGTAAAATTTTCCTTAGGTGGGCGGGCAATGAGACATGAAGTGGCAGAACATTTAAAGCAGTGATTGCACTCAGCAACCCAAGATGCAAATAGCCTTGTTAATTTATGTATCACTTGGAGCTACAGGGGGAATGAAGTGGGGAGGAATTTGGTCCCAAATAGTTCCTATTAGTAGCACGAAATTGGAGGGACCTTGATAACTTTTACTGCAGGTTCTTGGATGAGTCACTTTAGAAGTCTGGTGTGTATGGGCTGCATGCCAGTTCAAACTAATCTGAACTAGCACTGCTTTAGACCTTTTCTCCCCACCATATGTTACTGCCCCTGTCCTTGCAGCAGCATTTGCATATCTTCAATTAGGTAATGAGACACTTACTGACCTTCCTGAAGCGGGAGGGGGAGGTTTGGGGTGCTGCATGAGGCAATCTCTTTCTTGGACTAACACATTGCATTTGCATAAATAGCAGCATCAGTGAAAGGGAGGGTGCAGGATGGTAGCAGTCCAAAAACCTGATAGATTTAAGTGCCATGTAACAATGTAGAAGTTCACATCTGAAAAGGCCATCAGGGTAAGAAGCAAATTTCAAATCTTGCATGGTGATTACTTGCCTATTTCACTCACTAACAGATCTCCACGAGCTTATGTTGTGTGACAGCAGCAGATGTTGCTTTCTCCATGTGGAGTTGTGGTGCCTAATTGTTTGTGGTTGATGTTCCAGAGTGCATGCAGCAAAGTAAAGAGCTGATCTGGAAACGCCTGGAGTGCCGTGCCAAGAAGAAGGAAGAGTACAAACGCAGACAGGAAGCTGAACAAAGGAGTCTCCTTAGCAAAACTTTTTTTACTGAAGATGTTCATCATTTTCTCAAGGTGAACAAGTAAAAGCTTATTTTCCCTGTTCTATTAGTTTTTAAAGCCAAATGTATTGCAGATTTCTCCCAGTTCTGTAAAATTGGGAATTTTGTGTCCTTGTGAGAATCCTGTCTGGTAGGACAGGTGGACAGGGTCAGAGCCCCTGTTGCCATGGCTGTTCCTGCAGTGTTGGTGGTGTTGCTTTGGAAGAGAATGCCAATGGGGTTAATGCAAAATTATATGTTTGCTAGAAAACATCTTTTGCTTTGCTCTACTGTGTGTTTGCTTCAAGATAGGAAATACCTGGAGGAAAGTACCTAGCCTGCATTACAGAAGGAAACAGTCTGCACTGATCTAATTGCTTTTCTATGAGTGAGGCTCAAAATATTTACCAAATTTCAGGGAAGTAGAGGAAAAACTAATTATGATCTCTGGCAGGATGCCTTGGAGAAGGTTTGCAGTTGATAATTTAATATGGTATACAATGGCCACTGTAATGTTTTCATGCTCATATTTTCTATAGAGATTTGTTGTTATTGTTCCAAATGAATATACAAAATCAGAGTTCTTAGCTGTAAATGCTGAGAGCTGCAGAATTCAAGTAACTGCTGAGAATTGCAAACCCAGGTTATTAAGAATTAAAAAAAAAATCAATACTCAATTTTCATGAAAATAAATAATTTAAGGTGAAAGTGGTTACATCCAGCAGCATTAAACTTTTGATGAAATCTAATAACTTAGATAAAATTATTGTATGAGAAGACCCAGATTCCAACTGCAGCAATCTATCAGAATTTATTGGTCTTAACATTGCAATTTTGCACCATGGGGCCATATTCTTTAATTATATTGTATGACTTGGATAAAGCAGTTACTATTTCTGTATGCACTCCTGCCTGGCACCACCTCACTCCAAAACAAGTAGAGCACTTTTTACACCTTTGGCTTTTCATAAAACCAAACTTGAGACAAATAATTCTGTCACACATTTTTGTAGCCAGTGTGCACTTGTGAATGTATTTTCCTTTTAGACATCATTGGACACTCTTGGACATATCCAAGATTCATTGAACAAAGCTTAAAAATTTTGCTATAAGACCTCTTCCCTACAAAGGTAGAGACACACTGCTTTGTGCAAGAGATGCTCTGTTCTGTACACCTGATGGGCAGATCATTAGTCTAGAGTTTAACTAAGCATGCTCAGCAGCTTTCTATAGGCTGAGCAGGGAGGGGCAGCTTGCACTTCATGCTGCAGGACAGAACACAGCTAAGTTTTAGGATTCTGAAATGCCTATGTACAAATTAAGAAAGTCAGAAATGTAATTCTTTCTGCTACACAGTGGGAGAGTCTTTTGTCCCAGAACAGATGGGGGGGGGGCTTAAGTGCAGAAACTCTTCAAAGAACAAGAAAAATTTGTACCTGCAGCTCCCATGATTTGACTTAAATAGTTAAAAATAACTTAAATAATCCAGTAATTATTTTGTGAGAACAATCCACTTGGCTCTGAGGAGCTATTTTAAGTTTGTTTCATAATTTCACAGCCATCCCAACAGTAAAGGAACTGGTTGCAAAGCCTCACCACAGAGCTGTACCCATCAAAAACACTTCTTTCTTCTCCCCCTTCACCTCACCAAGGGCTCACACCACCATGGTAGCAGCCTTGCCAGTAACTGACCTTTCTGCTAAATTTTAAGTGGTTGCCAATTATGATGGTGGATCTTGCAATAAATTTCATTCACATCAGATTGCTCTGAACACAAGTAGGATGGTAACAACTGAGTTGCTACAAATCTGATTTTTTTATGACAGAATGAGATATATAGTAAAGGTTAGAGTTCCTATATAATTCTTTCTCCTTCATCTATGTTTCTGTTGGAAAAGGAGGAGTTTAATTTTGTCTTTTACTGCAGAGAATACAGGAATGATCAATGAAGAACACAAACCATAAAGTTTCAGTTACAGTAATCCAGTCTGGCTCTGCCTACCCATGGTGGAAATACAAGTTATAGCAGTTAATTTGTCAACTTCTTTCATAAAGTGTGACTCCATGAAATGTGTGAACTTTCAAGTCTACCTCTACAAGAATGCTGAAGCATTTATGGGCACTTTGGTCCTCTTTAGAAGGGCTCTATTGACATACCTAATGAAAAAAGACATATTTACCATGGGAGTGATAGGGAGCACTTGGCAGATTAAATCAAAATATGGAATATTTATGTATAATGCTACTCATTAGTCTATAGATTGAGGCAGTCTTTGCCTGTGAAATATAATTTTCCATGAGCCTGCCAACACAGTCACCATCCTTACATGAAGAAAGAAATTGCATCTCTCTTAAAACTGTGACCAAGGACTAAGTCAGGACCACATCACAGATCAGCCTTTTAGGAACCACCATGGGACATGGTGACCAACCCCAGAGCAAAATCCCTGTACAGTGGGATACAGCTGCCACTCAGGTGTCTCAGGATGATGTCAGATGACTGTTCTGCACCTCGCAGTAATGGCTATGATGTAGTGATACTCATACACTGGAAAGCAGGTTTCAAGTCAGATCATTTCACATGTTTTGTAGTAGTATTTACATACTATTTAACCCCATATTGCTGAGGCTAAGAAATTTTATACTCAAGGCTGGAAAAGCTCAAATTAAGGTGGTAAGGCAAGTTCCATTTCCCTCTGAGTCATGGTTCCAGGTAAAAAATTACTGTAGTAGTGATATATGGGAAGAACATCAAGGAGGAAAAGGGAAGGATCACCAGAAACTATTAAGATCTTTTCAGCTATTTAAATACGCCTACTGTGTTTCTTTTTAGGCTTACCATGGGCTGCTGGAGAAGCACAGGCAAGCACTGTGGGATCTGGAGGAGGAGGATGACTGTGAGAGCAGAGAGGCTGTTGCTAATCTCTACAAGGTGCCACTTCTAATGATAAATGTCATTTTCTAAATTAATTTTGAAGATTACCTAACCCCACTAAAGGCCTTGGGGAAGACTGGGGAATTGCAGGAAGGATCACCTCCAGGAATTAGAGCTCCAGAAGGCTAGGCTGACAAAGCAGAAGATGGAGTCAGGACAGTCTTCCATATTAGCTTACCTTTTCCATTATCTTCCCAAAACACTGTTTCCTAACCTCTTGTTAGTCAGAAAATGCCTGCATGGTCTGCCAAAACATGCTGCCCAGGTGGCTGACAAGGCTGCAGTAGTGTTGAGAGCACACAATGTCATTACTACAGGAGGGAGATTTCATTTATGTGGCATAATTATCTCTTCTGCACTGTTACTGGATGATACTGTTCTAAGTGAACTTCACTACATTTCCAAACACAATCTTTTCATTCATTTCTCACAGAAATTTTTTTTTTAATTCTAGTTAGTTCCCTGAAATAGGTTCAGATCTTTGGTGTAAGTAATATTTTTACGCTTCTTTTTCTTACTGATTTGGAAAATTCTAGGTGCTTCATGCTTTTGCATCATCTTTAATTATTTTCTGTTTATGCAGAAAAGATATGATAATATGATCTGTGTGGTGAAGCCCAAAACATAGTCAATAGTGACCTTTAATTAGGCTGGAACTAATCACTTTCAGCTCAACAGGATCCTTGTCATGATTAATTATGACTAGATCAGGATATTGTGGAAACTTGTGGTCCCTATCACATACAGCTAATGTAACCATGCAATCTTAATTAGCAGTAGTCCACCTGCACTTTTTCAAATTCATTTGATGAAAAAATAAAGCCAGTGAATCAGAGGAGATAAATGCACAAAGCTGTGTAATATAAGAAAAATCAACATTTCTGCTGATATTACTGTGCTCAGTTCATGATTCATAGTTACTAATTTCTCCATCCCCTTCCTCAATTCATGTGAAGTCTGGAGACTAAACAATTTTTTTGTTTTTGTTTTATGTTACACAGTTCCTCCTCATTTGTGAAATTATATTGCTTTCCTTTATTGTGTACTCTACTTTAGTTACACTAAGACAGGACTGAAAATCCTATTTCTTTCAGTACTTAGCTAAGTTTTCTTTCCCACTAAAGAAAAACAGGTTTGGATAAATTAAGTTTTTCTGGAATTGCCATGTTGCCAGGAGAACTGCACAGACTTGAACTCTGCCAGTTCACCGAGCTCTAGGCCATTATATTCCATATTACAGCTGTTCTCCTATGACTGGACCCAAACACTGCCAGACATGAAAAACTGCAGATACTGTGATCCAACTGGCATCTGTTAAATGAGCATCCATAAATCTTTATTTCCACTTTCTTTTTTTTGCAATAAAACATTTTTACTGTGATATTTCATATAATGAGCAACTACACTTTCTCCCCTTAACCCCAAATACAGATCCTATGAACTGTTTTAAGAGAGGAGGCTGCTTTTGAATGTACCTAATAAGCTAGGAAGAAGAGATAATACAAATGAGAATAACCCCACTGAAGGTAAATGGGGCTGTTCTGACTTCTGCAGCTGAGGACAGTGCAGTGGTTGCATGTTTTCCATAACCAGGGGCATAAAAGCAAAAATGGACTTGCTGTTTTAGGAAGTGCAGCATGTACAAGCACAAGTCTTTCCCTGGGCAGCAGAACTTTGCGTCTTCACTCACTTGCTCCAGGTTTGTTATAGGAAGAAGCTGCTGCTGCTGTTGGGAGAGGCAAGGCAGCGATGGGAAGATGACAGGGATTTGGGATCCTCCCCAGTGCAGTTGTGTGGCTGCAGCTCAAGCAGAGTTAAACAAGCAGGCATTAACTAATTCTCATTGCTTGGGTACTAGCCAGCCTCACATGGCAGCAGTCAGTTTTGGATGCACACCTATATCCCCACTGGGTTTGTACCATAGTCCTGTGTAGAACCAGCTAGTTTGGGCTCTTATGTAAACACTGCAAAGCCTGATGTTGCCTTTCCAAAAGATCTGCACTCCCTGAAGCTTAACTGACAGTCTTTTGCCTTGCAAATGGAGAAGCTGAAACATGATCTCAATGAAAAAGGTGATGTTAAAATATAAGAAAGAGGTCACCATGTGGCTGGGGAGCCAGTGAATATTCTCAGGACAGAAGAAAAGTTGTTACTAACCTCTAAGTGCCACTCCCTTGTGGAAGATCCTTAGCTTGTTCTCACAGTGCTCTTCTAAGCCCTTATCAAATTTCTATGCCTTTTCCATTTTTTCATTTTTCGCTCTTTAAACAGATCAAGATAGATTTATATAACCCCCTAGCACCAGAGAAGTCTGTACTGCTACAGTACATGGAAGAATTATCCAAATTGGTGAATAAATATGTAAAAATTCAATGATCTGGAAGCTGAGTGTGTTTGCATAGAATAATTGAGTAGGTTTGTTTTGTGTACGCATGAATAAATCAATTAAAATTATTTAACCAAGGTAAATGGAATCTGTTGATGCCTGAGTGAATGATGAGTTATAGTTGGAGGATAGTGTAGGACTTTTCAGCCACCCTAGTGGATTAAAAGAGTGTGCTGTAGGTGAATAGTCAGTGTTGAGACACAGGCTCCATAACTAGTTTTTGAAAAGTGTGTTGAAGAATGAGGGCAAATGATTTTGATTATCACAGTATATTATAACTGAAGGAAAAATTGTGCAAAGATAATTGAATGGATCAGCTTAATATTTTCATGAACAGGGTCTGCACAATTATCCTGTATACAAGAGAATTTGTGCTGTTTTAACCATAATTTTCTATTACATGGCAGCAATAACACACCACCCACCCCACTCCCTGCCCCTCTATGTCAAACCTGTCTCAAGTTCAACATATCAAATAATCACCAACATTTAATATTTTCCCTCTTTTTTTCTTTTTGTTGTTGTTGTGTGAACGACCTGTGTATTTCAGTAGGGAAAAGAGAAGTGAAGAGGTTGGGGGATAACACTGCTATTAAGAAAATAGACATGCAGATTGCACAAAGGAAATCAATTAGCAGCTAGTAATGTACTAGTAATTAACCATTACATAGTACATGGTAAGATAGGTCTTTTTCTTCTGCCTTAATTTCAAAACCTTAAAAGCACTATTTATTGTTATTTATAATTACCCTTTGCTGACAGCCATTCACCAGAATGTTACTTAATTTGGCTTGGGAATAAAATGCACAAAAATTTAGACTAAAAGCTATTGAGTCATGAGTGTTATCAATGAGCAAGGCAGTAGATATTTTTTGAATGAGTAGACATAAATGTGAGTTTGAGGAAAAGGGTTTGGTTTTGTCTGTTGTTAATAAAAGGGAGAAAAAATATTTTTGACAAGATAAAAAGCAGAGATTCTCAGAGACTTACTTTCAATAGTTTCCTTATGTAATTTTGTTAATATGAGATGTGGTTGGGGATGCTGGACTGCATTTTTGGGTACCAAGAGCTGGCATCTTTTTAGAGGGAATCAGTTTGTCTCAGGTGGAAATCCCTATCAAGAGACCTCCACCTCAAAAGCTCACTTTTGAAATTTTTGCCCTGTAACTTACCCCAAAAATACAGCATCATCTGATGGACTAAATCTGTGAGCTCATACCATGGGAGCCCATTCTGATTCTGGGTTTGGGCACTATTAGTTTTGCTTTGGTTGCTTCAGTCAAAGCTGATACAAGACATCTGATAGGGGTGGCCTTCATTCTGAAGTCTTCCTCTTGCCTTACTGCATAAGAAAATGGATTTTACCACTATACAGATTCACAATTGGCTAATAGTTAGATCTCATGAGGGACATAACCTTACCCACAAAGGCACATTTCTAAAAATGGAGTACCAAAAGAGAAGATTGAAACTGCCTCCTGAATAAATCAAAGACCAGTGAGGGGGCAAGACTGAAATTTCAGTAGACCTCCATTTTAAATGTGTGGAAATCAAGCTGTGGATCTTTTTTATTAACTTGTGCTAAGGATGACTTCAATGTCACTGTGCTTTTTTGATGTTAGGATGCTTAAAAACAGGTAGGGTTTTCATTTTCCAATTTTGACTTTCCAGAATTCTTCACATGGAAAAGAGAAGTACATGCATCAGCTTTTCCCTGTTTTGAGTGGTGTATCTTCTGAGACTGTTCTGTATCTCAGCATCTTCTGAGTGGATGTGAAGTATCTTCTAGTGGCCAGTGGTGTGTGTGTCCAGTGTCCCAGAATTTTTGATGTATTTATGGGATGTATGATCCGAGTAACAAATCTCTGTCCTTTGAAGACACAATATAGTTTGGGAGATGAATCTTTTACCTCCTAACCAAGTGTCCTAGCCCCTGAGCTTCTGGGGCCACATGCAGCAGTGTTCCACAGCTTCGATCAGATGCTTAATTCTTTCAAGAAAATGTTCTATCACAAGTTAACAAGTAGTTGTGCAGTTGCCTCTTTGAGATAATAGATACTTTTCAATGGCTGGCATGTAAAAGAAACTACAACCAGCCTCTCTAAATACATTTTCCTGCTTCACAATTTCACTATTCACTCATCAATATGTAGGAACCTTTTAATCTTTTAGGTTTAAGGGGGAGAATTAATATTGTTCTTTGAGTGAAATCTGATAAGCTATTTATTTCCCCTGTTTTTTGAAAAAATTATATATTTACTGCCTTGTTTAAAATTCAGATGCACTCAGCATTTTAATCTAAGCCCATTTTATTTCCATGTGTACCCCATGGTATTTCTTTATGCTTGATGTATTTCTCTGGGGATTTTTTGAAAAGCTTTGAGATTGACTGCCAGGTACTACAAACAGGTTCATTCAATACTGCAATCAGCTATTCTATTAATAGAATCAATTTGAATAAATTTCATCAAGTCAAAGCTCTAAAAACAAGAGATGGCATATCAGGAAGCTTGTAAAAATATTTGTAGAGGCTCTAGTCCAAAAATAAGATCCTGGAAGCAGTACTGATTTTCCTTTTCTTTCCTGTGGAAATAACTTTTACAATACATAGTGTGCCATCCCTGCTCACAGACAGACTTTATTGCAGTTTGAAATCAAGTATATTCCTTAGAGTACAAACAGTTTTGAACTATTTTGTTAGCTTGAGTCACTGGGTAGAGTTCAATCACATCTGCAATCTTTCCTAAATGTAGACTTAGTATTTCCCCTCCCAGATTTTTAAAGGCCATTTTGCCACATTTTTTAAGTGCTGCATTAAACAGCATGGCCACTGTGTTGTCCCTGTGGTGTGGCCTCTGGGTGCAGAGTGCTGTCTTCTTAGGTCTGGAATGCAAGGGCTGCCTGGACTCTGATGTCCATGTGATTGTCACATTAATGAGGTGATATAGATAAGTAATTCTGTTGGAACATGACCTAACCACATTTTTCTTCAGTCCCTGTCCCCACTGTGGTAGTGCCAAAGGTGAGCCTACAGTATAATTTGAAGGTGCAAGGGGTACAGGCAGAACAAAATGTCATCGACAACAAGGAATAAAATACCATATTTTTGTTCTGTGCAAAATATTTCATAGCAAATAATAACACAGAGCTGTGAGCGTGCCAGGGAAATGCTATCAGTTCCTCAGCAAAATAGGTTTAAAAGGGATTTAGCTGCCATTGTTTGAGAATAGAATTCCTTAACATCCTGCCTGAGATCTTTTGATCGACTGCTGTAGAAATGCCACAGACTCCTCTAGACTCCTTCTGAACTGTTTCAGACCCAATAGAAATTCTTATATCACTGAACACTCAGTAAAGGCAGGAGAATTAATATGTCCTGAAAGGCTGGTAAAGCTCAGAGGAGAGATTACAAAGATAGAGCCATTATTCTTTAACTGTTGTATGGGATATTTAGATTAGAAGTGCAGTATCTTTGAGTTTATGTTAAACCTGAGAACTTGGAGTCTTGGATTTTAAAATAACAGCAGAAGAGAGAATTCAAGCAAATAATTTGGCATTGCTTTTGGCAAATTAAGCCAGGCCTACAACTACACGGATTATTAAGATGGTATAAATCATGCCTCTTTTTGTAATAGGAACTTGTAATATAATAATTAGGAGTAGGGGCAATAATCCTTCAGCACAGGATACACCTGTGTAGCAAATGCTCCCCTAATGATATGGTCATGTCTAGATTGTGAGCAATCACTAGAAATGGGAAAAGTATTATCAGAAGTTACATATTATGTTGGGTCTTTGACTAGTAATTCTCGTACTTACATCCAGCAATCATTTTCAAAAAGCTGTAGTCCAATTTGCAAGAATTTAGAATACTTTGAGATTAAAGAAAGCCAGTGGGAGCTGGATTCTGAAAATCCTGCCTTCTTTAAACAGGTAAGAGAGTGGAAAGAGCTGAGACAGCTCATTTCAAAGGTGCAGTGAACATGTTTTTTAGCATTGTGCCTCAGTTTTATCCATAAGAAGAGGTTACTGCAGGGAGCTGTTAAGCTATTTATTGTTTGTGAAACAGCTAATTAATATGGTGATTAGCATCCTAGAGGGATCATAGGAGGAAAATAATTATTTAGTACTCAGTGCACAGCTTGTATATTTTACAATAAATTAGAAATATTAAAATATTTTTCAGAAATCAATCAGTTCAAAGGATATTTATAAAGCTAAACATGGAACAGATAAAGGTGCTGTGAAAACATTACATGAACCCCAAATGTACCATTATGGGGCCACAGAACTATATTTTATATTCAACCTAAGTTCTGGTCTTTATTTCTTGAGTTCTTGTCCTTGCACTTTTTTATTATTATTTTTTAGTATTTTGTATTTTATAATTCAATATCTAGCAGTTGGAATGGGCTCTTACACAATAGTACATTATAGCAGTATATGCCCTCCCCCGAAAAAAATTCCACTAGAACTTCTGTTGTCTGTGAGCTGCAGACAAGCATATTTCACATCTAGGTAAATGTCCCTATGTTTCTGTTGAGAGGTTCTGTATTTTGATCATCTAAGAAACTGTAATTCAACCTGTATTTAAAAGAGGGCAGCATCTAGAAGACCTGACTTGTTCTTTTAACAGGCAGCCTTCAGAGAGTTTTAAAAACATGGTCAGTATTTTAAAGAAAAGAAAGAAAGATCTGTGTTTCCAAGAGGGTTAACACTGGTTTGCAATGAAAGCAAGCCCAGCTAGGCAGTAAGGCTTCTTGGAGTGGTAAGATCAGGAGTTCACAGAGAAATAGCTCATCATCCTGCAGGAATACTGCAGTGCCTGTGTGACTTTCCAGTGTGGTTTTGTTCCCTTTTCAGCTGGGAAAGCTACCTGTCCCCACTCCTGCCCAGAAATGATCTCAAATGGCATCCAGTTTGCCAGCACAGCTCCTGTCACCACTGTGCATTTGACAGTGAAACTAGAGCTGAGTTTTTAGCTTGGATGCCATCTGACTAAATCACCTCAACACTTCTTGTGAGTGAAACAGTCTCAGCAACTTAAAACTATTCATGTGGGACTGGTTTCATTAAAACCACCAGAAGATGTTTGTTTTCCTAGGCTTGAAACTATTCTGCATCAGGATGAATTTGACTAATTCTATTCTTCAAGCATTAAAGAGTGTCATACATTGAAGTACCAACTACTGACATGGCTAATGTCACTTTTGTCTAGCTAAATCCATACCATCCTTTTTAACTCTTCCCTCTTTCTTCATTCATTTCGTATCAGCACCTGAGAAAATGTGCGTACGAGGTGTTGTGCTACACCAGATTGTTTCCACAGCCACTTTCAAAATAGGCATTTTTATAACACATCTCCATAGTAAAACAAGATATTGTTTTCTGCTGCAGTCACATGTAAGCAGCAGTTAGGGCACAGGGACTCATGTGGTCTTGCCACTGTTGCATTTTAAATGCCTTGTGTAGCTTGAACCAAAACATTTTGTTGTTCCATTTACAAAATCTGGTCCTTTTAACTCAAGCCTTAGTGGCATTGGATTTTAGCTCTAGGATTTGGGCACCAGACCAGTGTATTCACATGGTTCCCTCACCGGCATCAATTGTGGAACATGCAGGGGAACAGCTCCAAAGGGCTGAGGGTTCACTTTGTCACCTGTTTCTCTCTGTCCTCTCTGTGCCTCTCTTAGGAGCTGTACTCTAAGGCTTCCCATGCTTTAACAGAGTTGGTGACAGAGCTATTTCTTCAGACCCTTCCTGTGGTGACCAGCCTCTCTGTAAAAGAATGTGAGCTTCTGAAGGAGGAATGGCAGGAGAATTTGGTCCCTCAGCTGGAGAAATGGGAGAATCACCGCCAGAGACACTGGAAGCTTTTCCAGGAGCAGCTACTGCAAGAAAAAGAAGTAAGATCCATGTTATGCTTTGAGATCTCAGTGTCTTAAAAATGGGATACAGGAAAAAATGATCAAGATACTTATCTGTGGAAGTGTTTAGTGTATAATTATATAGCCTGGTCCAGACACAACTCTAGGCTGAGGAGGAGCAGTCTTATCTGTAGCATGGAGTGAATATGTATGCTGTGCATGTAGGCTTGCATAGAGGAGTCAGAGAGTAATTACTGAACATCTGTCCACAGTGTTTGACAGCTTTGTCAGCACATAAACACTTTCTGGCAAGGCTGCTCTCTGATGTCCTCAGCTCTTGGCATCTACAGAAACACTTCAAAAAAAGCTTCACCGGGTCTGTTTGGAGAGGGTACATATAAATACAGTTTACAGGCAAGAAAGCCTTGCAATGATAAAGATTTCTTACTTATTTTTAAGTATTAATACTGTAATAACTGGAAACATATGATATGTCCTTTTATAAACTTACTCTCTCTGCAAAGGTGGAAAAACACACATTCAGCTTTCCTGCTCTGTGTGTGTGCCCACATAGGGGGCATTGACACCAGAGGAGAAAACAAGAGTAGGGTGAGACAGATGTCTTTAGCATCAGACTGGGGCTCAAATATGCCTTCAGGTTATTCATGCAGTCCTGTGTCACTGTTAACACTGCTTCTAACACAGCTTAGTCAAAGAAAGACCTCCTCTATTCAAAAGTGTGTCCTTTCCTAAATGTTAAGTGTGTGCTGCAATGTACAGAGTAATTGGATGTTCTTAAATAAAATGTTGGCAGTTTTCTTTAATACTGGCAGAATCACACTTTCCCTTGCCCTCATTCTGCAGTGTCTAGACAATCCAGTACATTGTTAATGAGGTACTGAGCAAGGCCCTAATTATTGCAAACTGCATTAAGGTGTTCAACTTTTTCACCCACTCACATTTAGGATTCTGCTGTAAAACACTGTGATTCAGGAAACTGTGGGCTCCCTACTAAATCTGGTAGGGTTGTTTGCTAACCAGTGGGTTTAGAACACCCTTGGTGATACAAAAGTAAAATTTTTCATTGAAAACATTGAGACATTTTCTTTTTTTCTTTTACATTTTCCTTAATCTGGAGTTATGCAACATGCACCTTGCTAATCTTTTTATTTTTCCATTATTGTAACTGACCTGTTTTGACACCTGTATTGGTGTCACAGGGCTATATAACAAACTAAACTGAATGGTGCTTGGGACCAACCACTGATGCTAGCACTGGGTCTGCTCACATGCTCAGTTAAATTTGTATTTTCCAGGACTGTTGGTTGGCATTTACTGTTTATTTTGGCATACCTGTACCTTCGGTGATTAATGAAACAATGCCTGACCTCAATTTTTTAAAAAATTATTTTGCTCCTTTTAATCAAGGATTAGATTAGAATACCTGACTTGTCAAGTTTGAACCTTGCTGTTGATTTTCACATTCATCCAGGGTGCACAAATTGCCTGTCCTTGTATGTGCATGGCTTGGGCAGCTTGGCCTGGTAGGTGAACCACAAGCACATCTTGTAGCACACAGAGCCCTCAGCAATGTGGTGGATTCACTGTCACAGAAAAACACAGAGAAGCAGGAGGTTTGGTGTGCAACTTGTGAATAAATACCATGTCAGAAAGCACATTAGGGCACCTCTGCTGTGTGCCTTCCACTGTCCCATTGAACCTCAGCCATGGTTCAGGGCTGGAGGGGATGTGTTTAACAAACAAGAGACTTCCCACAGAGGGGAGACATCTCAAGTCTGATGTTTTGGTCCAAAAATGCTGTTTGTACATTCCTCTGTTGCTATCATTGGGCACACTGTTGAGTGGAAAAACCATACCCTGGGAATTGTTCTCAAAGGATTTAAAGGATTAGTTCATCTCCAGCGCTCAGCTGCTAGATAATAGGTCTCTGGGCAGCACTGTGTGGTGGATTCATTGTATGTGAATTCAGGTGTTCTGGTCATGCTCAAGCACAGCTTGTTTAAATTATTAAATTGAATTTCCCTCACTTTGTGTACCCTAGCATGCATAATGTAAAAGAGATGACTTCCTAGCTGGGAAAAAAATTAAAATAAAATAATAAAGGGTTTGCTGACATCATCAACAGTAATTACTGAGATATAGAGCTATAGAGGAATTAACTTAGCAGTGACAGAGCTCTCCCATTGGTCTCTGAGTCATCAGCACTGCAGCTGGGCTTTATTCAATACAAAAATTCAATACAAAAAGTGACAGACAGAGCTGTCCTAAGGACAAGTGATTCTGCAGGATAAATTCCAAGAAGAGATAAGAGTTTCTTATAGTGAGGAATTCGTCTTAGGATTCCTCAAGACAATATTCTGTGCAGGAGCCTAAGTGCCTTTTTTAACTTCACGCTTGTGGCTTTTTGGAAGGGATTTGAACTGGAAAAAAATCTGCATTATCTCCAAAGAGAGCATGCAGGGAGATAACTATTCCACCAAAGCTAGGCTGGCAAATTTTCATGAGTCTGAAAAACATAATAATGCATTATATTGTGTTCAAATGAAATGTGCATTTCTTGTCCCTTTCCTACTATAAAACAGCAGCATGAACATTTTAACAATAAGCTGACATTTGCATCCTACAAAAAGGGACACTTGGTTTCTACCTTAAGAAGAGATATTGGACACTTGTGCCAGATGATTATGTCATTTGGGAGAGCCCATAGATGTTAGAGTTCTGGGTTTGACAAAAGATCCATAAATCCACAGTCATATTGTCAGGCCTTTTAAGTTTTCAGGCATTTTGCAGCAGGAGATATGTCTTTCATTTGCCCCTTGATAAATGTGCTGTGCTGGGAGTTACAGTTACCTGCTTTACAGGCCTGGGAAGTCTTAACACCAGAAAACTTTTCACTAGGGAATTTATGTGTGCTTTTCAAAGTGTCTCTAAAGGACATTTTTCCCTTTTACTCGAACCACTTTTTTTAAATGATCTTTCCTAGCATTTATACGTGTCTGGAATATGATGTCCTTTGGGTGAAAAGAAATACTTTTACAACTGATAAGAAAAAAATTCAGTTTCATATATAGCTTTGCCTTCTAGGCTTGAGGATATGAGTGAGGCAAATGGGAGTAAATGACTAGTGAAAATAAATTTTAAGCATTTTCCCACATAGTCCCTAATTCATGATTTCTGTAGAGAGCAGTTCCATGGAGCAGCCTCCTGCACCAGGCTGAGACTCACTTGGCAGTCAGTGTGCATCGCACCCCATCTACAGGCTGAGACAGGGAAATCACTTTCCTTTCCTTCCCTGAATAATCTGTTCTAAAGGTGTCAAAACAGAAAGGAGAGGCATATTCCTCACCTTTATTGCCAGAGAGTAATACTTAACTTCAGCAGTGCTTCAGAAGATCTTGTAATGCACTTATGACTGAGAAGCAAAATATTTGAAAGCCTACAGAATAAAAATGGGATGAGATTTCCATCCATTCCCACATCCTTGCTTGTTACCCAGAAAGTTGAACTGGCCCTTGATTACCAGTTTTGACAGGGTGGGCATTTTATCACTTTCTCTGGTTAATTTTTTCATAGTGACTGGAATAACACTTCAAGAAGCCAGACATTCCTTAGAGCTTTACTCTCTCATTTACCATGCTTTTGTCACTGGTTTTACTGGTTGAATACAGGGATCAGAGAGCCTGAGCCATGACTCTCCCTCCTTTCCTCTTGTTCTTTTACTAACATGACTGAGGTACTTTTATTGTTTAGTTTAATAACTGTGTACTGGAGGAATATCTGCTGTATTCTCAGTTTCCCACTGGTCTCAGGGAGGTGCAGAATAATTTGATAAATTCTGCATATGGACTACCTCAAATGCACTCTTAATGGAAAAGGTGACTCATTCTTTATAAGGAACTCCTCACTACTACAGAACTAGGTTGTTTCTCCATAAACAGAAATAAAGAACAACTGCAAGAAGCACTGGCATTTGTATCATTGACAGTGATAGGATATACTTTTAGATAGGATATACTGATAACAAACAAGCTGCTATATTTTGAGTTCTTAGCTGCAATATTATATCATTTACCATTCCAACTGCAATTCAAGTATCAATTCCTGAAGGCATTCTGTCTCTTGGTGATATATACCCTCATGCTGTTTCACTGGCCCTTCAAGAGCAACTTCTCAGTAAATAATCAGGTCTCCAGAAATGATGGAAATCCACAGCTGAACCACAGCCAGCCTCTCACTGGAAATAACATTACTTCTGGAAAGTAAAAGGTCATTTTCAGGCTTTCTTTGAACTGCTGAAAGAGACATTAAAGTACACAATTTGATGGATCTACAAGGTGTGTGCAGAGAGGTGTGAAACCCTAGGAGCTAAATCCACAGAGCTGCTAAAGGGAAATGCTGATAACAATTATTACTTCAAGCAAGTCTTTGCCATCTGTCATGATGATACCTGAAGACCTGATAGACCTTAATTTGATGCTTGCAGCATGCAGTCAGAGAAGACAGTGTGCTCAGCTGTGCTCTGTGATTATCAGACTCGCCTAGCCTCAGATCAGTTGAGATCTGGCTACACAGGTACATCTGAGGCTCTTGCCAAGAGCAGCCTGGTGGGTCTCCAGTGCCATGCAGTCTTTGGGGCTGTGCTTCTCATGCTCAGCTGCACTCTTCCCATCTGTCACTTGTTGTTGACTGCCTGCCCTCCCATCCTTGTCAGGCATCCTGCTCAGGAACATGTGTTTTGGTAAGGTTTTCTACATGAAGAGAGGTCAGTTAGCTGTGTCACTGTGTATTCCACAGGGAAGGCACTAGCCATGAAAGAAATACATTTTTATTTTGAAGCCAAAACAAAGTTTCTGATGTTCACTGCACTTCCCAGGGGAGTTCATTCTGTGCTCACAGAGAAAGCCTCTCTCAATGAAAAAACTCATATCCAGCAGAGATGCCCAATTAGCACTCCTAATTTCTAACACTAACAAAAAATTGTGCAATTATACATTTGTGCTGGCTTTAGCACCAGATGGAAACTAAACTGCAAATGAACCACTCCCCTTCCCCTGCCTGTTTCACTAAGGGAATGGCAAAAGCAGAGAGTATGGGTTGAGATAACACTTTACTGAAAGCACAAAGCCATGGAGTAAGAAATTCACAATAACAACAGCAATATTAATAGCAAAGGTGTACAAAAAGAGAAGGGGTTTTACCCAGCAAAAAGGAGTTCACTACTGGGAAAAAACAGATGGCAGATGCTCCCTATAGGTTGTGTCCACTTGGTTTCCCAGACAAAGGTGATATGGAGACCATTCCCACTCACTGCCTACATGGTCAGCAGGAACAAAGGCAGGATGGCAAGGGAACTCCCACGGCTAACATTTCCCACACCCCCCAGCCCGAAACAGTGGAAGCCAGTGACAAATAAATCCCCTGAGTCAGGCTGTGCTGCTGCTCTGCTGGGCTCACTTCTGCACAGGTGTCTGTGCTGCTGTTTCTCCTGCCTCACTGTGCTGGTCCTGCCAGGTCACTTCCACTTTTCCAACCATTCTGCCACCTCCTTTCTGCTCAGCTCAGCTCAGCTGGCCCAGCCTCAGCTCAGCTGTTGTCAGTTGGGCTCCTCTCAACTGGACTAGGGTTCAGTCCCACCAGTCTTTCCCCCGTGGCAGCGTCTGCACGGGCTCTGTCAGTTCAGCCCTGCTGTTTGCTGTTATACTGAATAGTACCTCTCAGAACTTCTAGGTAAAATGGTTGTTATATTTAGATGCAGAAAACACACAAAATATTATCAGGATCCACTGGCCTCTCTCTCTCTCTGTTAAAAAAAATTACAGAAATAGCTGTTCCTGATGTATAATTGTACAATTTGCTGATATTTTGTGTAATACTCAAGTATATATCAGTAGTTATGAGCACTGGTGCCGCTGTCCTTTCAGCACTAAGTGCTGGAGCTGCGTTCCAGAAAAAACAGGAGGGGGAGCAGGAGTGCAGTGGGGGCTGGATCTGCAGGGGCTGATGCTGACACCTTCCTTCTCTAGAGAGAGGCAAAATGGTGCCCACTTCTGAAGAGTGTGCTCATTTTCACCCCAAAACCACTCCCACGTGTATGATGTGGGTGGGATAGAATCAACTTGGATGTGCCCACACTGCACTGAGCTTCACCCCCTCCTGCAGCCAGGATAACATCTAATCCTTTGCTGGACATACTGATCTAGTGAAACCTGCCTGTCTGCCATAATTGAAAATTTAGTCTCTCGTGTTCTGAATGATGCTGGAACACAAAGTGAAATTGTCAGACATCCTGGGTATTGTATTTAATTTGGGTCTCTGAATACATCAGCAGGTAACCTACTTTTATTCATCTGTCAGTAGCATAAATTACACTCTTCATCTTACAGTAAGAGTTGGAGCCTTGCAAATATTTCAGTTTATGACTTAAATACTGGCAACATACTAAACTAAATCTTAACTCCATGTCTCCAAAAGTTTACAGTCTAATGACAAATTCATCAAAATTCATTTAAAGATTAAATTCTTCAATCTAAATATCACTGTGAAGGAGCTGTAAACTTGCAGTCCATATACTTGTCTAATCACTTAATCTCCATTTCCAATTATTAGCACTGTTTACTGTGACAGAAGTGTGATGGAAGATGATACCTGTATTTTTTTCAGTGAAAATAAAAACTATATTCTCTACTAGTGAAAAGAAAAAAATAAATAAAAAGCCTGCTGAAACCAGCTGGTGAGAGTCAATGCAGTATTTTGTGCTGTATTAGTATTTTTTTCTTGTTCCTCTGTAACTGAAACCAAAAAATCTGTAGAATTTTTGTGGAAACACAGTTCAGGGCTGATTCAAACCAGTACAAAGCTTTTATTTTCATTTTATTTGAGTTTTGTTTAGGATTTTGATAATTGGAAAAAAATAGTAGAATAATTTTAATCCAGAATGAGTTTGTTTTTGAAAGCAAAGGATGATTTTTCCAGCAAAATATTCAGTTGTTTCTTTATGTAGTGACTGCTGAAATCAGAGTGTCTTATATTTGTAATTCTTTTCTCTGCTTTTAGCTCTGGATAACAGAATATGCTCTGTCTGCTGTGATGCAAAAGCAGCTGTCTGAGAAACAAGAGAAGATAATTCAAGGTGTCGTGAGCAGGCTAGGATGCCTCAGTGATGAGTAAGCACAGTTGCATCCATGAGCAGTGGGGTAAAACTTCCCTGCTGCATGCCCAGATAAAAACTTGTGTACATCACATTGTGGAAAGCAGCGTTGAGAGATTATTAACACTTCAGACAGAGAGCCAATTGGTCTTGCTTTTTTGTCAGGGTATCAAAAGCAAATTTAAAAATGTAGACATATCAGGACTCCTAGAAATTAGAAAAGATAGTCTTATGTGATTTGTCACTGGTGTGCTTTGTGAGTATCTGCTGTGTTTGTGAGGGGTTTCTAGTCTTGAACCAGCCTCTCTCTGCACTCCCTGTGTCACACTGGAGTTGCATTTTCTGCAAGATAAAGTGTTCATTCCAGCAACATGTAGATGGCTATTTAGCTATTTTATTTCTGTTTTCATTTTAATTTAACTTCAGTGTGACAGAACTAGAAGTGTAACACCGTACCCATTTTCTACACCTGAGCAGCTTTCCAAGGCATGCTTTGTACAAAAAGACATTTCACAGAGTGAAGAATAACTCTTCCACCTTTAGGGAATGACTTTGCTGAACACAGGTGTGCAGGCAGCTTCACTGATGGATTTTTTAATGGTCCTTTTTACAGGTCTGTTAGCTACATCTTGCAAAAGCACCACCTTCTGCTGTGCTCGGTGCTGAGCAGGTTCAGCTTGCGGAGAGCTGGGCTGGCAGCCCTGGCGCGCATGCGGCTGGCCAGAAAGAAGAGCTCGCTCCAGGAGCTGAGAGAGCAGCACACCCTGCAGAAGGGATCCTCTCTGTGCCAAGATGAGGACCAGTGGCAGCTACAGAAGGCAGTGGTAGGTACAGTGTCCAGGTGGGTTATCTCCAGAGGTCTCACATGCTGTGATATTTGGCATTAGAAGTGGCCACTGCAGACCTAAACTACAAAAAAAAAAAACAACAAACCAACAACAAAAACGTTCAAGCTCCAATGAGAAAGAAAAATATTCTCTGTCAAAAATGTGCACGTTGCTGGTATAGGACATCCCTGAGTATGCCTGTTGTAGTTTGGGCAGACATTTTAATCCCTTGTACTTTATTGAGTGGCCTAGCAAATTTGTATAACAATCTTTTTATATGAAAATACTAATGCATGAAGGCAAGGATGCCAGCATGTATAAAGGACTTCTGCAAAGCTACTGCTTCAGGGTAAGAGAGCCTCCTACTAATTCTGCTGGGAATCATAATATGCACTTGAGAAGTTTTTACTGGAGCATTAGGAGAAATTCTTACTCCTACCACACAAATCAAGTTCTTCTATACTGTCATAATTTTTCATAATTTTTTTCTCTCTCTGTCCATAATAAGATCAGCATCCATTCCCAATCCTCCCAAATTGTCTGGCTACTGTAGGTCATGAAGGCAAAAGAAAGTTTAAGGGATTTTTAGACATGATGTTCCCATAGGTCACTTTTACATCTGTTTGTGACTGGTTTTTAGTGTTGATCTATTAAGTGTTGTTGGTTATTTAATTACATGCATTGGATATTTATGTAGAGCAATACCACATTTCATATTTCAGCTTCAGACAACCCTCCCAGCAGGTGTCAGTGATAGCTCTGCCCAGCCCACTGCTGCTGCACATATGGCTTGAACCCATCAAACACTTTGCAGCTCTGTGCTCCATGCTGTTGCTGTGTAATTAGCCGAGAGGTAAAATTCTGTGCCCCTCTAATTTTGATTTGCATCATACAAACCCTCAATCTCCACATGGAAGAGGAATAAGGAAAAACTGTGTCCTGCTGTTTTCATAATTGAAAAATATCAATTGAAGCAGTTTCTTTTAAGTTTGAAAATCTGAGAAACTCATTAACTTTCAGAAGAAATAAAATATAAAATAATAAAATACAAATGTATATCACTGCATTCCTCTTGTTTTCTGTTACTCCCTCTCACTTAGCTCACATGGAGATGTTAATTGATGCAATCACTGCCTTCCCTAATGAAAATGAAATGTCCTCAGTATTAGTGTTCCTATGGCATCTCTCCATTACAGCCTCTTTCAAATTCCAGCTAAAACCCATCTCACAAGGAAGTGCCTAAAAATAAACTTGCTAGATTCTTGCTGCTGAAAAAGTAGAGCATAGGAATTGGGAAAAGTCAAGAGAGAAAAAACATGTTACAAACATCCTGCAAAACAAGAACAAGGAGTTCAGGAAGAGGTTAATTTACAGACATTCAACCAGATTTTTAGGTATATTGTGTAGTTTTACCCAAACTTAAATTTTGCTTGGGCCAGCTTTATACTGGTGGACAATGTCATGTCTATCTATTGGTTTCATGTAGAATGTAAAATAACTAATGAATCCTAGCTTGGGCATAATCACAGGACATTGGGTCTCTAAAAAAATGAGAAACAGTTTTTAATGACATTCCAACTTTCTCAGAAACCTCAATAATATAAGCCTTAGCTCTAAATATAACATGTCAGAACATTAATAAGAGTATTAATAAGCATTAATAAGAATATTTCTGCAGATGAATGTTGCTTTTCTACTTGCATTTCTTATTTCCAAGAAGGCATCAAGTAGGTACTGTCACATCTTCCAGAATATTTTCAAGTTATTTAGCCTTAACTGAATGTATAAATACAAGAAAGACATCAGCAACAGAATATTAGGCCATCTATGGCAGAGTACTTCACTTAAGAATGACAGAACAGACCATGCTGGTAAGCAGATACTACTGTTCACTAAAGAGAGCTTAGATGAAAAGTGGGCACTTTTCATGCACAAAAATGGAGGCAAGGATGGTCCAAAGACCTCAAAGGACTTGAACTCTTCAGCCTAAAACATAGGTGGCTTCTGGAATATCATAGGTTTTAAAACTGGCATCAAATATGTGAATAGAGAACCATTTTTCATGTTTCTAATGAAAGAAGAGAGCACCTAGCAAAGTTACCAGATGGCAGGTTCCAAATGAAGAAATATGTGGAGAAGCTTTAGAACTCACCAGCAGAGGATGTTGTGCAAATGGTTTTCAAGTGTTATTACCCACCTTTGTGACCTGTCCCAAGGGCCATTGGTACTCCCAAGGGTATTGGTACTCCCAAATACCAGCAAACCAAGTTTTCCTCAGGTAGACCACGCAGGCTGTGCAAGCATTCCTGGTACATAACTGTCCTTGCCTTCCCCCTGTGCAGTTTGTCAAGGCATCCACAATTGTCCCTTACTGGACTCAGGATATATTTTCTGGAATATAACTCAGTGCCATATTTTCTGAAAAATCACTTTGCCCAGGATTTTTCTCTTGGGAAGCTGGGAAGCCTCAGAGAAAAATGAAAACAATATTATCTCCTTTGCTTCTCCTGTGTTTGCTGCTTTGTAATGTGCTTTGGAGATTATTTAGCCAACATGTGAATTGTTTTTACTTAATGACCAATCACCATCCACCTGTGTCAGACTCTGAGGAGTTAGTCACAAGTTTTTAATTAATATCTTGTTATGCCTTCTGTAAGATCCTTTCTCTATTCTTTAGTATGGTTTTAGTATAGCATCATATCATATCATATATCAATAAATTAGCCTTCTAAGAACATGAAGTCAGATTCTCACTTCCTCCTTCATCCTGGGAACCCAGCAAATACCACAGCTGTATGTATCATGACAGAGGCTATGGTTCTGTTGCAATGGCAGATGTGTTAAATGACTGTACAAATTTCCTCTGTAAATTATGTTATTATAATTACTAAAACTGTAACATTCTGAATGGGTTCAGGACTTTATTTCAAAGTGAAGCTGACTACAATTGTTAACATATTTAAATGGCAGTGCTCTCTTGTCTGATTACCAGGAGTCCCACATCCTTGAAGAGGAGGAGAAGCTTGAGGAAGAAACAGAAGAAATCAATTTAGAATTCCACCAGCAGCTAGTCACAGAAATCCAGGAAGCTCTTCAGTTTCTTCAGCAGCACATGGAGCAGGTGATTGGGCAGACTCTGCTGCAGTATGCCCGAGGGGAAGCTGAAAAAAAGAGTTCAGATCATGAACAGAACTTCAAGGTATGGAAATGGTCAATAGCAATTTTCCAAACAAAACAAGGGCTACCTTATACAGATGGAAAGCAATTTAATGTATGCATTAATCTATGCCTGGAAGTATCAGCAAAAGATCCTTAGGACCTGTGTTTAAAATTGAGCATAATTTGCAAAGTATTTGCAGGCTAGTCTATGTAGTAGTACAGTATTTGCTACAGCAGCCAAAACAGGTTTTAAGTCAAACACTGGAACAGGAAAAAAATGGTCATAGCTCTTGATGGCAGAGAATAACAAAAATAAGAAACAATATTGAGATTATTATTGATTGATAAAGAGTTTGTGACTAATTAATAGTTTGCATTCTACCAGCTTAATATTGATTCAAAGATAAATAAATAACATTAAAATTAAAATTTACATCATAGGTGAATAATTTTTTCCAAAGTAAATATTTGGATTTTCTTTGTAATGGAAGGTCACAGCAGAACTACACATAGATTTGCTTGCTTTGCTGGCAGTTGGCTTGACTGTTAAAATGGGCTGTAGAGATTGAGTAGATAGGGGAATGACCACTTCCCAGACGGAGATGAGGCAAATTAGGAAGGTTTTGCTGCAATTTTTCATGTTGAAATGTTGCATGGTTCTCAGTATCTCAGTCTGCCCCATTTTTAAAGTGACATTTTAAATTCACAATTTGTGTGCACATACCAAATTAGGTATGGGGTTTCTTTAAACAGTTCAAAACACTTTTGGGCTTGGAAATTAATTGTGACTTGTACTGTGTGATACAGGAGAGACTGGTGGAATCTGCTGTTGAAAGTGTATATGGGACCAGCAATAATATCAGCAGACTGGTGCAAAACTACTACCAGCAATTAGGAAAAATCACAGAAGAGTATGAAGGAAAAAAGCTTCAACATCTGAAATCCTTACAAGGTTCGTATGGTACTGACAACTTTGAGACAGTTTTGCTTCCCAGTAATTGTGCTTAGTGTAAGATTAGAGGATTTTGCTTCTTCTGACATCCCTTGGCCTAGTAAATCTGAATTTAGTCTGCCAGGCAGAGTCACAGGAGGAAAGGTGGGGAGTACCTCCCCTCTCACAGCCAGCCCAGCCCTGAGTACATTCAGTAACTGCTCCCTGGTGGTGCAGATGGAAGGAAAGGGGCCTCTCAGTGTCTCTCAGTGTTCAGAAAAGGTTGGACACTCCCCAGATAAAGGTTTTGTACCCTGATCTGTTACAAACCCATCCATCTCCCTCCTGTTTAATTTAAATAGTGTGGTGCAAGGTCTTGTCTGTCAGATGTGCCCAAGCCTTGCTGCCAGGCAGGAGTGCAGGGGCAGAGTCAGGAGCCTGGTCAGCAAATAAGCACTCAGTCACAGAGTGTGAGCATTTGCAAAAGTAACCAGAGTATTTTCCTGTCAGCTGGGAACATTTTGTGAAGCTGGGCATACCCGGGAATGTCACATCTGAGTGGAGGGTTTTCTTTATAATGCATTTTTTGTTTAGGTAATACAGTCCTTGCTTAAGGCATCAAGGTCTTTTTAGAAAATTTCTGCTTCGAATTCCATGTTAATCAGTTAGCCTAGTGGGAGAAGTAGGTAAAGAGGAATTCCATGACATTCCTATCTCAGCTAAATGATGCGCAAAGTATTCTCTTTGCAGCAGATCACAGTGGCAGAGTGTGTAAGAAGTACTTGATATCCCTAAGGAGCAGTAACTTTGGAAAGGCTACCTAGAATCATTATTAATTTGTGATGAAGGTTGTCACAATGCAGAGTTTTTAATTTGAGCAGAAAATTTTTCAAAAACATTGTTTCAACAGAAGGAAATGAAAGGATCAGACTGAAGAATAAAGAGAATGAACTGGCATTGAAAGAAAAACACACCAAAGGCCTCCTAAATGTGTCATCCACAGTCCACCAAAGGTTAGACCAGGCAGCAGCACTGCTGTCTATTTAAACTTCGTGAGTGATTGCAGATCTACATGAATGTCTAGCTGAATAAATGTCTTGAGTTTGCATTTTGTAGTTCTCTTTGATGGAAAAGAAATACCTATTGCCAAATGATGTCTGCTGTTTGATCTCAGGGAGTTACTTTCTTATTAAATAAACATTTTGATGGTCATTAGTTACAGATTGGAGAACTATACTTAGGCAGTTTGAAAAGAGAGAATGAAATACAATGCCAAAACATATGCCAAATTTTAAAAGAAATTTAACATAAATGTGGGATGGGAACCAGTGCTGAATGTAATTCATTACATTCCAGCCTTTTTACTTTGAACATCAAAAGTGTTTGTTAGTTTGCTGTGGAGAAAACATATACCATAATGAGGAGAAAATGCTTGAAGCCCAAAAAATACTCAAAGTGGAAAGAAGGCTTCATTGAATGCCTTGGAAAATCAAGATTACTTGCATTAAATTTAGAGTAGAATCTCTCAAATGTTAGTTAAATAAAAATCATATTTAATTAATTACTGATTAAATGAAAATTAAGTCCAGACAAAAAGCACTGCATATAAAAAGGCATAAGTTGTCATAAAAAGGTCTGTGGCTTGTCATGTATATTATACATTTTTGTAATCATTTTATGTCTTTACTCTTGCCTTATTATTCAGCAAAATACAACAGCTTCAATTTTGGCATTGTAAAGAGGTAAATCTTTTTCCAGACATTCTGTTTCTTCTAAACTGAAAGATATCATTGCCCACTTTTTTATCCCTGTTTGAGTTAGTAAAGAAATGGATTTATGTAATAAAGGATTTCATAAAAGATCTGTTAGTTATTCATTATCAAATTTATCATTTATTGTGACATACAAATTCACTTTCCAGCTCTTTTCTCATTTGTTTTTTCTCCTGTAATCTATTCTAGTATTTTTAAACAAAATGCAGTAAAATTTGCCTTCCCAGAAGCAGAAATGTGGGATTGAAGAATGTAGCTATGCAGCAGCTAAGCTGATGCCATAATAATCAGTAATCAAACCCATTTTCTATTGCCATTATGATTTCTTTTATGGTCTAGTGCTTTGTAAATTAAATGTAAAGTTTACATTAATTTGTCCAATTCCTATAAACTCGACATTGTTTTATTGTTTTATTTCTTTTTGCCCTTGGTGCGAGGTTAGGAGTGTGAGTTCAAAAAGCAAATGTTGCAGGTAACCTCTGTAAGCAGTGAGCATTACAGTAGCAACTTCATTAAGTGTAAATGTCAGAAAGGATTTGCGTCACCTCCTTCCTTGAGGAATTTGATGGGTGATTGGCAGCATTGCTTTAAGGTAGATCAGGCAAGAAAACAAGAGACATACAGATGCAGCCAAGTTGCAGCCATTCAGGTTGTACTGTAATAATAATAATAATCTTTAACCAGAATGTAAAACAAGTGAAGAATACAGCATTTAATGCTTTCAATTCCCAAGCTGTGAATTACCATGTTGATGGCTCAGTCTGGTTCTGATGATGGCTCAGTACTGAAGAGGCCTGGATGAAATGCCTAATTCTTAATTCCTTGTTCTCACACCTGATCTTTGAACAGACCCTTTGGCAAGCAGACAGTAAAACTAATCTTAGAAAGATTCTAAATAGACTTAGACAGGATTTTATTCCTCCCTTGCACTGAACAACATCTCTACATTTACATTTCTCTGACCAGGATAGTGCTCCAGCAGAACAAGATTTTGGCTCAGTTTGAACTGCGGCAGCAAATTCGTCTGGAGTGTCTGAAACAGAAGCTGCTGGGATTGCACCACCTGGGAGCTGAGCTGGAGAATCAGCTAAGGGTAAAATGCTTCAGGGATCTAAGCATTCAATGGAGAAACATGGGACAGATTGTAGGGGTCTCTTTGCTACCCTAGTTGGAATGAGGGCTGAGATTCATCTCTGTCTTGTAGGAACACTTCCCTAATTGTTTCCCATATTGTTTCCTGTGTTTCTGCAGTGATGTGCCTGTTTTGTTGTGCCACATGTAATAAAATAACACAGAACTGAGCTGTGTTGTGTTGAGTGATTGCTGCTCTGTCCTTGCATGCAGGAAGCAGAGCAGGACTTTGTGAGGGAGTTGGCTGTGCTGACCCGAGTTCCACTGACTGTGAAGAAGAAGCCTTCCAAAAGGAGCAAGCCAGCAGGTTGGTACTATCCTGAATTGTTCAGAAAAATCCCATCTTAATTCCTCAGATTTTGCAGTATAACACATTGGAGTTTCAGGAGAGATTTTTCATCAGTGCCATTTCCCTAATTGGGATGTAGAAAAGTAATGGAACCTTTCAAGGTCACCCAGTTCTCCAGCAGCACAGCCACAAACAAGTATCACCTTTCCTCACTTCAGAGCAGCCTTTAACCTGTAGATTACCTTGTGTCCACTCAGGTGAGGCCTTGCCCTGCTGAAACCAAAACATTTTTCGTGTCTTTGTCATGTCCTTTAGAAACAACTCTGTTCACCTCGATTGCTAAATCCATGGCAGAACAGCAGAGTTGAATCATCCAGCTTTCATTGTCCTGGAAGAATGGAAGAATTGCCTCCCACACATGTACTCAAAATCAGGAAGCTTGATCTATTTTGATGAATTTACTGTAGTTTTGACAAATGATACTAATTCATTCTTCAAGAGATACTTAGGGACAAGTTTTCAGAATAGCAGTCATGTTTCCTAGTCCACATTTCAGATGCAGTGTACAAGTGCCATCCTTTGAGCCGTGCAATCTTTCTGTCATTATCAGAATGAAACATATGGCGTTGCATTTGAAGGATGCTGAAAGGCAGGATGGGTGCCTGAAAGGGAAAAGCAGGTCACTCCCTGCACACTTTTGAAGTCTTTCTCCCCAGCTGTTGTTTCTCAGGTGTGCAGAATTGTTTGCCTTGGTAGGCACTGTGACTACACAGTCAGGGCCCTCAAAGCAGTGAATTTTTAACATCGTGTTCTGATTCAAATCACTCAAAAATATGAACTGGCTTTTCTTCTACTTGGTGGTAATAAAAAGCCATTTTCAGTTACTTGCTAAGAAAATATATGATAGAGCTTTCAACTGTTGCACCGCATGAAAATTCACTTCAGTGTTCTGCAAATGTGGCAGTTCACAGTCTGCTGTGTGAGAACTAACCAGTGGTAAAAAAGCTGTATGCTGGGCTAATGTAAAGTGAAGTGATTTCCTTGGAATAATAATAGGTATGGATGAAAAGTTAGAGTGTAACTTTTTGCTTCAGGTTAATCAAAACCAAACAAGCTCTACTATTTTTTTTTTTTTTTTTTTTTTTTTTTTTTTTTTTTTTTTTTTTTTTTTTAAACCTACTGCATTTGGCAATTCAGGTGTAAAAGCAAATTCCAAAAGACAGACCTTTCAGTCACCTGAACCAGCAGAAAAAGATGATTCTCCTGAAAATATTCAAGAACCCTATGGAATAACTTCTGGGTTATGCAGGTATGTTACAGACTAAAAATAATGGTATGTGAAAAGCTATTTATAAAAGAATACTTTTTTAATACAAAAACTGCAGAACCTACTTTTTAAGGAGGTATGTCAATCAAACTCAAAACAATGCCTGCATTGGCTGAGCTTCCTTAATATTTACTTTCCACATGTACTTAAGCTTTTTTACCTCATAATCTTTTTCAAACTTAGGAAATTCATCTGTATTTGCCTGTCTGTACAGCTATGTATTTTATAAATAGCTTTGATCAAAGGTAGAGAAATGAGAAATACTGTTTCCAAATTTCCTTTATTTAGTTTTATTTAAACCTTAGTCACAGACAGCATAAATCAGCAGAGACAAGTGAATTCAATGGAACTAGGCTGAAATGTAGCAACCAAAATATGGTCTGTGGTATTTAGGCTTTCAACTTCCACCTTTATTCCAGGAACAAAGGCAAGCTCCAGTCTTTGGCTGATGAGGGTAGCAGCTCTAACAATGATTTTCTTGATAGATGTTTCAGTTGGCTTGTGCTGGGCTGCTGACTGGAGGAGAAGTGGCTGCAAACCTGAAAGGTGCCAGCTGATTAGCACGGGCAGATCAAACCAGCCAGCTGGTTGCTGCGGCTTGATATATTGAGCAGAGAAAATGCTGCTGACAGGCAGAGCAAACAGTTGGTTCTCAGGAGCCACAGGCCTTTGGGGAAAAGTATTTATCCCCTGAGTGACCTCAGCCTGGGACTGACTTCAGGAGATGGCTGCTTTCCTTGATGGCATCAGCCCTTTTCACACACTCCTTTCCCACAGCCAACCAGGGATGCGTGTGCAGGGAGCAGGGACCCAACAAAGGAACCTTTATGGGTTTGCAACTTTGTGTTGGCAGCCCCAACAGAGGCACTGAAACCAGTGACTGCAGAAGTTATATAGCAAGAGCCTTTCTTTTATCAAAATTAATTTACTTTAGGAGAGAAGTAGAGTGTTTTAAAAACTGTCTGCAATTTTGTTTTCTTTTTCTTACTTATTCTTTCAGAGAGATGCCACAGAGTTCACATGAAGAGGAGACTGAGCCAAGGAAAAACTCAAAGATGTTAAAAAAGAAAGGCAGCAGGTAGTAAAAGCTTTTGTCTGAGCTGTCTGAACACAGTGTACCAAGGCATCCTTCTGGGGAATCTCAGCAGCTCTAGGTACTTACTGAGCTGCTTTGCTGAGGAACAACGAAGAAAATCAATAATAACTCATAAGTCTTTTTTAGCTGCAGACCAAGAATCAATCCCAACTTCCTTTAGCTGTTAATAAAACATTCCCTCTTGGTTTTTCTAAGGGGGAACAAGGAAGTCTTTAATACAAGCTCTTTGAGACTGCTTGGGTAATGTGCTGGGGAGAGAGTGTTAGATTTGGAATAAACCTGAGGATTGTGCACCTGTAGGAGAGCAGGTGCACACTGGGCCCAGGTCAGTGTGTCTCAGTAAGGTTTCATCACAAGAGTGATGTACTGTTTACTTTTGAGCCTGAGATGTGGTACACAGTACTTTGACTTAAGGAAAGGAGATAAAAATGTAGAGAATATGTAAACAGGCTTCAGATGGTACTGAGAGATCAAAAGATGACATTTGGTCTCTCTTGTGTTATATTTTTGTGCTTCCAGTCCTATGTATGCTTTTTAAAATTTGTACAAAGATGTTTATATACCTACTTCTCTGCCTTTGTCTAAGAATTCAGATTGTTACTTTTAAAGGAAATGAGAGAAAGCTGGTTAACTCTTTTACTTTTTATGCTTCAGTTTCTAGTCTTCTTCCTTAAGTGCACCCTTTTGTTTCCAATGTACTTTGTTATGCTCATTACATTTCCTATGGGAAATTCTTGTTATGCAAAGCAGTTAATTCTTACTGGCTGTACAGAGCACCTGTGTTGTGTAATAAATTGCCCCATTTAAGCAATCCTACAGCTTTCATGAAGTGGGAGTATTCTGCCATTTCAACAATAAACATATATTTTGCTAATGAAAAGGTTGTCCTTTGGTGGAAGATGGAAAGTCCTACATCAGTTTGCCTCAGACAAAAGTGCTGCTGTACAAACGAGTTCACCACGCCAGTTACACACGTGTGTTACATGGTTCGTTTTCATCTCAGCTGTAAAAAAAAACTTCCAAATTGTACCCTTTCAAGCATTTGATTCCGGTATTTCAGCACTTCAGCTCTATGGTATCTCTCTGCCCCCACAGTCTGGATTTTAACATTTTAGTTGCTGCTTGTTCTTTTTTGGTTGGTATTTTTTTTGGGTGGGTTTTTTTTTTTTTGGGGGGGGGAGGTTTTTTTTGGCGGGTTTTTTATTTTGGTAACAGAATCAACAGTATAGAATTGCACATGTTTCACTCTGAGTGCTCTCTGTACACAGGGCACAGGGAGCTGTTACCATTAGAGCAGATGATGCTCAAACCCCTCAGGGCAGCAGAGCTCCTGCCACTCTCAGGGTGCAGCAGAATCACTGGAGAGGGTTCCTGGTTACCCAGGTGCGATCTACCCTGTGCTGTGCTTTGGCCAGCCCGGCTGGAAGTGGCTTTTTCTCTGAATTAGGAACGGGATTGTCCCAAAAGCGGGGCAGCAGTGCCCTCTCCCGGGCAGCCCGCGGTGCTCACAGCCCCGCGCAGGTGGAGCCGGCGGGCAGGGAGCTCCGGGAGGGACCAGGGAGGGTCCCTGTGCTCGGTGCCATCCCCGTCAGCCCCCTGGGATGTCCCTGTGCTCGGTGCCATCCTTGCCAGTCCCTCCAGGTCCAGGTGCAGGCACCTCCCAATCTTCTGTCTGGCTCTCCTGGGAGGGAATTTCTGCAGACCTTTCTTCTCTCCCACAGTCACATTGGCAATCCCCTGTCCAAACACCCACTGGTCCTGTCCCTGTTTGTGACTTCAGTCTCATTGAGTCTCCAGGTGGATACCCCAAGTTCAATGTTATGTGCAGATGGGCACAGTGTGACACTCACCATCACTGTCTGTCAGTGAGGCAGATGTTGGACAAGAAGGGTTTAATTGGACCAAGAAACAAGTGCAGAAAATGCCAAACAAAACTCAGAGCAGATGCTTTGTAGTAAATATTGTTGAACTTTTATGTTAAGTTAGAGAATGATAGACTCGGACTAGGGGAAAATGGGATACCTAAGCACCAGTCACAGCTCAAAACAGTCAGTTTATAGGGTAAATCTATAGAGAACCCTCTCTTTATTCTGGAAGGTTTGATCATGCTTTACAGGTACATAGCAAAAACACTGCAGAAATTTAGGAGAAATGTCATGCCTTTTCCCTCCTATTTTTAAACATGGAGGGTAACATTATTCCATCTCCCATATACCCCTCTCCCCACAGCGTTACTGCCATCACTGAAATGTATCTGGAAAGTTTGTGGAAAGTTCATCACAACCATGATCCTAAAGTTGGTTTGTTTAGATGAGTGAGATTTATTTTTTCTCCAAGAATAGATGAACAAGGATTGGTAGCTTAGTAGTCAGAGGGAGGGTAATAAGGAACAGAGCATGGTGCACTCAGACATCCCTGATATTTTAAGGGAGGTGAAAACTCAGATGTAAGCACTGAATTCATGGACACTTCCTGACCCAGAATATAAAAAATACAAAATCCAGTGTTCTATTGAGCCTGAAATAAAAACACACTTTTTTTTGTGTGTGGAGCTCCTTGACAATTATGCAGGATTAAGATACAACTTGAATTAAATCACTGTTATTCAAGAATGATGTTTTAATTATGCAGATTTGAGATATTTTTAATATTTAGTTTTAAAAAATGTAACACCTACAGTGTTATTAGTGCCATTGTATATTTAGATACACTGATAGATGAATATGTCTGTAGATATTTTTTACCCCAAAGAGTTTTCTTTTGACAAATGTTTATGTCAAGAAGATGAAATCATGGCAAACTAGTGAATTGTTCCCTTGGGTCTGTAAGGCTGTTGCCATGTGAGGAGGTCTTTGAGAACCATGCTAGGTCTAAATGGCAAGAAATAGCTGGTGCCAAGAGGACTAGATCAGCACTCTGCCATTGTGCATTAAGCTGTGCATTTCCTGGCTCCAGGAAGGCATTAATGGCAGGATTTCACATGGGTTTAAACACACCTTGGCAAATGCATGGCAGACAAATTCACTGAGAGCTACAGGTACACGATGCTGCTGCTGCTGCTTCTCAAGAATTTACCGAGCACTGGAAATGAAGCAGGCACTCAGAGGAGGATTAGCCTTGTATGCTTGCTCTTCTGACCTCCTTCAAGATTGTGTTTTTGGCTACTGGAACCCAGAGCAGATGGTCATCTGACCTGGTCTAGTCTGAGATCTTAGTTCTTAAGGACAAAGACCAGTATATTGCCAAGATAAACACTCAAAGGCTGGGACAGCTGTCAGTTTTCGTACAGTCTTAGCATCATAATTAGCAGGCTTTGCTATGAACACTAGAATTTAAACATGTAACTGCATTGCTCTGGTAGCAGACAAACTGCAGCACAAGACAAACTGGTCAAACATGTGCTCACAAATCAATCTGTGGATCCAGCCTTCCCTTCCGCATCACTTTTTTAACAAAGATAGTTCCCAGGCTGGTCATAGGGACTAATTTTAAGATGACCATTGCAAAAGCAATAGGGAAGAGCAGCTTTACATCGTTAGAGCTGCATCAGGTATTGAAAGGTCATAGCCTGCTGCAGATTTTTATAAGTTTGACTATTCAGAAAGCCTGAAAGGTCTGCACTGCTTCCAGTTGTAGTTAACAGCAGCTCCCCATCAAGTTAACATCTCCCAGCCTGGTGTTCCTGCAAGGGAGCAAACTCAAGGGCAGTTTCCTATTCTGCAGCATGCACTCAGGAGCACCAGCTAATCCATGTTTTATTTTCTCAAGGACAGGTGAGTGACGCAGGGGCAGAGACATTGCTATGAAATAGAATGCAGGTGGTAAGAGAAGCACCCCTTGCCTTGTTTTCCATCCATGGGGAACGGCAGGTGCCATCTCTCTGGTGGAATCACAGGAACCATCCAGGTGAGGCCTCCTCCACCTCAGCTGCTGAGGAGCAGCTCGCAGCTCAGGACCCACAGCTTCCTGCAGGCTGCCCCTCAGTAGTGCCATGGCAGGAGCAGCCAGGCTGCAGGGATTAGGCTGCTTCTTCTTGGAGCCATCACAGGAGAGCCACACTGACCTGACAGGCACAGCCTTGTTCACAGAGGAGCACCGAACCATGAAATGCCTCTCAAAACACCCACTCGTATTTATTCACAGCCACTTCACAGTGAAAAAATAAATGCATGTTACCAGTGAATCTTTGACCAGCTTGTAGGCAAAGGGCTTTTAGTTTAAGATGCTGTTAAGTGGGTAGGAGAAGTGGAATCTAAACATGAGTTACACAATGATCACTTCTGTTACCTCAAGTGTGACAAGCCTCATACATTGAGTGGATTTTTTATTTGGAGGTGAGCAACCATTGCTACTTGCACAAAAATGTGCATGAAATACAACAGGGAAATTGTAACCAGCAGTTTGGAAATTTTCACACTGTCAGATTTGCCACATAGCTTCACAAAGCCGCTGTATTTCCACTGTCAGGGTTACATCAACACAACTGTTGCTGGCTGTCAACACTCACAGCAAATGGGTTGGAACAGGACAAGGCAGATGGAGACCTGACATTTCAGGGCTGCCTTACCTGCTAGGCTGTAGGTCTTTCCAGGTACACTGTCCTCAGGCTTCTCTGCTAGTGTTATTTTACTTCCTATTAAAAAAAACTGAACTGCCAAATGAGCAACTTATTTTAATTCATATCATATAAAATATCTGAACCACCAAATGAACAAGGAAGCCTGAGGATGAGGGCATGCTCCAAGCAATATGAAATGTGAATTTGAATTCTTAGCAGAAAGGATTGTTCATGAAAAGCTTTATTTTCCTTTTTTTGAGAGCAAGCAGTTCAGTTCACTGCAGACTGAATTGCAATGTTTCTGCACTGGTTGAGCTCAAAGCCAAAGGAAAATCTGGCTCTTCAGACCAGCTCTGCTGCCAGGTTTCAGACCAAGCTGACGAAATAGATTTTTCCAGGCTAGTGGTTCCTTTCCCAGGCAAGCTGGAGGTGACAGTGTACCTGTTCCAGAATGACAGGCTTCAGGTGGGCTACTTCCCAAACTGCTATGGCTGGCATGCCCCACAGGAGCTGTGCCAAGCCGAGGGACTGATGCATGGCTGGGATGGATGGGTGCAGCACAGCTGGTTACACCACTCCAGTGGCACCCCACGGCTGCAAGACTGTTCCTGGTGCAGCTCTGCAGTGCGGCTAAAGGCAAAGTAGCACAAGGGGAGGGGTTTGTTGACCTGCTGATCTCCCAGCACCCCACTTCCACTGCAGCCCACACCTCCCACAGCATCTGTAACACTGTCACACAAGCAAAAAGTGACAGAAAACAAGGTTTCTTTACATAATTTGTGAGAGAATCAGAAAGACAGGTAGAAATATTTGCTTCATTCTCAGAGAATTAAAGTCCACATCTCTCACCTTACCTGCAGCATGTTCTTTTCCTGCCATGCCTGGACACAGCTCAGTCAGCAGAGAAAACCACAATGAAGTCAAATATAGCTTAGGTCAAAGTGCAGCACTGGGAACTGGTTCTGTACTACGATGAAGATGATAGCAGTGAATTGTCCCCTTTTTAGGCAAATAAAATGTAGATCTAAGGTTTTTGGCAGAAAGTTAATTCGTGTCTCATTTTGGCAAAACTGAGGCAGCTGCAATGTCACAGAATCACAGACTTGTTAAGTCTGTGAAAAGACTTGTTAAGTCTCGTTAAGTCTTTCTCTCGGTAAAGAACTCTAAGATTGAATCCAACCGTTAGTAAGTACATTTTACTCAATAGTAAGTGCAGTTGTTAGTAAGTACATTTTTACTTTGAGCCTGTTTAATAAGACATACTATATCTTGTTATAGTATGCATATGCAGACCTATACACTTCTCAACCCTTGTGATCTAA